CTGGAGGGTTAGTGGTAAAATTACGCACAGACCAACGCACACGGTTCCGGATTTTCCAGCGAGGCTTAGGCAAGTCCTCCTCTTCCTCCTCCTTTTCCTTCTCTTCCATTTTTCCCACACCAATGGAGAGTTATCCTTACACACCTGTGTGTCCCAACGCATCTTTCACAAAAAGTGCACTTTTTTGCGAGGGGGAAAGGGAAAGGAGAAGGCTAGAAATCTTACGCCTGATTTGATCCGGGCCACACAATGTCCTCTTTCAGGACTTGTTCTTGTGGCTGTCACTTGCAGGCTGGAGGACCTCTCACACACACACACACACACGCGCGGGGCTGACATCCTTTCGGTTTCCTCAAATGTGACAAATTCGAAATGTGCTTGGATGGTCAAAGGCGATCGGCAGCCAGTGTGCTCTAATGTCCTGGCCCATCCTGTCCTGCTCGGATGTCTCGGTGTCCTGGCCAATCGACGAGCGAGCTCTCGAGGATGCTCACCGAAGAAAACTTTGATGCGGCCATGCATGTTTCATGTGCAACTAAGCATATGGCAGCTCGTTCGCCAGACAGAGCCAGCTATATACTATATTGGTATGCAAAAAAAGGACCTATCCAAGGACCTCCCCCCCCCCTCTTTTTAAGCCCCCCTTGCATATTGCATTTTCCATTTTATTCGATTGGATTTTATTGTATTTTTTCACTTGATATATTTATGCAGCCGAATTGTTTGCCTTCTCCCTTGAGTTGTCACGCACAAAGGCAGAACTAAATTGTTTAATTTGATTTCAGCCTTTCATTCTATCTACTTTTTTTTGGGGGGAAGGGGGTGGAGAGGGGGTTGCCTTGCGTCATGACCTGCACCCTGTTGTCTCTGGCCATCCCAAAAATGACTCAATATCCCACACATACCATATTCGAAAGGCCCTCTGGCATGGGCCTTGGCAATTTTGTAGACATTAAATTGCGTTTTATTTTTCAATATTTATTATTATCGAATATTGAAACGAAACCGAGAACTCTGTCCTCCCCGCTATGGAAATGAAAATGGAAATGGCGTTGCAAATGGTAGATATTTGAATCAAGGGGAGGGAAAAGGGGGAGGAAAAAGAAGAGAGGGGGGTGGTGGGGGGACAGGTGTGTTCCTGCACGCCACTCGGATATGGGCAATATGTATATGCACAATCGCAGTTCGCATATAGAGTTGTAAGTCCGTTGAATCCGACAATGGTTCCATATCACGCGATACGACTTCCCATCCTTATTCCCTTTGGATTTTACTCCACTCCTTTCAGTGCGTTTTGCAATCCTAAAAGGACTAAGAACGGAAATCCTAAACCATCATTTAAATTGCAATAACACAGTGATCTGTGAATAATTAAAAAAGAAAAACTTGTGAGTTTCACTGCCACAAAAGTATCAAATTGTAAATAATATATATTAATTTTTAGTTACTTAGATTTGCACTTGTTGTAATATTATTTAAATAATCATTTGCCTGCCTGCCTGCCAAAAAAAAAAAAAACAAAATACTGTAGAATCATATATATAGTATAATATATAAATATCCAAAATATATACATATTACATTAATATTGGCTAAACAAAAGTAAGGAAAATTGGCTTAAATCGTGTGTGTGTACTTCCAATCGAAAGAATAGTTAAAACAATATTTTAAACTTTAGAACTGAAAATGTTGACATAAATTGGCAATAAATGTAATTGGTGATCACAAAATTGATAAAAACAAAATACAACAAATGCGGTTAATTCAGTTCTGCTGTTGTTGTTGTTGCTGCTGCTAAGAAAGGAACTCAAAATCAAAATCGAAATCAAAAAATAAAATAACAAACACACACACGTTCCACACTCGAACATCAAAATTGAAGCTGTCGAATGCAAACCACAAATGCAAACTTTATTTACCAATTTCACCTTGACTTTCCCAACGAAATGCTTGGAACACAGGCACATTCCTGAGTGCCAAGAGTGGCAGCATCAAGCAGGAGGTGATGGAGCCGGAGGCGGAGGATCTGGAGGCGCCGCAGCAGCAACCGCATGAGGCACATGCCGCCGATCGTCGTCCCGCGGCCTGCAAGTTGGCCAAGCTGATGCAGCAGCAACAGAGGCAGTTCCTCGACCATCGGCGCAGTCACCACCAGCCGCACCACCACCACCAGCCGCACCATCGCCACCACCACCACCATCACCACCACAATCGCATCAACAACAACAACAATAACAACAACTCGAAGAAGAACCGCTCGGCCAACTCGTCGCCAACTCCTTCGGCGAGATCCTGGAACGATAGCGATGAAGACCAGGACTTGCCGGATGGCAACAACCCGCTGCAGCAGCAACAGCAATCCCAACAGCAACAGCAGCAGCAGCAACTTCAGCACAACAGCAACGAGGATGAGGACGATCGCTCCTCGTCTGCCTCATCGGCAATATCCTTGACCATGAAGCGAACGCGACAGGATAGCGAGTCAACACTGTACCAAACGCTGCTCATGAAACAGGAGCAGCAGCACCAGCAGCAGCAGCAGCAACACCAGCAGCAGCAGCAACACCAGCAGCAGCAACAGCAACACCAGCAGCATCAGCAGCAATATCTCGACGAGTTGCAGCAATCCCATCAGCAACAATTAACCGCCAACTTGTTTATGGCCAGGACAATAGCTTTGAGCAGATCGCGTGACTTTCCGGAACTTTTCCAGAACACAATTGCTGCGGCGGCGGCGAATGCAACAGCAGCATCGGCGAGTCCCGGCAACAATGGCAATAGTTCGAGTCAAATTGCGGGTCCCGGGCCAGGAAGTTCTGCCCCAGGAGCTGTGGGGAATGGAAATGGAGCAGCCAGTGGAGCCGGAAGTAGCAACTACATGCTGCCGTGTCCACTGTGCGAAACGCCGCTGGAGCAGAGGGTGTTCCGCCAGCACCTGGATCGTCATTATCCGCGCGACAGTCCCGTGTGTCCGGTGATCGAATGTGGCCGCCGGTTTGCCCATCCGAACTCCGTGAGGAATCACATGCGGATCAAGCACACCCTGCAGTGGGCCAAAATGAAGGCCATGCGATCCTCGGGCGGACCCTTCGCCGGCGGTCCGGACTTCAAATGAAACTGCGAGGCCGTCGGCTAAGTCCAATCTGCGTAGTCAACGCTAACGATAACAAAAAGAAATATAAGCTTTCTAGGTTGCTGCTTCTCAGAGTCAGTCGACAATGGCGACAATAATTCGAATCTAACTCGCAATCCAAGTGAAATCCAGTGAATACCCAGTTACCCAGTCACTCGAGACACTCGCATCTATCGTAGATAGCCAAAAAGTAGTCCAAGTTCCGCGGAGGGGAGTCCACTATAACTAACTGTAACTGTAAGCGCACGAAGGTCCTTGCAACGCTTCCTGCCAGCCAGTCAGCCAGCAAAGCTACTCTATTTACTCTGAAAAAATATTTAGTTTCAATCAAAACAGGTTTCAGGAAATTCAGGAAAGCCGACAAAGATTCAACAGGATTTATTTGGGGTTTTATATTCTTCAAAAAACATTTTACAGAAACCAATCAAGAAACATTCTTAATATTTCCTTTAGAACTCATAATTTTTATTATTATTTCAATTGTTTCTTTTTTTTGTATTTGTATTTGAGTGCTAACTTTTCAATATTTAGTTTTTGTCAATCTGTTATTTTTTACTATTTACTTTTGACTTCTAAACTTTATGATTTCTTCATCAATACATCAATACATTTTTTGATACTTCATTTTGGGTATTCATTTTTCTTACTTTTCATTTATAGATGTTCATTATAATCATTAATTTTCCTGCATTGGTATTCATTTTTAAATAAGTATATATATATTATATATTCGAGAGCAGCTTGTTAGCTGACGATGGCAGATGAACGCTTTGGGCTAGGATACTTGCAACAATTATTACGTTCCTATATGCGATAAAGTATTTTACAAATGCAGACACCTACAGCTCTGATTTGTTTACCTAAGGCAGGAGTAAATCTCAACTTTGAATTCCTTAACATTAGCTGAAAGAAAGAGGGATACGGAAAATCCTATATAACTCAGCTCCAGTAAAGCATGTGCAGTATTAAAGTAAAAGCAACAGAAACCGAAGAACTACTCACAAAAAAAAGAATAATAACATTAATACTTAGAGTTACATAAATACGTACGATTAAGCCATAGAAGATGAGATAACTATGTAGATAAAGAGCTAAAACAAGCAAACAAAGAAACATGATATATAGAAATATATAAAGTAGTTATTATGAATATTGATACTGAAACAAAATAGAATGTGCCTGCGTAATATATTTTTAGCCAAAAGAAAAACGAAAACGTAAGAAAATTAAACGAAAAGCGAAACAAGTAAACAAAACTTGAGCATTAAAAGTAAAAAAAAAAAGAGATACGAAATACCAAAAACTGAAATCGATTTGTATTAGAGAAAGTTCAAAATTCAAGGAGATATTTTGTTAATTACCTTAGGTTCACTAAACTGTAATTCGATTCGATTCGATTGGCGGCAAAACACTCCAAGAGCAGACATACGTAAAAAGGTTCCTATAATGTTAATCAAAACAAAACACTAAAAACTAAAACCCAAGCTCCAGCAAAACTGGCTAAAACGGGGAAAAAAAAATCATGGGTCAATCGAGATTGTATCGATGTGGACTAAAGATAAATTCTATTTCGAAGCGGACAATTTTACAATTGTAGTTTATAAAGCCTAGAGAGAAAACAAGCAGCCATATAAGTACATCGATTGTACAACAGTTTGTATGCCATTTTAGTTTGCAAAATTGTCTGAGGGGCGAAAACAAATGTATCTAGTACGAGTATCTTGTATCTGCGTTGCCTGAAGGCGGCAAATCTATTTTGGTGAACAATAAAGAGCAAACGAAGACGAAATGGTTTTCTTTTTAATGGAGTAATAAATCATATTTTTTATCTAATGAAAACTAATTTGTGATTTATTTTACTTTACAGTTTCCCGACGATCCTTGGAAATGCGAGTCCGAGCCACAGATCCTCGTCCCTGCCCGAAGTGCGGAAAGATCTACCGATCGGCGCACACCTTGCGCACCCATTTGGAGGACAAGCACACCGTGTGTCCGGGATATCGATGTGTCCTGTGTGGCACGGTGGCCAAGTCGCGCAACTCCTTGCACTCGCACATGTCGCGCCAGCACCGCGGCATCTCCACCAAGGACCTGCCCGTCCTGCCCATGCCGAGTGCCTTCGATCCGGAGCTGGCCTCCCGACTGCTGGCCAAGGCGGGTGTCAAGATCTCGCCGGCGGAGCTCAGAGCTCGGGCTTCACCAACTGGTGGAAGTGGCAGCAGTGGCGGCGGCGGCGGAGGAGGAGGTGGTGGCCAGGCCAAGTTGGATCTGAGCAACGCCAGCGGGGGTCCCTTGGACGATGCCGAGGATTCGGACGAGGATCCCGAGGACCTGACCACTGGAAACGGACTGTATGGAATGGGTGGCAGTAGCAGCGACCTGAGTCGCTACCACGAGAGCTTGCTGAGCAACTTCGGACACGCCAGGATGCGGAACGAGGCGGCTGCCGCGGCGGCCACTGCTGCCGCTCTGGGCCAACCCAAGGATCTGGGCGTCCAGATGCCGAGCAGCAATGCCGCGGGACAATCCCTGCTGGACACCTATCTGCAGTTCATCACGGAGAACACTTTCGGTGAGTGTCGACATTTATAAAAAAAATAATTCTAAAAGGGGTTGGAAGTTAATTTTAGTTGTGGATACTTACTATTACTAAGTTACAATAATTTAGACATTTTACTTGATAACAACTCAATTTCCGTTAAAAACAGTCAAACTAATTTAAATCCTTACAGAATTTTTATATTTTAAATTTTATTATTTGATGTGCTTGTGTTTTATCAATTTGAAGGGGTTGTATTTTTAATTAAATTTTTTTTTTCTTATTTACCTACCAGTAAAAATCCAACTTGGGAACAAATGAGTTTTAATATTTGAAAATATTTGTCAAAAAAATGTAAATCAGCCTATAGTTCAATACTTTCTTTTCTAAATATATAATTTGAGGAGAAGCTTAAATTAGTAGTTTACTATTTGTCTGGGTATATATATTCTTGATATTTTGATTAAGGTAAAAGTAGTTCACTTCCTTTACTTCATTTAATTGATTGTTGGTCAAGCCTAACCTAGTTATCTTTCTAATTACCTTACCATTTTTAAATATTTTTGTCCCGTAATTAATTCCTTATTTGCATTATTTTTATTTCAGGAATGGGAATGTCGCAGGAGCAGGCAGCTGCGGCCGCACTGCGCGCCAAGATGGCCCAGCTGAACGCGATGGGCCACAACCTAGACAGCCTGCCGCCGGGACTGATTCCCGGCCAGTTCGACCTGAGCAAGCTGGCCGGCGGGAACCCCGCCTTCGGACAGAGCGGACCCGGCTTGACCATCGAGCCGATAATGCGGCACGATCAGGCGGCGGGAAGCCTGTCGCCGAGTGCCCACCGACCACTGGCCCTCAACTCCGGTGGCAGGATGATGGGCCACGAGGAGATGGCCGACCACGAGGGCGACTTGAGGCGCGAGGGATCGGAGCCCATGGATCTGGGACTGGACAACAACCAGTCGGGCAGCAACCACGAGGTGGCCAACTCCGATGCCGAGGAGAACTACTCGGAGGACGAGGGAGTGCACAACACATAGGATCAGCCGGGGATGATTCCACCTGCCGGGGAACCATAAACAGGAGCACGAACATAAACACGAACAGTTGTATACCGATTACCCATGGAACATATGTAACGAGTAGCCTTATCCTCATGTATACCAGTTTACGTGTACCACATACGATACGATACAATATAGTGAAGATAGTGAAGCCTAGGTCTAAAATCATATTTGTGAAGCCTAGTAGAATTCAATGTTGTGCTTTTTAAACTACCTAAACTATATGGATATATATCCCTATATACACACATATATATATATATATATATATACATATATTTATATACACAAGTACCTGCTGTGTATACAAGTCGATGAAAATGAGAAAGGAAGGAGAACCCATCCCGCATGAAACGATTTAATGAAATGTAATGGTAGTCTAGAGTCATAAGTTAGATTTCACATTGAAAGAGAAGCCTGTAAATACAAAAGAAGAATCTAAAATCGTAAATATTCATGTTAGACCAGCCGTAGCAGCAGAACCCCAAACGATCCGTCGCATTTAACTCTTACTTACTATGTATATGTTATAGTATTGTACCAGAAGCCAGCAGATAATTCAGATGTGCCATGGATGCCACAGCCTTCCAGTTCCAAGTCTAGCCAGTCCATCGCGATTCACAGTGCTTACCATATCTCAGGAATCCGAGCAGCAACTCAACCGAACTACCTCAGCCAGCGAAAGAGTTGAAAACCCCTTTAAAAACTGAACAACTTACAACTGATAAAATGACAAAACTGAAAACTGAAAACTGAACCTGAAACGAACCTCAGACTTCCATGAGTTGTGACTGGTCCTGTACTCCATCATCTCCAGGAATCTTGCCAATTTTCAACAGCAGGAACTCTGCTCGTAGTTTAAGAATCCCCAGAAAAACCGAAAAAAATGGGATCAGCATAAAAGAAATTGATTATTTATACAACTTACGTACGGTATACAGTGCACACTCGGTATACGTATTTATACACTTAAAGATACATACATATAGTACATATGAATGCCTGTACTTATTTGTCAGAGAGAATTGAATACCTCAGCATACTCAGCATTCGGCCCCCTTAATGATATCCAGTGCGAATCATCTACTTATACATAAATTAGGCTAGTTAGTTTATGTGGCAGCACTGCAAGCAAGACATAGTTAGTTGTAACTACGCGTTTCCTGTATGTATTTAGTTCGAATATGCCTCAGTTATCCTAGGTTTATATGGTTAGCTTCAATCGGAGATGAGCACAGACTCTACAAGAGTCGCTACCACTTGCCTTATGACCAACATATGTGTTACTTTAGTAATTTTCTACCTCAATTAATTTAAATGTAATTTATGTTGTAAGTTCTTGACCGCGCAACTTAACTAATTTCTTATTAGCTACCTTTAATACGGGGGCTTACTTATTATATAGATTACACTCACGAGCAGCAGCAAAAGATTGGATTGGAAGAGTATCTTTAGTTTTTATTTGAGCAGCTTAGTTTGTACCTTTGGTTTTAGACACTTTTCCCTCCTCTCACTCTCGCCCAGAATTTTGGCGCAGGGGGAGTGCAATAGATTGCATTTTTCCTAGGCTTGAAATGCATTTAAGGCTAATGCAATTCGGTTAAGACGTTAGTTTAAAATATATTAGTTAAAAGTCGTTACATAAGCAATATAAGTAGACATCCATGTGCTTAGAAAGTTATATAAATATTTATTGACATTACAATAAAGCCGCGTTATGAAGACAATCTGTGTTTTTCTCTATTTGCGGTGATCGATTCCAAATCGGTTTTATATTATATTTATTTTAATATTTAAAGTTATTTAAAAAATATACAGAGGACGTGCGTAAGTACAACATATTGGAAGCGGATTACCGACTGATATTAAGAACTGTGCGTTTCATTAATGTGTTTGTCTTAAAGCCGATTCCAAAGAGCGAAACATAAAACCGAAATATGTACACTTAAAAAGAGAATGTTAATCTAGTGACTTATTTAGCTGCTGTAACTGGTTCGTATTTGGCGAGTCTTTCTCGCAAAACATCCATCTCATCTTTCCGCATCATTAGAACACGTTTTGCCGACTCGTACTTATTTTTGACAGCGGCCAGTTCTTTCTTCTGGATTTCACATTGAGCCTGAAATCATAATGGTTAACTAGATATTCTTTTAAATAATTAAGTAATTAACAACCTTGAGGGCACTGTTTTGACCAGCCGTCAATGAGGTGATGTTCGAGGTGTCGTCGTTTTCGTTTTGCTTCAGCTTATCTTCCAGTTCTCTTATGAGATTGTAGCGGGAGCGCAACAAGCGAAGAGCATCCTGGTACTTTCCGTTGGTTTTCTCCAGGATTTCCTCCAAAGTGGATTCTGTCTGAGTTTCCGACGTGACCAAGGCGGGTTTAATACTCTTTGTAGCTTGTTCTACTTGACCGGAAACTGATTTTGCATTAGTGAGATCATGGATCTTGGCATTGAGATCCTGAAGCTTTGTTTTAAGCCGTTTCTGTTCGAAGCGCGCTTTCTCTTGCTCCTCCTGAATTCGCTTCTTCAGTTGCGCATTCTCATCCTTTAGAGGATGGTGCTTTAGCTCCATATTCAACGCCGTCACTTGGCTTTCACGGATGAAGAGTTCACGCTGGCATTCCTGAAGCTTGTTGTTTAGCTCTGTGCACTGGCAATTGTTGTCTAAAATGACATTCATGGTTATGCTAATCGTTTTAGTCATACTAATTAAAATAGACTTACCCACGGGATCAGTCATGGTGCCAAATTCGCGGACATCGTTCCAGTACGACTTTCTGCGCTCATCGTGAACGCTGATTCGTCGATTCCTTCGTATTTCGGTGTCAGAACTTATTGATTTCTGTAAAGAAAATAACAAGGTTAAAGGAATAATCATACCCTTCTTAAATTTAATTTACCCTTGGTCCATGATTGTGATCCAGACTTTTTCGCGGATTCCCTGGAAGTGGCGAGCCATTGGAGGCACTTGACTCAAAGGATCCATTGCCTTTTAACCCTTGCAAAGTTGTCAATTCCGACTCAAGCTTGGCCACAATGTCGCTGATCTCGCACAATTTTTCCTCCAGGTTTCGCTTATCTTCTAATAAACTTGAAATAGTACCATCCATGCGATCCTTTTCTGTTCGAAAACCGGCTTCCTTGGATTTCTGAAGAGAAGATTTGATACAAAATCAATCAATTTAATCGTTTGTTGTGTAGTTTACCAGTGTTAATCGTAGCTGCTCGCTATCCTTTGAAAGTTCCTCAAATTTAGTCAACTTTTCCTCCAGACTGCGCTTCTCTTCCTTTAATTTAGAAATCGTGTTGTCCAGTCGCATCTTCTCTGTTTGGAAAGTCGCCTCTTTAGATTGCTATTAAAAAAGTTTTATAAAAAAACCTGGTATATAACTTTGTTATTGAAAATATTACCAGATCGGATCGAAGCTTATTGCATTCACTTGTGAGTTCATCGACCTTTTGACCCATTTCCCGATTTTTATTATTAGCAGCTTCCAATGTTTTCTCATTCTTGGTCAAAGTTTCTCGCAGAGATGCCATTGCTGCCTCATTGGATGCCAACTGAGCCATGACTCGAGAATTGGATTCTTCTTTCTCCTTCAAATTGGCTAGCTTTTCTTCCAGCTGCTTTTTGTTTTTTTGCAGATCGGAAATAGTCATGTTTAGCGTTTCCTTTTCTCTCTTGAAATCATTGCATTTGGTTTCCTAAAAAGTTTTCTTGTTAGAATCATGTGGTAAGAAAAGATATGGGAATTAAACTTACCAGATCGGAACGCAGATTTCCGCACTCCATGGTGAGTTTTGCAACTGTGTTGCGGCTAGAATCCAATTCATGATTCAGCTCCTTGGTAATTTTATCGACTTCGCCCACCCTGGATTGAATCTGCTCCTCGAGGTGACTTTTTGATTTCTCCAGCTTGGCGAGATTTTCTTTTAGTGAGGCACACAGCTGTTGCTCCTCTTCCAAATTTTGTTTTAGATTCTTAGAATTTTTCAGCTTAGCAACAAGCTCGTCATTTGCAATCGCAAGTTTACCATTTACTTCTTGAACGGACCGCAGCTTCAACCGCAACTCCTCACATGAGCCCTTGAGTTCAACCACATCGCGGTCGAACTTATCCCCCTGGACGTTCAACTTCTCCTCGACTTCTTTGAGTTGATTTACAAGTATCAATTGCTCTGTGCTTGCCGAAGTCTTTGCATCCAATGCGTTCGTCAGTTCCATGCGAAGCTGTTCGATTTCTATGCTTTGACTGGAGATCGCATTCCGGGATGACAGCAGCTCCGAATTCAGTTCGTTCACCTTCTGCTCCAAATTAGCAGACAATTCCTTTGCCTCCGAAAGAGAACGCTTCAGCCGATCTTCCTGGGAAGTCAGATCTTTAAGAGCGACGGATTTGAGTTCAGCTTCGTGCAGTGCTGCTGTGAGATCATTTATTTTGTCGGTCAAAGTCTGGTTCTTTTCCTTTAATTCAAGTTTGTCCACAGCCATTAGTTTCTTTTGAACATCAATTTGCGTTTCAAGTTCCTCCAATTTGTTCAGCGTGCTCAAGTGCTGGGCATTGGCATCCTGAATCTCGGACTGCAGGGACATCTTTTCCTGTTTAAGTTGTTCCAATTCCAGAACGTGCTGCTTACAATCTTTCTGCAACTTATGGATCTTCTCGTTCGCCGAGGCCATCAGCGAATCCAGTCGCTCATTGTTTGCTTGTTTCTCCAAGTTTTTCAGCAGTTGCAGCTGCTCCTCCAGTTGAGTTTTCTCCATTTGCAACTTATTCAAAGCCAAGTCCTGCTCAGCTTTTGTTTCCTCCAACACAGTAATTCTGTCTGCCATCGCACTCTTCTGACCTTTCATCTCCTCCAAAGAGTTTTTGACCTCCTCAAGCTCCTCTTTATCCTTTTCAAGAGCGACTTTCAATTCGCTAATTTCTGTTGTGCAAGCCTCAATCTTTGATTTTTGAGTTTCAGCCTCAGCCTGTTTTTCGCTCAAGGTTTCCCTGAGATTTTCCAATTCAGAATGATGCTTGTTAATCAAACTGTTTCTTTCCTCCTCGAGCTGAGTTATTCGTTCTTGGTGAGTGGCTTTAAGTGCTTCCAACTCCGCCTGGTCACGATCCCTAAGACTGGAGAGCTTCTCACTGGAATGCAAAAGCTCTTCCTTTAATGTAGCCAATTGGTTTTCATAGCGTTCTTTGGTTTCCTTCAATTCCAAAGTGTAAGCACGGAATTTTGCTCGGTTTTCGCCCTCGCTCACCTCAATCTTTGTCAGGAAATCCAGTTGTAGGGCATTAATCTCATCATCTTTTGCCATCTTCATGTCACTCAGTTCTTCTTTGGCTTCTTTCAATGATTCTTTGAGTGCCTCGTACTCGGATAAAAGGATCGGTTCTTCCTTCTCCTGTGACTCCGCTTTGATGCTTTGTTCGACAAGCTGCGCATTTTTCTCCTGGAGCGAGTCGATGAGGCGAAGGTCTTCGGATAGCTTCTGCGCCTGGCGATCCAGGAGATCCTGCTTCTGCTGGGTATCCGCTTCCAACTCGGCGAGTTTCACCTCCATCGACAAACAACGCTCACTCATTTCCTCAAATTCGCTCTGCAACTTGGCAATGTTGCCGTCCTTCAATTGCAGTTGGCTAACCTGGCTTTCTATTTCCGCCTTCAGATTGCAAACCTTGGTGGTTAGTTCTTCAATGGAAGCCTTAAGCGCAACCACCTCCTTCGAATCCTTCTTGGTAGGATATTCAGGAAAGGCAGAAAGAGTTTCGTCGGCCGCGGGAATTTGAAGCAGATTCTCGCTCATCGAGGTTTCCCTCACCGAGTTCTCCCTGATAACTTTGTCCTGAAGTTCTTCGTACACCATTGTTATCTCCGCGTTTTGTTTCTCCAGGGATTCGATCTGCCGCTGATAATCTTCCACCTTGTTCACAATGACGCTCTTCTCCAGAAGGGCAGACTCTAAGCTGGTCATCTGTTCGCGCATCTCGTTGATGGTTGCCTCGGTGGCCTCCATCAGGGCACTCTTCTCTTCGATCTCCTGCTCTAGCTGAGAAATGATACCAAGGAGTCGTGCTTCCTCGCCCACAGCCACCTGCTCCTGATTGAGTTGCATGATCTGGAACCTGTGCCGCTTGAGGAATCCCTTCAGGCAGACGGAATCGGATGTTTCCTGCTCGCGCATGTCACGTTCTATGTACTCCGCAGAATGTAGGCAAAGTTTGAGGCCTGGCGCATCCTGACCTTGTTGCATTTGATGGGCTCTGAAGAGGCGACTGCCACCGGAATGGTGGTGCAGCTCGATCTGTTCAATGGACTCCGAAAGCCTGACAAACTGCTGCAGAAGCTCGCAGTCGGGATTCGGTTCACTGCACTCGGTGCCCATTCCGGAACTCCTCATCGACTCCAAGTCGCAGATATTGGGGCGCTGCTTGAGTTCCTCTCGCAATGCGTCGTTCTCCTGAACGGATTCCATCAAGTCATTGGAGAGGCAATCGTATTCCTTTTGGAGCTCCTTAAAATTGGAGTCCAATTCGGAGATTTGGGCTTTTAACTCTTGATTTTTGGCTTTGAAATCTTCAGCAAGAGTTTCCGAATTCTTTGATTCTTCAAGCTTAGTCTGGGTTTCCTTCACTCGCTCTTCAAGGGATTTAATCTCCGCCTGGAATTTGGTGTTATCAGCTTGCAGCCGTTCGCATTCCTCGCTTGAAGTGAGTTTTAGATTTTTGTATTCCTCCTGCAACTTTTGATTCTTTTCCAGAACAACATCGTGTTCTGTTTGAAGGTTTCCAATGGTTAGCTGTTGATCCTGGCACTTCTGCTCCAGAGTAGAATATCTATCCTGCAGCAGGCCAAAGTCATTCTGTGCCGTGGAAAGCTGGTTAGAGAGGCGTTCACACTCATCCACCGCTGTTTTGGACACCTCGTAGTTGGACTGAATGCTTTCCATCTGGGCTCGAGTGGCGACAAGCTCCTCCCTCAACTGATCACATTCGCAGGCATCGTTTTTGCTTTCCAAATCTGCAAGTTTCTCCTCCAGTTCCTCACACTTATCGCAGGTTTGGCCTTCACTTGATTGTATTTTTGGACACATGGATCTCATGAGATCTTCCTTGGTGTTACCCAACACATCCCGCGACAAATCGTCTAGGGACTTTTGCAGTTTCTCTATGGCCGAATCCTTTTCAGCAAGAGCTGACAGCAAGTCATTCACCCGCAATTTCGACGATTTCTTGTGGGCTTCGAACTCAAACTCCAGGCTCACAGCATCGCGGTTTTCCACTTCCAGTTTGGTGATTGTTTGCTTCAAAGCACTCAGCTGCACCTCTTGTTCTTCGATCTTTAAATTGGCTGCCTGGTTGACTGCCTTCAAGTTGGTAACCTCCTCCTCCAGTGAATCACAACTACAATAGGATTATACGGAAAAATTGTATTAAATAAATTCATGGTATAAATTCAGAATAAAGTTAGATCAATATTGCTAGTTAAGATCCAGGCGGAGAATAAAGATTATAGACTTTTCGAGTAGTAACAAAATTTCTTCACGATACAAACAAATCGGACGACAATATGTGAAAGCAAAAGATTCCTTTCTTGTCCGAAAAAAGCCCCTTGCACTCACCGCTCCTTTTCGGCTAAAGAATCTTGCTCTAACTGATCCCGCTGGGCAGTGAGCTCAACCAGCTTTTCTTTCAAACCCTGCACCTCTTCGCACTCCACCTCGAAGTGCTTCTCTAAGCTGGTGAACATTTGCAGGTCGTGGACCTCCTTCTTGATCTTCTCCAAGCTAAGCAAGCGGATGGTTCCATGGATGAATGATTGTTATGTGTGATGTGTGCAATGAAGTATGGTTATGGTTAGTGTTGATTATGCCAAGGACTACTTACGTTGCGGGACCCATTTGACTAGCGATAGGCGTCAATGACAAGTCCGGAAGTTGTCTGCTGGTCAACATGGCTTTCTGGACATCTAATCGAGGGGATCCAAAGTCAATGCAATCCGCAGGAAGGAATTCTTCATTGTTATTCCACTGCCTGTAGTACCAATATCCAGGGATCTGAGGATGTTAATTGTCTTTGGAATGTTGTCCCATCGTTTTCCGACATTAGAGTTGGGAAAGAACACTGGTTTTGGTAAATGAGAGGCCTTTGAAAACGGAACCAAACGGTCATCCGTGATTTTAGTACTGTCAGATGTTTCCAATTCAGGGCCAGAAGCAGCGGGACACCAAGTACGACGACGCTTTTGCTTGCTATTGTCGCTCAGCGAAGTGCTCGAGATGATCTTGTGCATGTCCCGCTTGATGCGTCGCTCCAGATCCTGCACCTTCAACTGGCTCTCGTTCTTGCGCTCCTCCTCGGCCAGCTTGTCCTTCAGCATCTTGATCTCACGCTCCAGCCGCTTCATCATTGTGGCATCGGAGACCATCTCGTTGACCTGCGGCTTGATCCGAATCTTCTTGGCACGCGTGGCGAAGCTTAGAGTAGATTGTGACTCCTCCATTATCGAGGGTTTGATTGTGCAGATAATTGACGTTAAAGCATTGCCGCCCAGCGAAGCCTGCAGGATGCGCGTGAGCTTTGAGTCGCGGAAGCTGATGAACTTGTTGTCCACGTTCTCGGAAAGGCTCTTTATCACATTGCTGAGAAAGAGCAAGCTCTTGTTAATGTGTCCGCCTTCCTTGAGTCGTGCTCCTCGGGCGCCCGTCTGATCCGCCCGCTCAGAACCAGCCAGATCTACTAGGTTCAGCACACTCTGTATTACAGCATCGTCGTCGCTGGGGTCAGACTTTCGGGATTCAATAATCTAAAGGAAAAATATGATAATAATAAATGGTTTTTAATATCTATCTAAAACACTTACTATGCGGAAAATGGCGTGCGATCGACTGGATCGCTCGTTCATATTTGTTTCGCCCACGGTGCGCTCCTTGTTGCCCATGCAGAGGAGTCTCAGTAAGTCATCCTCGCTAGTAATAATGCACTCCTCGCAGTTAACGTTCACAATTCCATTGCCCGCCTCGTGGATCTTGAGATCCTGGTTCTTCTTGTTCAGCAGATCGTAGATCTTCTCGTTGTATATCTCAATGTAGCCCACGCGCAGCAGGAAATCGCGTTCCGTCTCACTGGAGATCTGCTGAAAGATCTCCTTGGCGGCCAGCACCATCACGCCGGGATTTTGGCCGTCACCCATCATGGTGTAGGTTTTCCCTTTTGAGTTGCAGGGTTTAGAGTATATTGGGTATATATATAGCTTATATACTTACCCGATGAGGTCTGTCCGTAGGCAAAAATAGTGCCATTGAAGCCCTGCATGCAGGCGTGCACAATGTGTTTGGCCATCCGGTCGAAAACCTCCTGGTTGTTGGCTCCTTCATCGAACACATAATCTGCGGAGCAAAGGATGCGGATAACGCTCTGAGGGATTTATATTTCGGTTGATTACCCACCAAAGACGCAGGGCTCTGCGTGACTGTCCACTAATTGAATTGAACGACCCTCTTTCACCTGCCACAAGGATGTTAGTCCTGGCTCGCAGGGACGCACCTTGATGCACACTTGAATCGAGCTGGCGTTCTTCGCCGACATCTTCAACATTCACAGTTTACGATACGAACAGCGCAGTTTAAAAACAAAAATAGACTTTACTGCTTCACAGGGGACGAATTGTAATCGACATTTTATTTCTCACTGTTAAATTCGAACAAATACCGCTTCGCGTGATTAGAGACGCAAACGCTTCGATTGTCGCTTGTTGATGCGAACCAGTTCAATGCCTTCTTCGATAGTCGCTTTTCCTGGGAACTAGTTCGATAAGCACGAATCTTTTAAAACCATTAGGTTTGAACTAGTAATTGGCGGGTTATTGGTGTTTTCTGAGAGTTACCCAAAATACCAAAGTTGTAATAATATTTTTGGTATATTTCTGCCAAAGCATTCAGCTTTTGTCCGAGTAACCGGCAGACATGATCAGCTGGTAATAATTTCCAAATTTTATTAACAGAAAGGCAATTAAATTTGACCGCGTCATTTTTAATTTATTTTTCGGATGTGATCTAAAACTGCAAAACTGGAAACTGGCTTACCATTGAACCTGTGGATTTTAGATTTCCTATAAACCGAACAAAACCGTAAGAAAAAAGTTTAAATGCGGGCATTACCAATATGTAATAATAAACAATTTTACATAATTTTAGGGAAATGGAGAAAACTTGTCGAGCTTGCTTAAAGTTGTCGGTAGCCTCTTTGAATATTTTTAAGAGCACAACAGAATCTGGAACCCCAATCGCTGAAATTATTTCAAAATGCACAGGATTTCAAGTTTGTAAGGGAGATCAGTTTCCTGAAGAAGTTTGTATGGATTGTCTACTGGATGCTAAAAACGCGTTTGAAATCAAGCTAATTTATGAGAAGAGCCACAAGTTATACAGCCAACAAAAAAAGGATTACTTAAGAAAAAAATATAACTTGAATTGTAAAGTAAGGATTAAGCGACTGAGAAATTCGCTAGTAAAGAAGAAAACTAATGATAATGCGGATAAAGATTCTGTGCCCGGTGATATCGATGCCTGTGAGAATCACAGCGACAACAATGACAATGTTTCAGAAGGACCTCTGTACAAGTGCTCATATTGTTCGAAGAGTTTCAAACAAAAAAGATATCTTAGACGACACCTGCGAATACACACAGGTGAAAAACCATTCCAGTGTTCCCACTGCCCCAAGGCTTTTCGACGTTCCCCACACCTTCAGTGTCATCTGCGAACCCACACAGGAGAACGACCGTATAAGTGTCCAAATTGCTTGTCGGCTTTTTCACAGGAACAAAATCTCAAAAAACATTTGCGCATACACACAGGAGAACGAGAGTACAAGTGTTCCCACTGTCCAAACTCATTTATAACAAAACATCAAGCGGAAATCCACTTGCTAAGCCACTCCACGGAAATCAAATTCAAGTGTACCCACTGCCCAAAGGCCTTTAAACATCCAATTTCTCGTAACAATCACGAACGAACGCACTTAAAAAACCCACCACATCATTGTTCTGCTTGTTCAAAGACTTTTGTCTCGGACAACAGTCTCTCATATCATTTACAAACGAAAGCACACAAAATAAATATGACAAAAAAATAATAAATATAAAAGCAAAACCACTTCTATGTAATTACAATAGTAGTTTATTTTTATTTCGTTTTTTTTTCATTTCGCTTTCTGGTCTATTCCATAGTTTCTATGTTTAATTTTTGGAATGTCATAAAATCACCTTAAACACTAATACGAGTACCATTTAAAAATTGCATTACAAATGATTGCACATTAATTTAAAATAATTCCAGATAAATACGTATAAATTGTATATGTATACGAAAATTCAATGAATTAAATATACAATACTTTTTAGGAAACAATACAAATTATAAATAATTGTGTGCATAGCATTTTTGTTAAATTCTTCGAAGCATTGGCTGTGTGATGCTCACTTGGTAGACGACCCGCAATCGGATCAATACGTTAATATAATACTAATCAAGAAAATCAGGCGCTTAAAGACGACATCTCCAATGGAGTTATTTTAACACAAATTTTTAGCATCCTTAGTCATTGACAGCTATTTTTGGAGTAGATCATAATCGTGATACTCGGGGAATTTTAAAAATGAGTCGGTAAACCTAAAGGAAGTGGATGTTGTACAATTAACTTTAAATACTATTGTTATTAAGATACTTTTTTCTGAAAATTATCAGATACGACAATTTGAAATGAGAGAGCTTGCAGCATAAATTTAACAAAATTAAAAACAAATTATCAAAGAACAATGCCATATCACGATTACACGTTCGTTATAAATTAGCTTCTCAGATTTATTTTTCGCCTACACGAGTATATCAAAATCAAGATACTTGGTGATATAAATGTTTAGTCAGAATAAAGTACTATTAACCTTTCATAATAAAATATTTTTCTGTATAAAAACTGAAAAAAAAAGTCGTTAGACTGATTATAACAAAAGAAGAACGGATTCTTTCGATTTGTCCTTCTTGGTGAAGGATAGCTGCTCAATTAGTTTCGTTTGCATATTAAAAAATACATATAAATCGTGATAAGCGTTTTTAAAAAAGAAAAGTATTGTAACAAATAATAATCGTTAGAATAGGGGAGCTTGAGGGTAATAAAAGATCAATGGAATATCACGATTAGTCCTTAACTAGTTATGGATTAGCTGCTCAGTTTCCAGTTCCGTTTGCAGCTCAGCCCGCTTGACTAGAGTTTGAGCCACCGCCGCCTCCGCTAGCGAGTCCGCCGCAGCAATTGCTCTGCGCAGCCTTGGCACTGAAACTACCTAGTCCGATGGAGCCGCCCTCAGACTGTCGTTGGGCGGCCGCCGCCGCAGCCGAGGCACTTCCGTCCTTGCTCCTCGCCTGACCAATCAGTTCGGCGGCTATTTCGTAGAACAGCCGCTCCACGTTCTCCGCCTCCTTGGCAGATGTCTCCAGGAAGTACATGTCATGCTGTTTGGCGAATTCCTCGCCTATCTGTGTGGGTATCTCGCGGTCATCCCGATCCGTCTTGTTCCCCACCAGAATCTTGAGCACCTTGGAGTTGGCGTACTCCTGGATTTCGCGCAACCAATCCGGCAGACAGTCGAAGGTGGGCTGGCAGCTAATGTCGTAGACCAGGATCAAGGCATGAGCGGACCGATAGTAGCTCTGCGTAATGGAACGGAACCGCTCCTGGCCTGCGGTGTCCCAGATTTGCAGCTTGATTTTCTCGCCTTCTACTTCCACCGTTTTTATCATGAAGTCCACGCCGATGGTGGCTCCTTGGCCAGGTGGGAAAAGTCCTTGAGTGAAACGGCGAACCAAGCAGGTTTTTCCCACGCCCGCATTTCCGACCAGGACGATTTTGAAAAGGAACTTGTAATCCTCCATTTTGGGGCTGTGGCCAAAATGAGTTTGTTTTTTTTTTTTTTTGGGTTACCTGGGTGTGATTGTGTGTGTGCTCTGCAAAGGTAAAGGAAAGTTAGTCGGAGTTTAGACACACCTCAGTCAGCGACGCGTAACGATTATATTGTGATGATGGTGAGGTGGTTGGTCGTTGGATCGGCTTACGCCATCCTCGCCGAAGACTACGCCTCTCACCTGTGGCTCACCTGGGGCTCTATTACTGGCTGGGTAGTAATTTAAGTGGCTAAAACGACCTTGTTTTTTTTGGATTATTTGGCTAAAACACTGATGACTCAACAGCAAAAGCAGGTGCTCTTTTCTCGCTTATCGCCTTGATACGGCCCTAAATGCATTCATTGGGCTTTTGGTCAGGTTCCTATAGCTCTCTATATCCGGGAAACTGCAATCAACTGGTTGCATGCTGGCGCATTAATTGCCAGCCTACTTTTCGCGTATGTTTACCAACAGAATTTTGCTGTTTTTCGACTGTGATGGTATTGAATTTGACCAGTGTGACCGAAGCGTACTGGCAAGAAATCATTGCCTATCATTTGAAGTTTATGTTCGTCGATTGTGTTTTGTAATGGACAAAAAAACTTATTTTTTAATAACCTTGCATCACATGGTGCAGAGCCAATATCTTAATAAAAAAAACTTTGTGCCTTCTATGAATTTTTTTTAAATATTTTATTTATCTCCAGTAATTATTTATATTAAATGTTAACAATGGTAATTCCTTTAGAACTAGTTAGTTTAATTATAGATCAATGAATTTCCACGAAATTAAGAATTTTTATCGATAATTACAAACCTAAGGAATGTTTCCGCGTAAAAAATTAGTCAACTGTTATTTAATATATTTTTTCTGTAGAATACCGATCTATCGATGTTACATCGCTGGTTCTATCGATAATTTTCGAGACAACCCTGAAGCCGAAAACAAGCAGCCACGCTAGAGAAGAAAATCTAGTGGAAAATTCTGAAAAATTGTACTTTGATAAACGCAAAAGCCAAAAAAGAAGTTCGTAAGTGGTACTGCGAATTGCGCTGTGCGTCCCCACCACATTTTGATTTCTCCAAACGTGCCAGACGCCGAACAGACGACTTTTTTCACGGAGCACCCCGCACATCAGCGGAAAGAACCAGGGAATTTTCAAACATGGCCGAGGACTTTGATGTGGAGGCGATGCTTGAGGCGCCGTATCAGAAAAACGTAAGTTCCGAATGCCGGAAATCATTTGATTATCGTTTAATTTAAGACCCACTCTGGTTATTTGTGCCAAAACCGAATGCGAATATTTTGCTGCTATATAAAGAAAGAAAAACAGTTACTTCATATATGTACGTTTGTATACTTCTTTTCCTCACATAGGCACCCACAGGCGCTTGTGTACGTACGTGCATTTTGTGTTTGTATGTAAGTCGTCGTATCGGGCACACACACAAACACACACACACATGTGCACTCGATGCATACTAAGTGGTCTTAAATCGATTTTTAACCTAATTTTGTTGTTAAATAAAAAATCGGCAGACTGCGTGCTGATTTTCGTTTTTTTTTTTTCATATGTTTTTCATACTTGACTGCGTGCATAGAGAAAATTATTTCGCCCACGAGAAAATCTGCCTGTGTGTGGGTTTTTGTTGTTTATTTTCATACGCGGCATTTGAAATAGTCGTGTCCTGATTGCACTGGGTTTTGGGGTACAATGGCGTACAAAATATTTTGTAAAGGGCAAACAAAACGCGTAACAAGTGTTTGGAAACCAAATATTTATTTCAAAGAAAGCATGTTCTAAAAAAATATCATTTACAGGTTAATATTACTTACATTCAGGTTTTGAGAACATTTTAAGTTGCCTAAATCTATTTAGTTGACTTGGACTTTGCTTTTTTAACCGACTGACCTAGTTTGTCTTTCGTGTTTAATATATATTTTTGTTTCCTTATCTTATCTGATAATACCAACTGCATTTAAACCTAAAAATGAAAATTTTATCCCAGTGTAAATCTATTATATGATCGTAATTGGTTTAACCTTAGCTGTAATCATAACAAAAATCTATAAATATACTTAAAAGATGGGATTATATAAACGTGAAAATGAAATTGACAGTTGGCGAACTAGTATAAATGTTTGTACAGTTTATCAAATGCACTTGGGTTCATATAAAATTCAACCCCAAAAGTACGGAATTATTTAAAGTCCCTCTCGTTCCAAATCAACCGAAACCGTGTTGAATGCTCTGATTTCCTTCTATCTGCGTCTCACAAAGAACAACCAAAACTACCCACACACAATCACCATTAAAAAATTAAAAAATCAAACCAAAATGCTAGAATAATTCTTAAGGGTGAAATGTCTTTGCAGAGAATCGAATAAGCTCAATATTGTTGCTAGAGATTGTTTTGGTCATTCTAAACACAAAAAGCTGGAGACCATTTGGTAAGTTTTGAATGTGCCAGAAGCTGCGAAAAAAACCAATTACAAAATTACAAAACGATTAAAAAAAAAAAACCAAAACATATCTAGGCATTTTGTATTCAATATGATTTGTTTATGTTTGAGTTTTTTTGAACACAATCCAATTGAAATTCGTTACTTACTGCTCTATGTAAACCATGAAACTGAACGTGCACTAAATTTCAGATATACTCCTCCTAACTTGTCTGGGGCAGCAGGCAGCACTACTACTACTCTCACTCACAGTCAGACAAGAAAGAAAGTATCGCTCAAATTACAAATTACAGATTTACCATATAACAGAAATCGATATCGAAAAATGTGCAATAATGACCAACACAAAAGCCAAAAAAGCTAAACCTATTTGAAAAATACAAAACGTAATAAGCAATTCTTAAACTTTAGCACTACAATCTTACTTATATAATGTCTATGTCCTATATATATATAGACGACGACTTTTTGAGAACCAATCAACCAGTCCACTCCACTAGCCAGCGCTAAACATTCCCCCAAAACTGAACTGATTGAGATTGAGAATGAGAATGAGCATGAGAAATTTGCCCATGTGGAGACAACATTTCTCGCCGTCGTGAACCATCTGTGTGTGTGCCATATATACAATATATTTATATATAATATATTTACCAAAACTACGTATAAGATCTCTATATATCTATATCCTTATTACTACCTTGCTAAAAATTGGCAATGATCCCCAAATGATCATTGTTGACTTAAGCATTTCTACTTTATATACTTGCAGATTCCAAAAATTTAACTAATTTACTTTGATTTGCTTTCTCTTATTCAAAAAAAAAATATTTACGAAACTGAAAAATAATATATCATAACAAACTCAAATGATATAATCGAAAATCAACCAACATCAACAACGACAACAACGTAACGAACGATCAACACCCGTTATGTGTTCCCACCCACCAACAAAAACTGAAACCAATCGACAACAAACAAAAAAAAAAAATAATCCTCTTATCTGTATCTACATTATTGCTTGCGCCCAACCCACCCCTCCTCCCTGTCCACTCCAACTCCCGAACCCATCCACAAAAACAAACAAAACAACCTATCTGTGCAGAATGTCAGTGCGGGCAGCGGTGGACGTGGTGGACGCAGGCGCAGCGGCAGCAGTCCCGGCGGAAACGGAGGTCACGACGACGACTATTCGGAGAATGGTCCGCGGAACGGCAGCGACATCCGCACGGGGAGCTCACACAAAAAGCAAAGCAAGCGGTCCCGGTAAGTGCCATTGATATCTTAAGTTGCATTTAGGGTAACGGAGACAACGAGCTTTCTAAACTACATACTTCTAAACAAAGATAACAAATTTCTTGAAAAACTATTTATTTATTTGTTTAAAGCTTTCTTGAAAATCAGTCACACAATCATTATGGAAAATTATATTTTTAAAGAGAAAAGCTCGTTGTTTTTGTATCGAATCATTGAGAATACAAACCAATTCTAACGCCATACCTTTCCCACTATCGCAGGAGTAGAAGCGGCTCACGTGACGGCAAATCCCGGCGAGATCGCGGCAGTGAACGCAGCAGCCACCGGGACAAGGATAAAGAGCGCGAGCGACATCGCGATGGAAACGATAGGGATCGTCACCGCAGAGAAGGTGAACGCGATCGGGAGCGAGATCGAGAACGTGAACGCGACAGGATTCGACGCAGTCGATCGCGGGATGAGCGTGGCGACGATCGTCGCATACGCTATGGCGATCGCGACAGGGACCGCCGCTCGAGAGATCGTCGCGGTGGCAGCAAGTCCTTGCAGCCGGATCGATCCAGGGATAAACGTCGACGCAGTCGCTCTCGTGATCAGCGCAAACGGTTGAGTCCGATTCGTGAACGCAAGCGCAGCCATTCCCGCTCAAAGGATCGAAAGTAAGTAGAACTCTAACATGTGAACAAATATGCTTTTTCCTGGATAAGATATAAAATCAACAATCCTTTTTTAAAATTATAAAGCTGTTACAAGTTGTTGAATCAACTAAGCCTGCATAGGAAAAGTAGCATTTGTTTATTTTCTACATGGCTGTTGCAAATGTTTAACATGTTTATTTTTCCAATTGCAGCAGCCGCCGTCGAGGCACCCATTCGCCACGTCGTCGCTCGCCGGCAAACGGAACTGGCGACCGAACCCCGCCCACCGAACTCAGTCCCGAGGAACGTGACGCCCGCACCGTCTTCTGCATCCAGCTGTCGCAACGAGTGCGATCCCGTGATCTCGAGGAGTTCTTCTCCAGCGTGGGCAAGGTGCGCGACGTGCGCCTGATCACGTGCAACAAGACAAAGCGCTTCAAGGGCATCGCCTACATCGAGTTTGAGGATCCGGAGTCGGTGGCACTGGCTCTGGGATTGTCAGGCCAGCGGCTGCTTGGCGTTCCCATCATGGTGCAGCACACGCAAGCGGAGAAGAACCGTCTCCAGAATGCGGCACCCGCATTCCAACCGAAAAGTCACACAGGTCCCATGCGCCTCTACGTGGGATCGCTGCACTTTAACATCACCGAAGACATGCTGAGGGGCATTTTCGAGCCCTTTGGCAAGATTGATGCGATCCAATTGATAATGGATTCGGAAACAGGTCGATCCAAGGGATACGGATTTATCACGGTGAGTTTCTGGTTTCTTTAACTATTAGCAACATTATTAAATCTGCTTTATTTTATGTTGCAGTACCACAATGCTGACGATGCCAAAAAGGCTTTGGAACAACTGAACGGCTTTGAGCTGGCCGGTCGCCTGATGAAGGTGGGCAATGTGACGGAGCGTCTGGACATGAATACCACCTCACTGGACACGGACGAGATGGATCGAACCGGGATCGATCTGGGTGCCACGGGGCGCCTGCAGCTGATGTTTAAGTTGGCTGAGGGAGCCGGATTGGCGGTGCCACAGGCGGCGGCGAATGCCCTGCTGGCCACAGCTCCACAACCAGCGCCGGTGCAGCAACAGGAGGCGGCTCCGTCGATAGCCACGCAGTGCTTCATACTGTCCAATATGTTTGATCCACGCACCGAGACAAATCCCACCTGGGACGTGGAGATCCGGGACGATGTGCTGGAGGAGTGCGCCAAGCACGGCGGAGTGCTGCACATCCACGTGGACACCGTTTCGCCAACGGGCACCGTTTACGTCAAGTGTCCGGGAACAACGACTGCGGTCCTGGCGGTGAACGCGCTCCACGGACGCTGGTTTGCCGGACGCGTGATTACCGCAGCATATGTGCCCGTTATCAACTACCACACCATGTTTCCGGATTCCATCAACGCCGTCAATCTGGTGCAGTCCACGCGCAAGAACACCGACGATTGAACAGGATAACATGAGTGGACAAAGATATTGTTATTATTCTTCGTTACAAAAAACTAATTTTTGGTCAAAACTTTTTCAATTTTTTTTAAAGACTTTCGACGCAAGCTGAAAAAAACTAGGGGCACATATTAAATTACAATTAAATACATTTATAAATATATATGAATCGAAAAATTACTTTAACACTTCTCGCCTTCAACTATCTATGACCGTGAACTAATTATATTATAGGCCGCCTGAAATGCTGCATGATCGAATTACTGATGGAAAATTACTTAGTTTTAGTGCTTGATTTGTAATTTGCTAGTTTGACCGCCAAAAATGTAAGGACACTGACCGATCCATCGATAGTTCGCTAGCCCAGAACTTGATTTTAAAGAACATTAATTATTACAAAATCACACATTCGTTAAGACAGCCTAGTTTTACAATACATATACATATTTTGTAGAAAAAAAACTAATCAAAAATAAAATACGAAATCGAAATGTTTGAGTTTCAAGCGGCGATATCATTTGGCGGGTCCTCAGTGGTTCTTAGTGCAGCCCTGATCCTTGATGGGTGTTGGGAACCAGTTTACGTTCATGAACTACCGGTTCATTTCAGTGAGCTCGCGATTAATCGATAGCTACGGGTGTCGACGCCGCTGGAAATAAACAAAAATTTCTTAAGTTCATAACAAAAGAATAGACCAACCTAAGCATACGGAGTTGGTAAAATGTCGAATGCGCAGCGCTCGTTTGTGCAAAAAGTTTCTAAGTAAGTTGACTGTCAACGGTAATTCTATTCTTAAACAAAGAAACGCCCTGTAATTGTGTCTATACCCATTTGTTCTACCCCAGGCAGTCGGCAGCGGATGTCAGAAAAAATGTTTCTAATTGCCATTTATCAAAGACAATCGACCCATCATTGTGCGCTTCCACGGTAAAACTTCAATACAATTCCAGTATAACCTTTATTAATGATTTTTTTATTAAAGGCTTCGCCGACGGAACCGCTTGACTATGAAGAATTTCTTTCCCAACATATGAATATTATCAACCGGGACCCCTTGAAACATATATTGGATTTCCCCCAAGGAGATTTAACTGTTAAAGTCATTCCTCGGAAGATCCGAACAGTTGATCATATTGTTCCGACAGAAAATTTGTATGTATGAAGACTACTTTATACTTTTGCTAACGAGAATGAATTTTTCAGAGCTGATTTGTCACAGCACGTCCAAGAATGTGTAAACTGCTATACAAGGCCATGGAAGGTAGTCGAATATGCACAGCGGCACCTGTCCAGCTCGTGCTATGTCCGCGAGCGTATCGATCGTGGAACCATAAGCCCTTCCGCGTACCAACAAGAGTTTGAGATTGATAAGGATTTCTCAACGTTTGAGGAAACATTCGCTTATAAAAGTGAGAGCTGCACTCCAAGCTCTAGACAATCCATAGCAAGCTTGGCTTCAGATAGTTCTTGTACGGATACTTTGACACCACGTGGGTCTTGGGCTAGCTTTGATCTTCGACGTTCTGTTAATGATCCACTGATACCAAACTTGCTGGACAATGTTCCGCCCGAGAACATTGATCAAACCAACGAAGCACGCCGGCAACAGGATCGCCAAGTGGCCATTTTCTCACTATATCCGGAATCGGAAGCGGAGGAAAGCGTTGAGCGCCGACTGCTCGCGGAAATCCCTGTGGAACACATGGGTCATCGCATCCAGGTCAAATGCCTGCAGCTGCGGCTTGAGCTTGAGGTGGAACCAATTTTCGCCTCGATGGCCATTTATGACGCCAAAGAACGACAAAAAATTTCGGAAAACTTCTACTTCGACATGAACTCGGATAATCTTAAACGAATGTTGTCAAGCCACGTCCAATGCGCCGACATCAGTACCCAGAGTCACTCGGCCATATTTGAAATTTCGTATCCCAGCAATGATTTGTTTCTGGTGATTCGCCTGGAGAAGGTCCTTCAGGGTGACATTAACAATTCTGTGGAACCATATTTAAAGGAAGACAAAGATAAATATCGGGACAAGGTTAAATCCAACGCTGCGGACTATTGTGAGCGATTGGGCAAATATCGAATGCCGTTTGCATGGACAGGCATCTACTTAACCAACGTTTTCAATGGCGATAATTTTGAAAGCAAAGACGGTGGCGGGGCAGACCGCGACTCTGCTGGAAGCGGAACAGGTGGTGGATTGGGCACCGCTCCGAGCTCCAATAGCTTGGACCGGAAGTCCTCAACCAGCAGCTTTGATCAACTAAGACGCAAGGCTAATGACATGAGTGGAACCCTCACCCGGCGCGGTTCTCTTGAACGAAAGGAGAAGCGGCGATCTTGGTCACCAGATGATTTTGCTAATGTTGTTGAAAACTTTCGACCCATCACCATTACAGTGCCGAGTTTCTTCAAACAAGAGGCAGATAAAATGAAAGACGAAGATTTGTATAAAATTCTACCAGAGTTGAAGAGACCTAGCTCAGTTATGAAGAAGTATAAATGCATACCAGGCTCTATTAAACTGGAAATATTACCTTGCATTGATGAAGTTAAGAACGCACTTACACCGGAACTGGCCGTTATAAACCCTCAACCAGCTGAAAACATTCGTCCAGTCAAGGAAATCCTGGAGTTTCCACAATCGGCCATTTACAATCCCCATTATACCTACCGGAATCTGCTTTTTGTGTCACCAAAGGAGTTAAATTTCTCTTCGCGTGCTGGCTCTGCCCGAAACATTGCAGTTCGCATACAACTTATGGCAGGTGAAACCCCAAAGGATGCGGTTAATGCCATTTATGGCAAATCATCTTGCCCGAAGTTTTCAACGGAGGCATTTACGGCAGTCAATTACCACAACAAGTGCCCGTCATTCTATGATGAGATCAAAATAGCCTTGCCTGCATCAATAAAGCAGAATCACCACCTGTTTTTCACCATTTACCATGTGTCCTGTCAAAAGAAGCCCCAGGACATACAGCCCTCTGTAGAGACGCCCATCGGCTACACATGGCTGCCATTGCTGGATGATGGTAAACTTAAGGTTGGCGAATTTAATCTGCCTGTTATGCTGGAATCGCCACCAGAAAACTACTCATTTATACCACCAAATGTCCATCTCCCTGGAATCAAATGGCTAGACAATCATAGAGCCGTATTTTCTATCAATGTGGAAGCAGTGACTGCAGTTCACACCTTGGACTCGTATCTGGATCGATTCTTTTTAATATGCGAATACTTGGATTCGCGCAACATCCCTTCCCATATCGGCGAAAGCAATATAGAGGCGGAGTTGAAGAAATGCTTGCTAGATATCGAGCACACTAATCGTGAACCTTTAGTGAGGCACCTGCCATTGGTTCTGGATAAGCTCATCGAATTGTTGGTAATGACACACAAAATTGGTGGACAGGCTATGTCTCTGGGCTCCACAGTTTTCGAAGTTCTTTGCTTAGTATCGTCACTTTTGTCAATACTGAACGACGACCAATACGATCAATACGGACGCCAAAGTTTGCTTTCAACTTATGTGCAATTTCAATGTAAAATTCCGCACCCATTTCAAACCAATCAGCGACTTACGAGCAGTCGCAGCACAACGGACGAATTGCAATTAACCGAAACGTACAGATTGTATGATAATGTTTTGACTAGTGGTCGGAGTTTAGATCGCAAAGGTACAAATAATATTCGTAATATCGCATAAACTAATGGTTTTACTTTTTAGATCTATCGATGGACATAAGTCACTCGATTGCTGGACGGGATGTCCAAGTGCGCCTGCTACACGAAGAGTTGGCTTTACATTGGGTCGTTGCTAGTGGAAAAGCCGCCGATTTAGCCATGTCGAATTCATGGTTTCTATTTGAGCTCATTGTTAAGTCTATGATTGAACACTTGCACAGTTCGAATACTTTAAATGGACCCCGCAAAAATCGGTTTCCGCATCAATTCAACGATGATCTTTCCACACTTGTGCACTTGGTTACCACAAAGGTAGTCGGCTATCATAGTAACGAGCCCAAACTAGCACAGTCCCTGAACGCAAGCTTAAGCTTCTTTATATTTGACATACTTAGCGTCATGGACCGGGGATTCGTTTTCGGTCTGATCAAAACGTATACCAAGGTTCTGATTTCTAAAAATGCTTCAATACCTGATCTAATGAACTATAAAATAGACTTCCTGAGAATTGTGTGTAGTCATGAGCACTTTGTAGCTCTCAATTTGCCATTTGGAACTTCGTACACGATGGTCTCGGCGGCTCCTTGTAGCCCAACGCCGAGCACAACGTCGAGCAACAGCCAAACTTCATGCGTAAGCCTAGACTTAAAGAACTGAAATACTTTTTTACTTACTTACTCACTTTTTACAGGGATCCCTCGAGCGAGCGCTTCACGCTGACCTCAGTCAGGAGTTTCTGCAGCAACATTTTCTGGTCGGACTTGTTCTCAGTGATTTGTCTGCAGTAATGGAGGTGCCCAATCCCCAGCTACACGGAAAGGCGATTCGCTGCATCCGCAACCTGATGACGTCTCACGACTTGGACACTCGGTATAGCGATACAGAAGCCCGTGCACGGGTAGCTGCCTTGTACATACCATTGCTATCCATTGTTATGGACAGCCTTTCTCAACTGCATCAGCACGGACTTGATCAGGATCGTTTACAGCAGATCGGTCAGCTAGAAGATTATCAAGGCCCACATCAAACTATAACAACAACAACTATAAATCCGGAAGTCGCATACGCAATTTCTGGAAGTCGTCCTTACTCCTACTTCAACGAACAAGTTAAAAACAAATCGCCACTGAGTTCGGAGAATACCCGCCATTTGCTGGTGTGTTTCCTTTGGGTGCTAAAGAATTTAGAAAGGAATGTTTTATACCGCTGGCTTTTGGACCTGAGTCCACACAGAGTGCACCAAATGCTTCAAGTTGTTAATGTCTGCCTGAAAACGTTTGAGTATACAGGACAAAAACACGTTCCCACTCTCAAGCGAACCAATACACAAAGTTTTAGGAAAACTGGCTCCACTGATGTTAAGGAAAAATTGGAGGAATGCATTAGGGGCACGAATTCAGCGCGTTACGATTTAATAAATCGTAGAAAGGATCGAAACTCTACGGAGAAATTCCGCTGGCGAAAAGACCAAATGCCATATCGTTCACCCTATGTAGATGGTGTTGGCAAAAGTGAGCACGAACTGGAAATAAGTCATTTTATTGAAGGCTCTTTGGCGACTGAAGTTTCCCTTGTACTACTCGACACTCTTGAAATAATTGTTCATGTTGCAACCAACCATTACCATAACCTTCTTGGAACTGTGCTCAAGGTGCTACTCCATGCACTGTCACGCAATCAGTCCACTTTGGCGCTGCAAAACTTGTTTGCCTCCCAACGCGCTCTGATTTTCAAATTTCCGAATTTATTATTCGACGACGAAACAGACATTTGCGCAGACTTGTGTCTAATTTTATTGAAGCATTGTGGATCTCTTTTGCCAGGGATCCGATCACAGGCAGCTGCATCATTATATTTATTAATGAGGCAAAACTTTGAAATCGGCAATGTAAGTTTCACTTTTGGGGAAATTATAACATTTCTAATTGCTGATTTTTTACTTTTAGAACTTTGCTCGTGTGAAGATGCAAGTGACGATGTCTTTAAGTTCCCTAGTTGGCACAAGTTCGGTTTTTAGTGAACAATCGCTGCGTCGTGCTCTGAAAACAGTTCTAGTCTACGCTGAGTCCGACTCCGATCTACAGGATACATCTTTTCCAGAACAAGTGCAAGATTTGCTTTTTAATCTCCATATGATATTGTCGGATACAGTTAAGATGAAGGAGTATCAAGAAGACCCAGAAATGCTGCTTGATCTGATGAATCGTATTGCAAAGGGATACCAAAACAATCCTGATCTACGACTGACTTGGCTGGAAAACATGGCTAAGAAACACCGCGAGCGCGCTAATCACACGGAAGCAGCAATGTGCTATGTACATGCCGCTGCTTTGGTTTCGGAATATCTTAGCATGTTGGAGTCCCAAACACATTTGCCTGTTGGAGCAGTGTCTTTTCAACGCATTTCTCCCAACACACTCATGGAGTCCGCCGTTTCGGACGATGTGCTCAGTCCTGGCGAAGATGGAATCTGCTTGGGAAACCATTTTACTGAAACTGGATTGAAGGCTTTGCTAGAAGAAGCTTCGAATTCGTTTCAAGTTGCTGGCATGTATGAGGCAATGAACGAGGTGTACAAGATTTTGATTCCCATTTGCGAAGCCAATAGAGACTTCCAAAAACTAAGCAAAGTGCATGGCAAGTTGCAGGAAGCATTTAATCGAATAGCGCAGCTACAGGTAAAGAAATATTTATAAATATTCTAGCTAAAACTGTATCTTTAGATTTATAAACAGGGAAAACGAGTTTTTGGCACATACTTCCGGGTAGGATTTTATGGAGGAAAGTTTGGAGACTTAGACCAACAGGAGTTCATCTATAAAGAGCCGACTTTGACAAAACTGCCGGAAATATTCAGTCGTCTTCAAGTATGTAATAAACGTTTTTTGGTTGATCAATCTTAATTTATACTTTACTTAAACGCCGTGTAGAACTTTTATACTGAACGCTTTGGACCGGACTCTGTGCATATCATCAAGGACTCCAATACAGTCGATATCAACAGTTTAGATCCCGATAAAGCTTACATTCAAATTACTTATGTAGAGCCCTATTTCGAAACCTATGAAATGCGTCATCGTGAAACATACTTTGAACGGAATTTCAACATAAGTAAGAACTAGAATTAAGATTTTATATTGCTCAATCTGATTTTTGTTCCTTATTGTTTAGAACGATTCATCTATGCAACGCCTTTTACGAAAAATGGTAAGGCTCATGGCGAACTACATGAGCAATGTAAAAGGAAAACGATTTTGACCACGGCTAACCACTTTCCCTATGTAAAAACAAGGATTATGGTCATAAGCCGTCAGCAAATAGTTCTTGAACCCATTGAGGTTGCAATTGAAGTAAGTTTAAGTTTAAGTTTATATAATCTCAAAGTTTTTATAATCTTAAAATTCTCTTTAGGATATTCAAAAGAAAACATTGGAGTTGGCGGCTGCTACAAATCAGGAGCCCGCTGACCCAAAAATATTGCAAATGGTGTTACAGGATGTATTGGAACTACCGTTAACCAAGGGCCTATGGAAATGGCCAGCGTGTTTCTCTCGAATTTATCTGACGGAACAACAGTCCCAACGAAGCACCAAAACAAATTACGGCTTTGCTTTAGGGAGTTTTCAAAACGCTGTGCGGACGCTTTGAAGAAAAATCGGAATTTAATACTTTCAGATCAAAAAGATTATCAACGAGAATTGGAGCGCAACAACGATCGTTTCATAGAGCGATTGACGCCTTTTATTACTCTTACTGCAGTTCAAAATAATGGCGTTGTTAGGTAAGGCTATATTCCATCATCGATTTTGATTTCCCTTTTGTTTTAATATATGGTTCTGGTTATCAATTCAATACGAGTTGGTATGGACGTGATCTATTTATTCGAAACTAACAACTTTGTATAATACTTTTTGTTTTCTTTTTTAAACATTTTATTTTATTTCAGGGGGAATGCATACAACAACAAAAGTACTCCTCTGAAATGGTAATTTCTTGCACGTCATAATGCAGCAGTAAAGTTTTAAAAATCTTTTGATATTTCATGTCTAGCGTATCGGATTATTTTAAGTAAGTGGTTTAAAAAATATGAAAAATTTCTAATTTAGATCCTGACTAATCGATCTCTATATTTGCTTAAATGTTAGATGAGACCTACACCAAATATTATACCTACTAAAAATTCATAAAAATGTATTATTCCCTTTTGTACTTTTATAATATTTTATATTAAATTAAATAAACCTCATGGTTACTTGCTCACAAGTAATTTCGTAGAAGAAAATAAATGGGTTTTATTTAAAAAGTGAAGTGGGTGATATTGTTTACCTATAAGTACTGTGCAGGGAATAAAAAAGCATAACTTTTAACACTTTCTATATTGTATGCCTGCCGCCTGAAATACCAAAATTCGAATAATTGATCGAATTTTTAAGCTACTAGTTTGACCGCCAAAAAGGTAAGGACACTGACCGATAGGTCGATAGTTGATTTGCAGGAAACTCGATTTAAGAAGTTACTAAATTTTGCAAATGAACACATTTTCCAACCTAATTTTATAGCACAACTATTTTTATTATTATGATGAGTTTGTTTTTAATAAAATAAAAAGAAAACATGAAAGTATTGAGTTTCAAGCGGCGATAACGATTGGCGGGGCGTAATAGTATCGACATTTCTCAGTGCACCCCTGGCCGTTGCATGTGTGTTGGGCAGCTGCCAATCGAACTCTGGCTAAATAAAATTAGTAAATTCTTTGCCAGCACAAACGCACACAGACGGTGCAAGAACTTATTTTAAAAATTGAGCTATTATCAAACAATTTCCAATTACTGACGAGCGCGATGTTAAAAGCGGAATTGAAGCAAATTCCATGTGACCCCTGAATTTCCCAACGGCGTGGTGTGCGTGCAAGCGTGTGTGTTTGTGAAAGCAGCGCTACGAAAAAATGGCAAACACAAGCCAACTACAACAAATGTAGGTACCAACAACAACAAGAAAGAAGGCCATAATAGAGCCGAAAATGAAAATTCAATAATTGGACGCCTTGGCGCATAGGTTAGTTTTTTCACCAAAGAGCAGTAAAAATTATTATGAAATGTGAGAAGTGTGTGTGTTTTATAATTCCTACACACATACGCACAGCTGCGCCCCCGCAAATTGAAGCGCGTGTGTGTGCGTGATAATTTTTGACCTCCCCCAAGCAGCATCCCCCTCCCAGCGCCCACAGTAACCAGCTGATTCATGCTGCTGGTGATAAATCAATGGTTTAATAACAGAAACCTAAAAAATGTAAATCAAACTAAAACGGTGTCGTCTAATGACCCTGCCCCATTAAACAAAAACAAAAAACGACGCGCGTCTTATATAAGTGAGAACCGAAGTGTCAATGTGTGTGTGTTTGTGTGCGTTTGAGTGCCAAAACAACGCAACTTTAACAAATTGCTTGGCTTTTTGGCAAGCGTTCGAGGATTGTTGCTGCTTGGAAATTAATTTTAGAGCATTATGCCATCCCCGCTAGTGTTTTTAGCCTTTGACAATTGCGCGCTTTACGCTTTACGTCTAGAAAAAATAAATGAAAAATGCCTTCCTGTGTGAGTAAGGGAATGCATGCGTGTGTGTGGGTTTGGCAGCAGCGCAGTTGCAGCGCTGCGGCTGCTCTGCCAAACTATTACCGTTAGCCGCCGGTTTCCATTCACGATTTTCTGTTTTGTTGTTATTTCTGGCTATAAGCAAATTCCTCCTCTCATTTCTTCGATTTTCTAAGTGTTATGCAATGCAAATTGCAGCCAAATGAGCAAAAAAAGTTGCGCCATTGATTTTCTTGTGTTATCATTAGGCGGTCTTAATCGCGATTTTGCAGGGAACACCTTCTGTTGGCGTCACATGCCTAAAAACTCTGCTCTTTGTGCGTCACCGATTAAAAGTCGAGGCAGTTGCAAATTGCGAACTCCAATTCACGCTCAACTGGAAATTTTTGAATTGTACACAGAAACCGATATGTACATTTTTTATATAGTTGCGGTTTGTAAATAATCGCTTTACCACTTTCGAAAATGCTTTCAATTACCTAGATGATCAGATTGTTAAATCAAAATCTAAACAAAAATGAAATTGAATATAATATCTCCATTTAAATTTGGGTTGTGTTGACGTCAATCTTTTCTTTCGGTGTGATGTTTATTGGCTAATTACACGTTTACCTCTTTTCCGCTCGTTTCGTTATTATCACCGCGGTCTTTGTATTTCTGAGTGCAGCCGACGCGCCTCCGGGCACGTAGTCTACCATTTTCACATGGTTTTGGCCATCTCTTTGGCTCTTGGTTCTGCTCTTCGAGTACTCCAGATTTCCGACCTCGAAAACATCGGTATGACTCGACAAAGCTCGCAGGCTCCACTCAATAATCAGTCATTTCGGGCCAAGAAAAATCAGTAGACGTCTGTCTTCGCTCAAAGTAGTTATTGGCTAAGATTCAAATATTCAAAGAGACAATGTGATCCAGTGTGTTTAAAAATTATTATTCAACAGGTATTTGTTAAATTCAAAAATTGGTCAACTGATATTTACTCTGAACAGTTATTGCAAAAAGGAAAATTGAATCCTTATTGTGAACTCCTTCATATTCGACAACCTTTCTTTTTATTTTTATATTATAAGAAAATTTTAAATGTTCCTGTCGATAATTTAAATGTTTGACATATGTTTTTAAATTTTTACCATGGCTAATCGGAATAAGTTTCAGTATTGGGAGCTTGTTGGCTAAATTCCGCCTGAAAGAGGTATAAAATATACAACAGAACCATTCATTCAACTTGACATTAAATTGAAATTGTAACGTGTGAAGAAGGCCAAATCGCGTATTTCATGGAAACCGCAAAGCATTTCACTCGGGCGTGGAAGTTAGCGACTGCCAATTTAGTAGTTGATAAATATTAGTCGAAAATCCTTTGACGTTTCGCTAATATTTATAGTATTAATAATCATTCACATTCACCAGCCGACTTTATCAGTCGAAAAGATAATGCAGCAGTCGCGTACGTTCGTTCCCCTGTTCGTTTGTTAGCAATGAACTCATACCCGTGGGTAAACAGCGAAAATAGAGTGGAAAAAGTCGCTTGGCAGCTGGCTTATTAGTTTCATGTGATTGCCAGAAAATTAACACAAGCCCGCCTCTCCTTCTCCACTTTCAGTTGAGCAACTAACCAGACGCGGAACAGAGAGGAGGAGCCCCCAATCCAGCGAGCAAGTTCCCACCCCAAATCCCCGAAATCAAGGAGCATCTAATCCAAGACAATACTGCAACCCAGAGGCGATCATCATTTAATGCTATCCGCAACTCTGGGGGCCAATGGCGGCTCGCAGCCGCTCAGTCCCTCCGCCCAGGCGACGCTCAGCAAGCACCTGCCGCGCCTCCAGTCGAAGCGTCTCCTCCAGCAGACGCTCTCGCAGTCACAGTCGGCGGCTGCCCCGAGACCACAGACCTGCGATGCCAGTTGCCTAACCGGTGAGCAAATAATTGGGCTTTTGACCACAGTCAAACTTCCTAAAGCGTCCTTAAGCCAAACTAAAATCTACACCCTCTTTGAAGCATAAGAAACTGTCGAGTAGACGTTGTTTTTATTAGTAGTTTTAATTGTATACGGAATACATACATATGTTGTTGAAAGCTTCAGCATTTAGATTTCCTTTTAATTATTGTTTGGAAAAATAAATACTTAATATTAGATTCAATAATCTGTAATAATCTTGTAAGCAAGGCCTTCTAAAAGACTTGTATTTTCAATTAGAAACTAAAGCTATATATCTTGTGCTGTTAATTTTGCTTATCCGAACCATGGAAGTCTGACTGTAGTTGCATTTATAAACAATTCTCACAGTAACATGCTAATTCATTCATTTTACACCGCAGAGCTGTGCAGCAGCGAGAACCTGCCCGAGGTGGAGATTTTTTCGCTGCTGGAGGAACAGATACCCAAGTACAAGGTGCGCAACGATTTCCTCACAAACTTCTCCGGCTATGCGAATGAGGACTGGTTTGTTCCGGCCCCAGCGCTACCGATTCCGCCGGAAGGTCTGGGCCTGACCAAGGAGCAGACAAGAGAGTGCCTCAACTATTTCCGTAAGTTTGCATTTCGTTGATGTCGTAGACTAAGAAGGGCGGTTGCAGAAAACAAATTGACTTTTCATGAAAAACCTAGGAGTGACTCAATCATTCTGCGTATGTGGCTGAGATCATCAAAAAGACTTTTAAATTAAAGCACAAACTGCTTTCCAGGCCCTTTCTGAGAAAGTTGGTGTATTGACTGCGCTGATATCAACTTTTAAGTTTCTATAAACGTTTAAGAGCAAGAGCTTTTATTATTAAGAAATATTCTACAATCGTTTTTTAACGTTCTAATATCCGACCCTTTATGTCAATAACTAAGTATTGTTAAAGAGCTTTAGTTACCATGGGCGGCATTCAAATGGTCGATTAATTACACATTTTTAGTAGCCAAAGAACTAAAATATTCATAGTATGGTTTATTTTTATTCACAATGTACACATTGCAAGCTTTTAAATGGGTGAAGACCATACCCAAATATGAATTTCCTAATATATTTGTTTTTTATGGCACTGGTCGGCTCTGCCTCGCCATACAATTGCCCAATTAATATGAATTTATCAGCGGAAACTTGTGCGGTCAGCTCTTGAATCATATTCAGTGTGAGTTATACAATCTCTTTATACTATATTCAAAATGAAGAGGTATCTGTGGATTTTCAATGGACAATTTTGTTATATTTCCCTTGTCAGCACGCGTAAAACATTTGTTTGTACTCGTCATTATTCTCTTGTTTTCTTGAATTCTGAAATGTTTTTTATTAGTTTTTAAGTATTTTTCGAAATGTTTATCCACCTTCGCTTGGCAAAACGCAATTTTCTTTTATCTACGCAAGAAAGCAGATTATAAATACATTGCTAAATATAATATATGCAGAATTTCTTTGTATCACATGCAAATGTTTTTTATCTCTGACATTTCTGCGAATATATTTGTCAATATTTCAAAAGCTCTTTTCAAATGATTTAGTTCATGTTTATTTTGGTTCTATGAGTTTAAGTTGTTTGATTTATAATTTATGAATTTGTCATTGTTATCTCTTTTAATGAAACAATGCGCAGCTATTCTGTATAACTTTTATATTTGTACTATATGTCAAATAATAATAGTAAACATTTTTCTGATGAATTTTCAAAAAAATGTACATTTTGTGGCCATTCTTTTATAAAATAAACTTAAGTTATAAAATGTTAATCCATTTTAGTTTAACAAGACTTAATTGAATTAAGAAAATACGTTAAAATGCAACATTTTTTCGATTCCTCACTTCAAAAAATGTTCGATCCCATTATAATAACGTATATATTAATTGGCTTGAAATAAGTTAAGATTTACTTTTTTTAAGTTCTTTGTTTTGATCAATTTATTTATACGATTTGATTAAAAAAAGTTCCCGCCAAATACTGAAACTTCAATTTATCGATTTCCCATCCCAGCAACACTTGTTGCTGTGGGAAGTGTTATAAAACGTAGGCTCACAGCTGTTACCTAGCATTCACACGCGACAGGCGCCACATGGCAGCCCCCAAAAACAGCTGACGGGCACCCGGCTGAGGGTCTGGCAACGCCGTGCGTGCTTTTGTCACTTTGCTTTTCGATTTTGTTGAACGTTTGAAATCGGTGGGGAAAGGGAAAAGTAATGGTGCTCCGCGTGCTTTTGTGTGCATTTCAAATGTCTTAGCGCCGCCGCGAAATAAATACGTAAACTGTGTGCCAAAACGAAATGTAAGCGTTGCGCTAGTTTTTAATAAGTGCAAAAATAACGAAAAACCGCGTTTGGTTGGCAGTGAAAATTGTGCGTGTGCACGTCTGGCATAATTTTGCCAAAAATACTCGAGAAATATGTTGTGTGTGTGCCAAATAAAAGCAAAAACCGAAGCACAGCCGAAAAATCATTAACGAAAAATTATTAATAATACTCTCAATTGTATTGCTCATACGCGCTGTGTGCCAAGGCATTTGGAATTTCTCCAAGTGCTTTTTGTTTCGTGCCGTCATACGAATTGAATTTATTTTTAGGACAACAGTTGTGAGTGTGTGTGTGTGCTAAACTTTTTTTCGTTCGTTTTTTCTTTTTTGTGAATTATGAAGAGGAAAATGCTGGGTGGTGTAAACATTTAAAGGGAGCGCGCATTTAATGAATGGTATTATTGGATGGAGGCCATGGGCAGGTCTTGTTTTCTGTCAGCTTAATTTGTTTCTGTCTTTAAATGGGTTCCCTCAACTTGCAGTTGTTGTCGTTTCGTCTCTTTACATAATCGTTTTTCCATGCCCCGGTAAATTCCGTTTCTCGGTTTCACGCTGATAAGAACCAATTCAGTTCTATATAGCCGCTCTATCGGAATTTCCTGTCTGTCTTTTTCTCGGATCGACATTCCGTCCCTTTTGCTCCAGCCAGCTGTTTGCCGATGTTTGTTTGCCATGGGTGTGTTTATATGTTTACAAACATGTGTGCGTATTGGACGGGTAATTTACCATTTACCGCTACACGAATTCCTGGCTTCCAGTTCTTCGGGAGCAGCCGGTTTACAGTGATCCCTGGCCAGATGGAAATTCCTTGTGGCTCAGAAATACCAAAATGAAAAATAGTTTCTGTCAAAAAGAAGTAAACAATACGCAACAAGAAGGTCAAAGTCAAATTAAACAAACACCTTATGTAGAAGTGATCAATTTTATGTGTAATCTTTTTCTTTGACACTACATATTTGGAATTTTGTGTTTTTTGTGCATACAGACAACCTTCCCTAACACGAACCAAAGTCGTACATATGTATAAGGCTCTCAATTCACTATTGAAAATATCACTAAAAAACTGACTACCAATATTTATTATTATAAATTGGGCTTTTAATGAGTTAATAAATTGTAAAATTTACAACTTTGGAGGTATTACAGTTATTTTTCCCTATTACAACAATCTACATAATCTAAGCTGCATAAAAAAGACAACTTCTCCCATTAGTCATCCATTTTAAATTCGCAGTCATTACCCATTAAAAAAGTAAATTATTAAAACATGAATCATGGACCGGTGAATCTAATCTTAGCTATATAAATGTGGCTAATTCTTCTTGCATAGCCAGCTATAACTGTACATCATTGGCGTGGCTTCTTGATCGATTGCCATTATCTTCCAGTAGCTCTTCCGCATCAATCAACGGTTTATCTTGGCCAAAGAACGCGTTCCGTTGGCTCATCAAGTTTGCCGCAGAAAACGAACCGCAAATGTTGTACAAATGGCGTTTGAGCTATGGGCCACGTTAAATGGACAGTCATAATCGCACTAGCAATTGTACTTTTATTGGTGCTAAGCTTTTGGTGAACCAAATGGCGAACACAAACCAAAAATGGTGTCACGTTCGTGGGTCTAACTTAGGTACCAAAAGCCGCTTATGTCCGACTGACCATACTGCCTTCTTTTTTTTTTTTAGCAAGCAATTGTCTGAGATGGTTTACATTTTGTGACATACTTTCGTTGCGTCATTTCGCAACACTGCACCTGCAGGCATTCGTCTAAATTATCTATGTTTTTCCTCTGCCTCTTTTGTGTCACTGACCTATTGAGTAGGACATTCACATTGCCGGCATTAATTGGTGCAAGAAAATGTGGCTCAAAGCGTTTTTTCTGCCGTAATAACCATATGATACAATAATTACGCCGCCTATCACTCAATCGCGTATCAATTACAGCGAGCATCGAACTTCCTTGACTTTGCTGTTGCTTGATACAAAGCAACTGTTTGTAAAAAGAGTATTAATGATCGAATACTTTTTATTCGAATTAAACTAGGCAAAAGGTACGAAAACACCACTGAGTTAGTGGGTATTGTGAAGTCAAATCAATTATCCATATTCTTAATTAGCAAATTGATGTTTTGGATTACTTTTGCAAACTTGTAGACCAAAGTTTTTAGTTTAAGAGTTTGGCTAACTTTAGTATAGCTCTAACTGTATTATCAGCCACTAATCCCAGGCTTTCGTACAATTTGAAAACTACTTGATTGATAAGATAATTGACTTGTATGTAACTTACATTCTCAACGAAGCTTAAGTCTTTCCAAACCTTTCCAAAGCTGATACTTCCTGATCTTGAACTTTCTGGTCACATTTAAAAGGCAGTTTTGTAAATGAAACCCATCCTGGAGTGACCATAAAAATATGCTTAAATGCACCAAAGTTCGGTAAATAATTAATTACGAGCAGCATTTGTGAAAGTTGATGTGAACCAAATACATCGCAAAAGCTGCAGAAAATAACATGCCAACGAAACAAAACATAGTTTGTCTAATGTTACTGCTGCCATTTTCGCTTCATTTTCGCGTGTACGAATTGATTGGCCTTTTTCGGATGTTTTGCCTGCTTTTCCCTCAGTTATTTATTCAGTTGTCTTTACATAATTACCCTGCGGCTCTTGAATGCCCGAATGACTGTTGCTTTCCTCCCTGCCACTTTATTTTTCATATTTTTTCAATCAGCCAATCAAGTTTTGTTGATTCCCTGGGCTCGTTTTGTCATATGCCATATGGTTTATCTATGCGATAAAGTGATTTATTCGTCGGCTCCCTTCGAGTGTTTAGTATTTAAAGTTGGGGATCGTGACTCACAAGTGCATACGCTTCGTGCATGTCGATGAACCTAAAAAAGCCGAGACTGAAATGAGTTTTTTTACGCAAAGCACATTACCGCTTTCAACTGCAGGGACAAAAAGTTAAAACAACAAAAATAATATGCAGTCTCAAAAAGGTGACTCGGATCAGTTGAATCATCTCCGCTTGGGCCTTAAGATTTTCTGTTCGCAGAGGCGGCTTTATTATGTTGGTCATCTCATGTTGGCCGTTCATTTGGCACAACCGTTAGTATCTTGTATCTAGCTCGCCAGTTATCTCAGCTGGGTTCAGCTCAATTTTCTTTCACTTTGCCTAGCTGGCCAGCCATACTATACTATACTATATATATATTATGATCGGATGGCTATTGAGAGCGTGAATGGATGGACCAGCTTCATTGGGATGATGTGCACCACTTCTACCCACTCGAGCGGGAAAAAAAAAATGTTGTGAGGCAACCCACGCTGTTCTTTTCCTCATTTTCCTAGCCGAGTTCTTGAGTTACGAGTTTTCCCAGCGACCTACGTGATCTTGGCCATGTTACGAAGCCGCCAGCTTCTCCACTCGAACGCATCTCATTCCGGGCAAGGCTAACTAATTTGTAAAACTCGTTTGCGCCCAACTTTCCTCTTTAGTGGCTGCCACTAAATTTCCACTATCGGTAGCCACAATCTGTCCACTCTTCTCCTGGGCGTTGCGGTGTAAAGTTGTAGTTTTGAAATATTTTGTGATTTATTTGCTCGTCTGGCATTGTATGTAAATATGGGGATTTATCTGCTCACACAGTTCACCATTGTTGTTTATTTTTGGGAAATGTGGCAAACACCTTCCGCCGAATCGGCGGTGACTTGCCTAATAATCCAAGAGTAACCGCCAGCTGGAGAGTTGGCCAAAAATAGCCCATCGATAATTGCAATTCCGGTCGTAAAGATAAAGAATCGTTTGGGGGCACCAAATAAAGAGCAGCCACAAATGCGCATTAGCAAAAGAAAGCCACTTGCACCACACACTAAACACACAATCTTTGTAGGTAATTTGTAGCACAAATCCCCGGAAAGCTGATAAAAAGTGAACCTTAAAATTTCCAGTTATAAGTTAATTGTTACGTGTATTACAATATCTGTTTAAATCGATCATTTAAAATAACAAGTTCGCGTTGCAAAAGCAAACAATGGACGTAAAGCAAAATGCCACTCCTTAACAGTGAAACGCGAAGTAAAACCAATCAGCCACAAGAACCGGAGCCACATTATCCCATCAAGAAACTGGAGGCCCTGCCCATAATTGTTGAGCAGGAGGCGGATGATTATGGGCAAATCTTCGAGAATGGCAGCCAGTTGAATAGCACTTTAGTTGATGCCGGCAGTTCGTCGAACTCCTCTTTGGCTACCAGCAAGTCGAGCAGTTCCCTGTGGTCCAATGCCTCCGACGATTCCCAGAACTCCATCACCCTGATCACAAGTCAGCCGTCCAACTCGAGCAAGCACTTCGAGAACACCTACAAGCTGCTGGGTCAGCATCTGGACACAAATAGCCAGCGTTCGGTGGATAAACTGCAGCAGCTCAATGGATCATCCGGCTGCGACTTTGACAGCATCTCCAGTAGTTGCTCCTCCATGTCGGCGATTGTCAACGGGATTGAACCGCCGCCCACGCGATTGGAACTTGAACTGGGGGCCGTGGACCGAATGCGATGCATTGTCCAGCAAATGAAGTCGGGACCGAAGTCGATGGATCCTCAACTGGGCGCCTCGGCTCCGCTCTTGGCCCTGCTCCATGATTTCGCATCGAAGGGGCAGCGAAAAGTGGAGGAGAGCAGTGTTCCGGGGACTCCGGTTCCCAGTCCCATCACTGGTGTCCTGGAGGCACCGCACTTCGAGTTGCCGAAGGAACTCCTGCAGGCGGCAAGTTCCTGGGAACTCATGTATTACGCCTCCAAGAATGTCGATGGCAAAAACTGCCTCAAAGTGGTGCGAAGTTTGCTGACAAACAAAGGTGAGATAGAGGTTTTCAATAGATCTTTAGATTATATTAGGTTTGATATAGGGATCTTTAGGTTCTATGCAGTGATCAGTGTTAATCCGGAAACAATTCTTTATTATAAAGTTTTAAAATCGATTTAACTTCTTCTAAGGACATTACACATTTTGAGTTTCCGAATCTCTATATACATATATGTTTAGGTAATAGCAAAAATCTGATAACTTTGGCACTTAAGTAAACTGTAATCCATTACTCTTCAATAAAAAGATAAAAGAAAACTCTAGTGGATAATTGAGTATGTGATAACCGGTCCACTCGAAAACTGCCCAACTTTGATAGACCATTTGGTAACAATATGAACTAAAGCGCTTCACTTTCTGTATAGAGTGTGACTCAAGATTCTCAGTTTCATAATTCACAACCTATAAGCTTAGGGATCAAATTTAGACGAGTTCAAAACTTAATATCGTTATCTAAAAATGTGTATTAAACCGCTTTAAACGATATCTACAATTCCTTGTTAATATACTTGAATCGCGAAGATGGTTTTAAATAGATTGTCGTTGTTATTAAAGTATTTTGAAATTATGGCCTCACATTTCCCCACTTTCTTTTCTTATCACTGAAGTGCAGCCTGCAAGACCGTGGTTTTGGCCTTAATTCCAACTTATCTTATCGAATGACTTTTATATGTTTTCAATCCACAAACTTTGTTGTTTTCCGTATCTATTTGTGTTCTTTTGTTGTGGTCGACGTGTGGGCAAACACGACAGCCATTTTTATACCCTTGCAGAGCAAAGGGTATTATAATTTTGGCCAGAAGTTTGCAACGCAGTGAAGGAGACACCTTAGACCCCATAAAGTATATATATTCTTGATCAGCATCACCATCTGAATCGAAATATGTCTGTACGTCTGTCCGTCTGTCCTCCTGTCCGTTTCTGCCCAAACTAGTCTCTCATTATACCCTTGCAGAGCAAAAGGGTATTATAATTTCAGTCAGAAGTTTGCAACGCAGTGAAGGAGACACCTCAGACCCCATAAAGTATATATATTCTTGATCAGCATCACGAGCAGAATCGAAATATGTATGTACGTCTGTCCGTCTGTCCGTTTCCGCGCAAACTAGTCTCTCAGTTTTAAAGCTATCGTGCTGAAACTTTCCCAAAAGTTGTGTAGTTGTTGCACGCAGTATATAAGTCGGAACGGGCCGGATCGGCCGACTATATCGGATAGCTCCAATACAAGAGAATGAAATAAAAAATTCTTACTCTATTGTTTTTCATCAGATCGACTTGAATTCTTCAAGATGGCGTTTTCTAACTGTTATTGAGTTTCGGATTAAATTTGATCAAAATCGGATAACTCTATCATATAGCTGCCATAGGAGGGATCGAAAATTATATATAGAATTAATGGAAAAAAATTGATAACATCGTTGTTTTTCATCAGACAAGTATGATTTTTGGAATATAGAGTGTTTTTACGACTCTTGAATTACGAGTTAAATTTGATCAAAATCGGACAACTATATCGTATAGCTCCCATATGATCTATAGTCAAAAATATGGAAAATGAATAGAAAAATCGTCTTAGCTTCGATGTTGTCTAGCCTTTATGCGTTTTGTTCGACATATTTGATGACTGCAAGGGTATATAAGCTTCGGCTTGCCGAAGCTAGCTTCCTTTCTTGTTTGCACATATATGTAGGCTTGAGCAAATTCTTAATTTCTCCGTATTTATTTTCCTTTATTTCCATCAGCGATTTTCAGACTTTGTATTTGTTTTCGATATACTATATTGATCGTGCCGACTCGTCATTAGAGCCCATGTTGATATTTGCACAACTTATGATGGCTTTTTGTACTGCTATAATCGTCTGGGTTTTTAGCAGGTTCATTAGAAAAACTATTACGTTTGAGGGACGGGAAGAAGGGAAGAACGTCAAAAAGCACATGATCTCATCTTGTGTCTGGAATTATGATTGCTAGGGCCGCCACTTATCAACGAAAGTTTGAATTAAATTAGTTTTCTAAATGTGCAGAGGAGCTTTCCGGGTTGCTTATCATTTGTTTGCCAGACACACTATCTTGGCCAATTGATTGCGGAAAAAGCTCCAGTCACTCATTGCCATTATTGCAGGCACAACCACATGACATTATTGTCTTGAAATCATCACTGAAGTTCTATTAGCGTAAAGCTGTCAAAACGCCATTAAAAACCGTTTTATGACTGCGCGCAAAACCTTTTTTCGGGATCTTAAAAAACCAAGTCTCTATAATAAAACATTACTAAGTTTCTTAGAGATTATCATTACATATATACAAAGAACACTATTTTTATTATGAATCATATTTCTAGAGTACAAAAATCACAGTATCAAGATTAAATAAGTAAAATATTGATTAGATGTTAATCTGTAAATATAGAAAGTATGATTAGTGGGAATCTAGAATACGTTTTCTTATAATTATAAACAAATCAAAATAATCATTGAGGCTTTGTAAATTATGTTAAGATATTCATATAGAGCAAAAATAGGGGAAAAGTATAGTGAATACAATACTAATTAGAACAGTAAATGGGTTATATACTATACAGGTTGCATGTATTTATGGGTTATATAAAGTAATTTGTAAACCAGAGACGTAGGGTAATGAGTTTTCCTTTGATTTTTATGGCTGACCAGCACGTGCTGTAAATCGTTAAGTGTGCCATTACTTTGGTTCACGAACTCTCTAACTAGATGTTTAATTTTTAGAGATCGGACATCCGGAAGAATCGTAAATCTACTTATCGCTGATCCTATCCCTTTTCATTCTGTGCTTAAGTTTGCTACCTGATTTAAGTGAATGCGCTGTAGTTCGTGGAAATTCATCTGGAATACATAGGTACGCCGAAAATTACCCGCGTAGTTTTTCGCGCCCTAACCATGAATGGGATTAGGATTATCCGGAAAATGGTTCCGGTTTTTAGTTGGAGTTTTCAGTTGTCTCGCTGTTTACCTGCGAAATGGGAATATGATATATGGCAAAGAAAACAAACAATTGGCAAACTGCTTCGCCTTGGGTCGTTTATCCGCTTCATTTCGCTTTAAAAGTTTCGAGTGTCAGCTGAGTAGCACTGACTTGTTATTTTACAGGGTATGTGTAGCTTAAAACTTATATGTACGTAACTGCATTTATGTTGCTTACACTTTATCAGACTAACGTTTTTTTTCACAAATTATTTGTTAAATTTGTATTCTATAATGTACATTTAATATACAAAATATTGCTAAAATAATTGATTTTTAAGGGGCCTAATTATATAATTTTTAATTTACTGGTATTGGTTAACACAGAGTAGTAAATAGTCGACCCTCTTGCAACCGTCTCTCTTGCTTGTTTAAAGCTGGCAATACTGTACTGCTCTCCGGTTCTCTCTGGCTTACTCTCCCCAATGTGGATGGTGGTGGATTCCAATACAACAAACAAAATTCATTCACTCTTGGCTTCCACTCGCGTTTTTTGTCATTCTCTCGAGTATCTGCAATCTGTAAATTACACAATTTTCGCAAAATTGGAACGGAAAATAAAACAATTTGCGAAAATTGCCAAAGTCAAGGAGTCGGGACTACGAATAGTGTGTGCATGTGTTTAAAGATGAAGTGGGCAATTCGAAGCGTTTTGCAAAAATAATATTAAGAAACAACACGCAAAAGTCATAAGAAGAAGAAGAAACAGTGTTTGTGTGTGTGCTTGTACCGTCACGAGTTTGGAGCGCAGTTTTTTCGTCTGCTTCTTTCCATCTAGATTTGAAGTTTTCGCGTTTATATAGTTTTTTTGTGTGGCTAATGTCTTTTAACCTTTGGACTTTTAAACGACGGTTTATCAATTGTGAAGTGAAGTGAAACGCAGGAATATTTGGCAACATGTGAGTTTTCAGGGGTTTTGTAGCAATTTCCTATTCAGAATTCCCAGCTGTGGCTGTAAATATTGCCATTTCCCTTTCACTGGAAATGCCTGGGAAAACGCCTTTTACTTTAAGTGATGCTGCAGTTGTTGTTGTTGTGGATTGCTGTTTCTATTGTTGTTGCCTTCGCTGCCGGTTCTCCTCAGTCGACGTCGAAGTCGCAGCTGCCATTTGTGTGTGTGCGTTTGTCCGAGCAAGAAGTTCCACTTCCAGTTTCCAAGCTGCGCTCATGGCTATTAATAAAAACAAAAACAGAAAAGATAACATTGAGCAGCCAAGCGAGGTTTTTTTTTGTAATACGTATATTTTTGGCCAGCGAAATCTTTGAAAATAAATTAACGAGCTCCAAGTAATTTTGCGCATGCTCCACGTTTAGTGGGTGGCCAAAAAAGAGAGGAGGAGAGAGTACAAAAACTGAGAGAGGGCCAACGCGATGACAGTTATTCATTTTCTCTTGTGACTCTGGACAATTCGCATTAATTTAGCAATTAGTTTTAATGTTTACGTTTTACGGCCATCAAGGCAATTGAATAAAAAAACTACAATATCATGTGACCCCTAAGAGAAAACGGATAAATAGGGGAAAACACATAGAGAAACCAGAAAACATCCCCCTCTAGTGCCGACAAACAAACCGAAAGTGCCTCGCCAGAATTTGTAAAATGCTTTAAAAATTACATAATACTAAACGCAGCGGAAATTGCTCAACCAAATGATTTAAATTTAATTTAAATCAAAGAATGCAGTGACTAAGAAAAGATTTTGCCATAGAAAAGAAGGGAAAGAAAAACAACAAAGGCAAAATGACGCACGTAAACAATGTGGGAAAGGAGATGGAGCCAGAGAGCGAGAGGGAGACTGCTGCCGGCAGCGGGGTCCATCATCGATTTTTAGCCAGTGCATCTGAGCGAGATGGCGATAGTGGAGGTGCATTGGAAGCTGCTGCAACAAAAGCAACAACAACGATAGAAACCAACTTGGAAGACTTGGCCTTTGAGGCATGCCAAAATTGGTCGCAATTAAACCAAGACTTCTTCATCACGGACGATGAACTTGAGTACGAGGATGAACTCTCTTATGGCAGCAGCAACAACATTGCAACTTCAGCAACTGCAGCAGAAAATCTTATAACGGGAGAGCAGCAGAACGAACAACTGCTAATGGAAGGTGTGCTTAAGTGTTTACTGTTTAATCGATGGATTGAGTTGGAGCCTTTGGAGAAATTTTCCAACACTGTCAAAGTCTTTCGTACAGTGACCAACCGACTATCTGAACCCAGTAAAATTCCTGGTTACGAACTATTTTATTAAAAAGTGATTTTAGCGTATTAACCGTTGAGATTTCTTAACTACATTAAGTTTAACAGTTGGGATATTATAGTTTATATTTATGAATCACGACTTGGAGCAGGTTTATATAACTCTGTCAAACAGCCTGCTGAAAAAACTTCAATTTTTCCTAATAAAAATTTATTGATTGGTTCCAAATTCTATTAGATTTAATATTATTTTCTTTTTATATATTTTATAGTTCTATGCGGCAATCGCGTTAGCCAGATGACTCGGGCGTACGATGACATTGAGGCCGTGACGCGACTGCTGGAGGAGAAGGAGAAGGACCTGGAGCTGACCGTGCAGATCGGCAAGGAGCTACTCACCCAGAACAATGCACTCGAGGCAAGGGTTGCCGATCTGGAGTCCGATCTCAAGGCCTCCAACGACGACCGCGCCCAGTTGTTGCACGAGCTGCACAAGAAGAACGAGCTAATTTCGGTGCTAACCAACGATGCGGACGATGGCACGGATACTGGTGAGTTATGTACATATTTAAAAGGCAATTCCGGATTTATATAATGGGGCTTAATGGCCATGAACTCTTTAAAGTGCAACCTTCATTGGGCTTGTTTATATTTTTACTATCGCTATCTTAGGCGACAAAAGAACAGTTTAGAACTTATGGTCTTGAATTAAACGTTTCAGAAACTTTAAATTGAAGAATGATTTGAATAGTGTTTTTTTGTGCACTTACCAACTTTCTAAAAGTAATTAAGAACTTTTAATTCGCACTTTGCAGCTGTACAAACTTTAATGATTATATTCATTACCTGAATTTGTTTAAAATAACACCATTAGTTACACGTTATGTAATAATTTGTTTTTATTTTCCTGCAGACACACCCACCATGTCGAAATCCATTACCCTGGACCTGCTGCAGCGCAAGGTGAACACGCTGCTCGACGAGAATAAGTCCCTAAAGTGCGAGGCCACCCAGCTGGCGCACCAGACGGACGAGGTGGAGGAGCACGAGCGCCAGCTGATGGCCGACATCAGTGCCCAGCTGAACGACGCCAACTCGCAGTACGACAACCTGAGTCTGGAGCTGGAGCGCCAGCGGGAGGAGAACCGGCTGCAGCACGAGCAGATCGTGAGTCTGACCGCTCGCCTCGCGGAGGCGGAGATGCGGCTGCACCAGCTGACGCAGGACAACGACGAGCACCTATCCCTGCTGCACGTGACCAAGGAGAACCAGAATGCCTTGGCCCTGGAGCTGGTGGAGTTCAAGCAGCGCTACGAAGAAGTGCTCGCCCTGCTCCACTCGGCCCAGGATCAACTGAAGCAGCAACGCAAGCGGTCGCAGCCGATGGCGAGAAGCTCCTTCCTCGGCGGACTGGGCACAAGTGGTGCCGGCGTTGGCAGTGGTTTCTACCAGCCAGACTCGCTGCATTGCGAGCTGATGGAGTCGTCGCTGTACTCGGAGAACAGCCTCGACTCGGGCATATCGGGCGATAGCCAGCGATCGGCGGACCGCATCAGCCGCATGATGATGCACATGCCGTCCGGCGGCATGAGTTCGTCCACGATGGGCGGCAGCATCTATGCGGGAGCCGGCAATGTGCCGCCGTACAAGCGGGTGTTCGACACGGTGCGGTGTGCTGGGAAGAGCGGCAACTACATGGACAGCGGCAACGTGTCGATGACCCAATTGGGCGCCATGTCGATGAGCAGCACCTCGGGGCCGCGCATGGCTTCGATGGCGTATCCAGCGGGCTCGTACTATCGCGGCGGTAGCAGTCAATCGCTGGGCGTTAAAACTCTGTCCAACGAGAGTCTCAACTCCCAGTCCGATGACGGCTATCCAGCCCAGCCATCTGGTGTGCCAGGAGCGCCCGGCGCCAAGGAGCTGGAGGCGGCGCTCAAGCGGCTCACGCCGGCGGAGGTTTTGGCCCGTCGTGCCATGCTGTCATATGCGCCGGCTGGAACCTACAACTATGATGAGCCAGCGGCTCATGGAGCCGGAAATGAGCGCAACTCGAACCTCCCGATGGGCGTGCGCACGCCGGACAGCATTATGTCCACCGGGTCGTCGGGAATGTCGGGATCCACGAATCACATGTCCGCCTCGATGTCGCACCAATGGCGCCTGCCCGAGAAGCTGCAGATCATCAAGCCGATGGAGGGATCGCAGACGCTGCACCATTGGTCCCGCCTCGCCACGCCCACGCTCAGTGGACTGTTGGACGAGCGCCCGGGCGTCACGATTCGCGGTGGCCGGGGATTGGACGATCTGGGCATGCAGATCTACACTCTGTCGGATGTTGAGGAGGATGTCAGCGACGATCTGCCCGGCAAACAGTTTGAGGCGCCGGGCTGCACCTTCACCTACACGAACAGCATGGTCATGCACCCCGACGATGGCTTCGTGAACGATCTGTCGTTCCTCTCGCAGTCGCAGATGTCCTCGCGCATGGCCTCCACATCTACATCAAGACAGCCCAGGTAAGTGATTGTGATAAATGATTGCGCTATTTATACATTATACAGGTGCCTCTTTAAGCAAAACTGATGAATACTTTATAGGTCTATTATTTGTAGAACTAGTAAATGAGAGCAGTTTTTTTAATGCTTTGAACAATTTTAAAGAAAGTTTTGTAAGCATTCGAAACTTTTGTACACAAGAAATTGTTTTAACATTTAATTCCGAGAACATTTTTAGTTGTTGACTCTGTGTTTCATTTAATTAAAATATTTGTTCACATGTTTTAAATATAAATATTTAACGATAAACGTTCTGTTCCTTTTACCAGCTGTGGCCACAATACGTTGTGTAATATAAACATGATATAATAATAATATTAATATATAATAATAATATTAATATATAATAATAATATTATTTATTCTGAGACCATGATTCTATGATTTTAACTTCACAACTTTTAAATGTTCCCCTTTTCAAAAGCTATATTTCTAAAGCCTGATAACTAACATTTTATTTTGAATAATAGGATTTAAGATTTTTTACATTTTAAGCATCTAACCACAGATGCTTAAAATGTACAAAATCGACTTAGTAGCTATTTCTGATTTGAATTCCTTGATTTCTTCCCCATTTTAGTTGTCCCGCAACGCCTCGCGCAGGACTCTCGCGTAAGAACTCCTGCTCCACGTTCTCGGTGAACCTCGGACTCGCCGGAATGCTGAACGAGAGGGGAATCAAGGCGGTGACGCCCAGTGCCCTTAACACGCCCGCCGGTCCCAACTTCTCGCCCACGGTGACGCCCTGCAACAGTCCCGAGGGATCGCCTCCACGCGCCCAGTCGCCGGAGCCGCTGTTCGGACTGCTCTCGTCGGGAGCGGACCTGATCCGCCGCAAGATCGTCGGCGATCAGCACCAGCAGCAGCAGCAGAAGCAACGCAGCAGCCTCAGCAAGCAGCAGCAGCAGAAGATCATGCTGTCGCACCTGGAGCGGCGGGCACTGCGATCGCTGAACCTGATCGAGAAGGTGGAGAGCATTGGACTGGAGAACATAATAAGCGCACAGCGAGGCCTGGGCTCGGGAATCGCGAACCGCAGCAGCTCGCCGCTGAGCAGTGGCAGCCTGCAGAGTCTGCACACCAGCAGCAACAGCATCGTGGACGACATCCACTTCGATCGGGCGCAAATCAAGGGTGTCCTGCATCGCGGATTGAAGTCGCCCACGCCGGCCGCGCCATCAACATCGGCGGCAACGGCTGGAGGAAGCATTGCCGCCATGTCGACGAGCAGCAGCACCAGCGCCTACAACAGCGACGATAGCGATGATCAGGGTCTGGTGATGAAGAGCAAACCCCCGAAGAGCACGACGCCCACAACGAAAGCAGCACAAAGTGAGCCAACTGCTGGATCGAGTGCGCCGTCAACGACATCCAACGGCACAGCGAGTGAAACGCGGCTGAAGCAGATGCAGCGCCAGAAGTCGCGGAGGCAGCTAAAGAATGGAATGGCCAACCAGAGGCCCGATCTGGGAACGATTTCTGGCGGCGGCGCAGGAGGCGGACGAGTGCGTCCCGATCTGGGCAGAGTGGCCGATAGCAGTGGCAGCAGCAGCAAGCTGGGCACCACCACCAAGCGGATGGAGGCGAAGGCCACGCAGGAGGAGGAGGAGGCGGCACCGCAGAGCATCACGCAGGCCTTTGTGGGTTCAGTTAGTTCCTTGCTTTTTGGCCGCAAGGGCGGTTGGCTGTAAAACTAAGAGGGCTAATCATTCACAACCTTATTCTTACGCTTGCTGGACTATAGTTTACTTTTAACGTAAAAACTAAAATTGAGATGCCTTTTGCGAGTTGAAGAACATTTTTATTTAAGCACAACGCGGGAACGAGTTGAATAACGAAACGTATTGTAATCGTGTGAAAGTTTAGTTCCATTTTTTACTATTTTTTTTTTTCCTTTTGTTTGAAACCCCGCAAAATGCCTGTCGTCGCCACTTTAAGCAACACTGGAAGAAAGGTTTTAGTGTTTGTAGCTGTGATTTGTAAATACATATAGAGAAATGTTTAAATTTAGTAGTTATTAATCAAGTACTTCGCATATTATTATTATTTCTTGCTTCAACTGACGGCGGCAATTAAAGAACCGAACGATGGCCAGTTCGTTGAACACCTAGTTCCAAAGCAGCTATTTTTAGTTTAAACTACACATTTTGCCAATTTTGTATTTATTTTTCCTGTGCTTATTACCACTTAAACGAAAACGAAACAAATGTATACATTTAAGTTTATGATTTCCCTGTGTATAGGGTCAAAGCAGGTGCAAAGTTGTATATAGGAAGTAAACTAAATATGAGAGATCAACCTGTAACTTGAATGTGGTTAAGCAGAGAGGTGCATATATTTTTTTACACGCGTATAGTTTGCGTTTTTTGCTTTCCACCACAACACAAGATACGTGCTCCGTTGCCCCTTCAAATTCTGTATCACAAAGATCATAACTCAAAATGATATTGCTTTGACTTAAAACTTATTTCGGTGCTTAGTGCGCTGCCATACGAAAATACAAAAATTATAGCGAGAAACGATTATTTTTCTAGTCCTATCCTGGGTCGGTGCTCGTTTGGCTATGCGAAACCTTTTGAGCATAGCTTCAAAACAGAGCGCCATCAACTCGAGACTCAAGAACTTAAGAGCACTGAACAAATGTGTGGAAATACGCGTATTATTATAGATTCATAATCGAGAAACAGCATAAAGATCCAGTAATACAATGCAAGCATTAGCATAACACATGTTATTCAAACACTTGAAAACACACATAGCTCGCAGTTTTAGTCTATTAACAGGATTCTCAAAACTGAAGTGTTAAATTAACCTTTTTTGATTTCGAACGGTTTTATTTTTGAAAACGAAAATATCATGGAATAAGAGAATATCTATTAAGATCAAGAAGTAACATATGTTTATTGGAGTTGTACGCGTTTTTCGAGGATTTATGTTTAACAGCATTTCAACTAAGGAGTTGGCATTAAAAGCTAATCGAGTGCGTGCCCAAAAACGTAAATTAAACAGAAATTTGGAATACAGAACAGAATGTAAAAGTTATTAGTTTTAATTACCAATATATTTATTTATATCTGCAAAATAAAGAGAACATCGTTAAATACAAATCAAATGGACATGCTTATTTGGGTTAGAAATTTTTGCGACATTAGCATAAATTTATTTACTTATGTTATGTCCACCGATTTTAAAAATTACTTGTTAATGGTCTTTTATTTCAAATATATGAAATGGATGGAGTACGTAAATGCATTATTGAATTTGTAAAACAATTTTTTTTTTTGGTGTTTATGTCGGAGAGATGCAACCTAGTGTGAATATGCCCTTAGCCAAAATATATATGATACTTATCATGGTATTTTTTGGTGTGCCTGCCACAGCTCACAGATTTGCCATGCTGACATTTACTGCATCACTACAACAAGATTTAAAAATTCAAAACAAAAGAGGCTATCGTTTGTTAAAAGTGGGTTAGCAATAAGTTAAAACGGCTTGTGACAAAAGGAAAGATAAATAAATTCAAGGACAAACCAACATGTATGTATTTATGTATAGAGGCACATAGTCATCTCTTCGGTAGATTCGTCATTGGTGACGCACAAATGACATACCTACATACATTCACAGGAGCAGTGGTTGTTAATGACAAATGTCAGGGGTGTCTTCACAACCTCGATAGCTGCTGCTCTTTGAGCCCGCGTCAGTTTAGAATCGTTGCTTGTTATATATACTTAAAAAAGTTCTTGTTATTAAGTTTCAGAGCAATGACGAAAGTTTGCCGAGTCTGCCTGGCAAAATCGAGACCCATGATCAATATATTTGACAATACAATAGAACCTGGAGTTCAAATTGCAAGTAGGCTCTCTGAGTTTACAGAATTTGCCGTTTCTAGAGGAGATTCATTTCCGGAAAACATTTGCCCGTCTTGCCTTCACGACTTTCAAATCGCATTTCACTTCAAAGAAAAATATGAAAGAAGCCTAAATACATTTAAGAAAAGATTAGGCCACCAGGGTTACTTCATAATACCAGATGATGAGTTCTCGACATCAGCGGAAGTGAAGCCAGAGGAAACCGATAATGAATTTCGGGAGGAAGAAATTATTGTTAAGAACGAACCAATAGATAATGATCTATTCGAGAATGAATTTTTCCAGATTGTAAAGAACACTGACATTACCAAACTTCATAATGTGGTTTCATCAATAATAAGTCAGTTAAAAAATTTTTACACTATAAGACTTTTTTATAACTATGTATGTTTTTATTACAGAGTCAGCTCAAGAGGAACTAATTTCTGGGTTAAAAGGTAATTACTTGCAGAAAAGTTTTGATAAATTGTCCTTAAGAAAGTCTGTTAAATCATACAACTTTAAATCGATTATGTTTTATAATTTTAGAAGAAAACAAAGAAATCAAAGCTAAGCTTGAAAAACTTTCAAAGGATTTTTATACGCTTGCGAGCAAAAAAAAACAAAAAGGACGATGCAGACGAGCCCGAAGGTATCATTAGTTTTCCCATTAAAAATATGGCCGAGTTGGACAAGTTTGAGACGATGTTTTTACCAGAACATAAGGACATTTATGTATGTAATAATTTTTAAAATTTCCTGATTTGCACGAAATTATTCTAAGAACGCGTCCCAGTATTCATGAATGAGTTTAAACTAAGTTATTTTTAAATCTATTTTTGTTTTAACAGGTTAAGAAGCTAAAAGTTCTTATGTCCCGCGGTCCGCTTTCAAAGAAATTTAAAAATATCATGGACGAGTACCTTTTAACCAATTTCAATTTAGAAGGAAGTTCTGGTAAACTGTCCCTTAAGTCCCGAAAGGCTTTTTATTCTGTCCTGGAAGGTGAGTCTTGTGTTTTGCCTTGTCGAACTTTAAAATAAATATTATACACTATTTCAGAAGCGACAAAATTAGTTTATCCAAATGATTCGGTCAGGAAGGTGCTTCAAAAAGCCTTTTTAAACATAAAAAACAAGATAATTAAAAGAAATTCAAGATTAAGATCAGAATTTCGGCAAACAAAAAATAATCAAAAAAATAATGATAATACCATAACATTTTACAACTGCAAATAAGGGAACAAATATTACCAAACTTTAAAAGGAGAACATCAAAATTTTCATTTGTCAGTGCTGTTACAAACCGATCACCTGTTACTTTTTAAGAACAAAATAAATGAAATGTGATGTCTACTCCAGCTCTGATTTTATGAACTGCAGTTATAGATTTAAATTTTTTCGGACTTGATTGCTTCCAAACTCGATTGCTGTCACGGATCACCGATCAACTCAATTAAAAATAAATAAAAAAATAAAAAATCATATTTATGAAGTTTAGCAGTTGTTTCTTTAATAACCAGTTTAAACATTATTTAAAAATTGCACGTTTCAAATTAATAAGAACTACCGCAAAAAATACCAAAAAGGTTTTTTTAAGCTAAAGAGCACCGCTTTGCAACACTGTTATCGGGCACGTGCTGGGTGCGGGCACACTGGTGCAGCGAAGTAAACACAACGCAATATTTCGTCGGAATTTCGCCTGGAGTTAACCTAGTCCTACCCACCATAAAACCGCCCAATTAGTGCCCGAAAAACGGCGCAGATAATGCTCGAACCAAATGGAATAAAGTGTGATGCTTTAATCGGTAAAATCCGGTGGCAAACAGCAACTGCGTGTCAAGTGGAAAATAAGTGACGGGGGGGTGGCGGGTCGACAAGAAAAACAAAAACAAAACGCGACAACAACAAAAGCGAGTGAAAGAAAGGTGCGAGAAATTCACCTGCGCCCGTGAGCCGATTAATTGGTGACGTGGATTTCGTGGACGAAGGACGCAGGGCAAAAGGATATATACATACATATTTTTGCAGTGCACATGCACATGCATGCTGCACACAGACATATGCATGCGCCCATGCAGAAAACCAGTTGTTGTTATTGTTGTTGTTACTGCAAATGAGAAGTGCAAGTGAAGCAGCAACAAAAATCCTGCTCTTAAAAGTACAAAGCGAGGAAAAGGAGAAAACAAATAAGGGGGCAAACAAAAAAAGGGCCGAGAAGAAGGTGCGACAACGACAAAAAGTTGTTTGTCAACTTGTTGCCAATGTTGCAGCCACAAAGTGGCTGGCTGTACAAACAGCAGCAGCGGCGGCAGCAACAAAAATCCAGCATTTTGCATCGGTCAAATCCAGGCGCAAGTCCCATTCCATCAACAGGATAATCAGGAGCTGCAAAACAAACTGCGAGCAGGTGGAAATACGACAAGGACATCCTGTCGTTAGGGTAAGTTAATTAACTTTCTTTCTTTAATCGTTTATTATATTTCTTTACATTTCTTGTAGTTCAAAAGCCAAAGCTTTATTAAAAAAATACAATGAATAAAGAGGTGGAAAATAAAAAAAGCTTGTGAATTTCAAAGTATCCTGGATTTCTAAATAGCGCAAAAAAAAGGTACAAATTATTTTCTTCGCACATTGAAAAAGGTTAAGGTAAGTTGTAAATCTCAAATTAATTCTGGCTTGTTATTATAGACAAAAAATGCCTTCATTCAGTAACCTAAAAAAAAAAGAATTTTTGAATAATTTTGTTTTATTTTGATAAATTTTTTTAATGCAGTAGATTTGTGATATTAATTATTGTTTATTGTTTATGTTTTTAGTGAAGTTTCCGGAATTTAATTGGACAATTAAAAACCCGCCCGCAACCATGTCCACGATCACCAGAAGCGCTAGTGCGAGTCCAATGGCGCTAAATGGCGTTATCGATGCCAGCCTCTTCCCCCTGAAGTCCACCGCCGATGTGGTTAATCTGTTCCGTCGCGCTCTAACCTCTGGAATCGAGCCCGATCTCACCCTGCTCTCCATTGTGGTTGGCTACATCGAGCTCTCCTTGACGACAGGAGAGGCTGCTGCGCAGGCCGCTCAAGCCGCGGCCGCCGCTGCCGCAGCAGGTGACATCAGTCAGGCGGCGACAGGTGTGTTCATGCGCTAGCGTTTACCGTTAACCATTTAGCAAAGGGAAACCAGTTAAAACGGAAGCGATTGCAGGCAAATTGGAAAGGTTTCTGTTCTGGTTGATGGAACAAACTAAGAAGCAGGCTTCATAAGTAAAGAAAGGGGTTTGTTAATAGTTTAAAGTTCTTAATTGATTTAGCTTGAAATTGCATTAAGCGTTTAAAATACAATTTAAGTACATCTTCTGGTTGATGAAACAAATTAAGTAACAGGCTTCATAAGTAAAGAAAGGGCTTTTTAATAGTTTAAAGTTCTTAATTGATTTACCTTGAAATTGCATTAAATATTTAAAATACAATTTAAGTAACCCGCAAACTGAATTTAATATTTTAAAGTTCACTTTTGTTTTGAATTACATGTAGAAAAAGAGGAAGTGGGAAAAGTTTTCTTTGGCTTAACTTTTGTGTCATGTTTAATATATTTTAGTTTTAAAGTTTTAATTTCATTTAAATACTAATTGTTATTTCTCTTACAGGCGGCAACGATGTCATCATGGGCAACAGCGTTCCCTTTCCGGTTGTGACCCACGAGCTGATCGCCGGGTTGTACAAGAAGTTCCAGACAATCCTGTCGGTGGTGGAGAAGCCAAAGCCTCATCGCCAGGCCACTCGCGAGGTGATCAAGAAGGTTTCGGATGTGATCTGGAACTCGTTGATCCGCAGCAGCTACAAGGATCGTGCGCACCTGCAGAACCTCTACAGCTATTTGTCCGGCAACAAATTGGACTGCTTCGGAGTCGCTTTGGCAGTGGTGGCGGGATGCCAGTTGCTCGGCTACAAGGACGTTAGATTGGCCATCTCGGAGGATCATGCCTGGGTGGTCTTCGGCCAGAAGCGGGTGGAGACCATCGAGGTGACCTGGCACGGCAAGGGCAGCGAGGATAAGCGAGGGCAGGATATTCGCCCGGGCATCGAGTCAGGATCGTGGCTTTACTTGGGTAAGCACTACGTTTTCAATAACTAAAATGAGCTACTAAACCAAATATTTGGAATTGATCACAATTACATTTCCAATATATTTTTTAAGTTCATGGCAAGTCTTTTAAATAGGAATTTTAGTCTATAAACAATTAGATAATATTCGTTAAACTTGCTTGGTGCTTTTTAAACTTTTTTTATACATTATCAAAACAGAAGGATTGTTACATTTATGTTACTCGAATCCTACGAATGCCTTAAATACGCTATCTAATATATATTTTTCTTTATTAAGGTGGACTGGCAGTGATTTGCGAGCGTGGGATGGAAGTGGCGGCCATTTGTGCCGCTCTGAACATCTCGTTGACCTCGAACAGCGACTGCGTGGAGGTGGCAGAGCTGCAGCAGCAGCTGCTGTGGCTTCTCTACGACTTGGGCCACCTTAAACGCTACCCAATGGCACTGGGCTCCCTCGGTGAGCTGGAGGAGATCCACCGAACGCATCCGAGCATCAGCTGCGAGCAACTGTATCGCGAGGCCATTGAGTCGGCCAAGACGCACTACCGGAACCATCATGTGTATCCCTATACCTACCAGGGAAACTACTACAATCGATTGCTCAAGTACCGGGACGCTTTTGCCGCCTGGGCGAATGCGGCGGATGTGATCCGTTTGTATACGTACCAGTGCCGGGATGACGAGGAGATCTACAAGGAGCTGCTGGACATTGCAAACGAGCTAATACCCTACGTGATGAAAACGGAGAGCTCCGGCCATTCGGCAAGGAGCATTTTGCGCGACTCCGAGGTGTTTGCCAATCTGCTGCGATTCTACGACGGCATTTGCCAGTGGGAGGAGGACAGTCTGACACCCATCCTGCATATCGGTTGGGCCAAACCGCTGGTGAACAACATCACCAAGTTTGACTACGACATAAGGTCCCAGGTGGTCATCAAGTTGCCCGAGGATTTGGAGGCGGAGCAGGCGAAGGCGGAACAGGCGCGGGCGGAACAGGAGGCTAAGGAAGCCAAGGAGTCTAAGGAGGCGACGGGATCAGAGGCTTTGGAGGGGAACAACAACACGTTGGTGAAGAAGGAGGAGGTAAGCCAAAGCATTTGTTTACTTCATTAAATTTATTATTAATAGAAATTATAGTTTCCAAAAAATCTTCATAATTTTGATCCAACCACGTCGTGTTTTCGCATTCACTATCGCTTCAGGTTTTTATGTAACTATTTTTTTGATTGGTGCAAGGAAGAATTGAATAGCAAATTGGGAACAGAAATTTGTAGCACCTGCTTTTGAGCTTTTTTTCAGAAGAAGGGTTGTGAATTCGTAAAGGCTTCAGCAACAATTAAACAGGATAAACAATTATTAGGAAGTCAGTCCTTACCCTCATCATCGATTCGTATTTGTTATCTGTTGAGTTGCATTTTATGATGTTTGTGATGATCGTCTTATGGTTTCTGCTTCGATTGATCATTATGAACCTTTACCTCTGCCTTTGTGGAGCTCGAGGATTCCGAGTCATTAGATTCCGAATCCGGTTCCCGTCTGGATTTCGAATGGCGAACACGCTGCCGTGAAATATGTTTGCAGTTTTTTGAGTAATGCTTATGTCTATTCTCCGAATCTCTGTCTGCGGAGGATCGTCTATAGCGCCTATGCTTTCTGCTCGAATCCGAATCCTTTGAATGACACCTATGCCTGTAATTTGATTCCGTACAGTGGTGCCTATGCTTACTGTCCCGAGCTTTGCAGGATCTTGAATGGCGTCTGTGATATTTGTTCTCGTCCATTGAGTCCTCGGAATGTCTCCTGTGTCTCCTGGAGTGGTGATGATGCCTATTCCTTTCCCTTGAGACGCTGGAATGTTCACGCCTATAACGAGTATCCCTGGACTTACAAGAACAGCGCCGACGTTGACATTCTGAAGGTCCCTCTGTAGAATCATCGGAATCTCTGTTCTTCGACTCTTTAGGTGTAAATTCGATGCAAGTCTTGGAGTTTTTGCTATTACGCGGAGGCATTGCGGGAATTGTGGGGTTGGGATTGGGACTAGGGTTGGCTTCTTTGGGCTCCCCAGATTCTTGTTGTTGACGCGGACGTACTGCTACCACTGGTGGATTTTCGAAGAGGATATCCTTTATTAACTGGACAGCGTGGGCGGGATTGTCGGGGCTTTTTATCAAGGACTGTGCCACGTTCTCCAGCTTCTCGGTAAGCCTCATCTTCTCGGAGTTTAAGCTACATAATTTGCACTTTAGTACGTTGATGTTCTCAATCATTACAAGCTGATCCCTTCTGTTCTGAGCGCACCTTTCGCTGAGTTCCTTCCAAGACGTAAATTCGCTTGGCTTTGGCTTCTGTTTTATGTCCTCCGGACTATTTGTGGCTTCAATGGTGAATGATACGCCGGCCATTGCTTTCCTTTCCAACCTAATTTTGTCTTCTGATCGATTTTGCTTATAAGATTGACGTATTTGCTTTACCAGTTCCTCTTCGCTATCCGAAGGTAAAGAAACGTTCTTGCTCTCAGATAGAAAATCAGAGGTCTTTGAGGATGTTCTTGGCACCACCGTATTCAATGATTTCGGCAGTGGTTTTTCTTCTTTCGGCTCTGGTTTTTTGTATCGGAAATACTGATAGCTGCTCCGATCCAAGCTACTTCTTCTGTCGTATCTGGGCAGGTCTTTTGCATAGTTAAAGATCATCGATTGACACTTGTGCATGGCATTCAAATTCCCAGTTGAGAAGGAGGCAATCTCGAGACTTCTGCAGAGTCCGATTTGAGAGTCCTTTCTGGCCTTTTTCGCATCATACTCCTGTCCGTTGTCGTTGAGCTTGAAGAACTTGTAAATCCAGTTGCAAAAGTCCAAGTGATTGTGACCCAAAATGAGTTCATCCACGGGAAGAAACCGCGATACTTTCAGCTTTTCAAAGCTTATGTGAAGCAACCGAAAATTCGTCTCAAAGTCGACTTTGCTGTTCGTGTAGAACTTGACTTTGTGGATTTGAATCGCCGTGGGAAAGAGCCTGTGGATGACTTGGCAGTATACTGCCCCTGTTTTCAGGTCTTCCATGTTTCGCAAGTCGCAATCTAGTGTGTTGTTCAGGAAAATCAGAAGGTTCCTTATGGAAATCTGTTCACTTCTCTGCACCGTCACATTTTTCGCAAGTGGTAGAGGCTTTGTGTTTTTCTTGGTTATAGAGGTCATATTTCTAGTTGAAATTACAGAGCTTTTATGGGCTACAATCAAGTTGCAATCTGCAATACATTAATACATTCAGTTACGCAACCTCTTACATTAAATGAAATTTTTTGTTGAATTCTAGTGGAAAAAGAATAAAGTATTTTGTTGAAATAAGTACTTAATTGAAATACACTCACCTTTTGTCCCTTGTTTGCGATGCTAAAAATGTTCTGATGTTGGTAGCTGGTTGTTTTGATACTGACTTATATTTTAGATAACTCCTTCAGACACTTGAAAGCAGGGTGCCAACCTGCTATGATTGTTTATTCAAAGAAAACTTTTAGTTTACCTCGAATTCTATAAAGATGCTTAATAAAATTTGTATCTTCCCCCATTAGAAAACAAAAAATTCCGAGCTTCCGACTACTTTGGCTGATTTGACGGCTGCCTGTGGCGAGAAGATTCTCAATCCGGACTTCCTGCTTCAGGGCGGAGGTCAGCCCTTTGCCGATCAGAAGCAACAACCCTCTGCTGGGGATTCCGATGTGGCAGAGCTCCACAACAACAACAACAACAGCAATAGCAATAACAACAATCACAGTACCGACAAAAAGGAGGCTCCAACTACAACAACAACTGCGACAAGCAATGGCAGCGGAACCTCTGTCCAGTTGCCCGTTTCCAGTGAGGCGGCGATCCCGGCTCAATCCCAAACTACCCAACTGGGAAAACCACCACAGCACAAAGAAGCTAAGAAAGAGGAGACAACCGACGACTACGATCCGTTTGAGATCATGCTCAAGAGGCCAGTGATCACCTTGTACAGCCAGAAGATGAAGGGTCTGAAGGATCTGCTGCTGGCCGAGAAGCTTAACACCCATGCTATTTCCCTCCAAGTCACCGCCCAGTCGGTGGCCTCCCGAAAGGTTCGCGGAGTGGAGAAATCGGCCACGATTTCCGCCACCATCACAACAATTTCGTCGAGTTCCGGCGACGCTGTCCTAAGTGGAGCAGGTGGTGGCGGTGGCACTGGATCAGGAGCCACCGGTGGAGCATCCTTGGCATCGTCGTCGCCGGGAGGAGACTCGATAGCCGCCTCACGTCCGAAGAGAACGCGTCGCGAGTAATCCTCATTGTTGTGTATTGCGTATTGGAAAACTCTTTATTAATCAAGTGTGCATGTTAAGGTGGTTCGATTTCTGATTTGCGTCAGAATCATACAAGCGGAAAGTAATATTCTTATGAGTGAAATTGTTTACAAATTAATAAGGTTGTTTTTTCATACACCTTTCGGATAAGATCAACTTAAGTAATATTTACACTCGAGCTTTGGAGCACAAATAATTTAAAACCAACTTTAAAGTAAAAAAAAGGTTACATTTATTTTGAAATCATTTGAATACTGTTTTTATGGTAAAATAACATAAATTAGATATTACTTTCCGCCCGAGAGATTTGTAAACGTTTTTCATTCGTAGAAAATCGAGCCTCCGCAGTAGCCGTGCATATAGAACATATATGCTATCATATTTTTGATGTTCGATGTGTATTTATGTAGTTCGTAAGCGCGAAACGAAACAAAAATGAAGCCGTTAAAGAACGCCTAGCGTTTTAAAAAAGAAATATAAATTGTGAAACACACACACAGACTTGTCCCAACAAACAAACACAGGCACACGAAACGCTAAGCTATGCTAAGTATTTATAACGTATTTTTAGCTGTTATTCCTTTTCTCAATGTATTTATTGCTGCAACTATGTATTTCCCCTCCAGCATGTTTTAACTTTTTTTTATTATTATTGTTTAAGCGTAACTTAATTGGTGCTCTTCTTCGAAATCGAAAGCAGTAGAATCGGTTCTATATTTGATTTCGTTCCTTTAACCCATGAAAACTCGGTCGAAATCAGAAATGGAGTCCGAACTGCTCATATTTATGTATTTACTTTAAAGCATTTTATTGAGGCTAAGCTGTTTTATTTTACTCTATTTACACACATACATACATATATCCTGTAATATTTAAGAATTCAAAACTTTGTTACGAACTGTTGACTTGAAGCAACACAAAACAGTTGACAAGACCCGAATGGAAAACAAAAGAATACATATTTAACACTTCCTCTATATGTGATACAACACTTTTTCTAGAAAAGCTTTCATATTATCTTATAAAACTAAATAGATTTAACCACTCTCCACACACTTTAAGCGAACACTACTTAAGTGGGCTGGCAGCAGCAGGACAGGCTCTTGTTTAGGGATAGTCCAGTCCAAAATAAATCCCGAACCCACAAAAGTCCTTACAAACTTGACACCCCATTTGGCTACAGCAATTATGGACAAAATCGGAGCTTGTAACAAATTGTTAAATGATGATAATAATAGCATTGAATTTAATTTGATTTGTGCGTAGAGCATCTGTGATGAATAATAATGTTTAGAAGAGAGAGAAAGAAAGAGAAGAGAAAAGTGGAGAGCCCGAGACAACACGAAAACTGATCAACAATATTACTAATCAAATGTATGGTGTTTTATTCCTCATATATAACATTAGCAGACTAAAAGCAACACACAAATGAAATCAAAACAAACTATTTAATTATGTAGATTTGCAGACCGCAACAACTAAATGTTAAATGTTGAACAACAGTTATATATAAATGTAAACTAGATACAGAAACTAACAACCCAACAAAGGAGTATATATTTTGGCATACAAAATTTTTAACATTAAGTAAACGGATGAAAGAAGTCGAATTGAGAAATATTTTTTATTTTCATTACATTTCGGACAGCACGAAATCCAAACAAAAATAGACAAAAACTGAAAGTTCGCTATACAATAATCAAAAGGCAGCAACTCGACAACAGAAACAATATGAAAACCTATAAGCATATAGCATATATATTTATTAATGTTAAAGTAACGTACATTTTTGCTCTAATTGTTTAAAATAGCCAATCAGCAGCAACAGTTAAATTACATGTAGCTTAAAATCCAAATGCTCAATAATCCTTTTAGCTTGAAAGTCAAATAGCCAACAGTAAAGATGTTATACAAATCATTAAACGCATAAAAACGTAACACATAAAAGCTAACAATGAACCTAAGAAAAGTAAACAACTGAAATAATTATATTTTATTTCGAATTTTACTTACTAAAAAATGTAATTGGCTGTAAGAAAAATGTATAAATTTTCATAACACTTTTCTTTGGTTTATAGATAGCTTGAATTTTTGTAATTATTTTTTATTTTGTGTGGAAGAACGAATCATTTTAATTTAAATTTCAGTTATGCGGCGGCAGCAGCATGAAGTTTCATATACGAAACCTGACAACCCTTATACCAAAGGTTTTTGCCGTGGTATTCTTATAAATCAAAATCTGCTTTAGTATTTTTTAAGAAAACGACAGTTTGGTTTTACGCTTGAGTTTTGGTCACACTGGGAATAAAAAGTGACTAGGCATCATTTTGGCAACAAAAAATCGAACAGCAATAAAAACATTGTTTAACGCCATTTAAATAGTAAACCCACATAATGTCTGCGCCGGATAAGGAAAAGGAGAAAGAGAAGGAGGAGACCAACAACAAGAGCGAGGATTTGGGCCTGCTGGAGGAGGACGATGAGTTTGAAGAATTTCCCGCCGAAGGTAAAACATATTTTTTGGCGAATCGGACACATCTAATCGCGTTTATTCTAGATTTCCGCGTTGGCGACGACGAGGAGGAACTGAATGTTTGGGAGGACAACTGGGACGACGACAATGTGGAGGACGACTTCAGCCAGCAGTTAAAGGCTCATCTGGAGAGCAAGAAAATGGAGACGTAAACCGGCGGCCCCTTGATTTGTTCAATCCTAACCATAAAAAACGAGCTGAGCTGTTTTGCAGTTTATAGAATAAAATCAGTATATTAAGTGGAAATCAACTGCCAGTTTTCACCGAGAGTCTTACAAATGTGATCCATCAAAATGGCATGCAGCTGCTCTTGGCCCAAAGTTCGCTGGTCTATCTCCATAATGCGGTTATCAAATTCCTGTAGGCGTTTGCTGTTATTCTCCATGTCAAACTTCAGACTTTCGAGCTGTTTTTGCAGCTTCTGGTCCTCCGCGTTGTGATTCTGCTTCTGGGACTCGTACTGCTGACCGCAAGTGAAGAGTTCTTGCTTCTTGGCCTCCAAAAGCTGGCGTTGCTTTTGGTAATTCGACTCCAACTTGGGCACTTGCTTCTCCATCGAATCCAGCTCCTTGCAGCTGTCTTTGTGATCCTCCAGTTTAATAAGAGAAAGACTAGCTGTGGCCTTTTCCAGAGCCGAGACTACTTCCTGGCTAGATTCAATCACCCGGCGATGCTCATTGGTTACCTGTTCTTTGGTGGCCAGCTCCGCCTTGTAGCTTTCTACGTGTGAATAGGCGCTCTTGATTTTGCTGTAAACAAAGAAGTTATCATAAGCAAAATCAACTTTAGTATTTGGTGGTATCATTTACTCTCGCAGTTCTTTAACTTGAGCCTCTTCCACGACTTGCTCTTCCCAGTGACTGATGCGCTTCTCCAGCTCCGCCTGCTGCTGTTCGAGGAGTTCCAGGCCATTGTTTTGTTCGCTGCTCGATTTCTTTAGCTGGAGGAGTTTGGCTTGGGTATCCTGCAGTTCTTTCTTGATCTGGCTGATAGCCACCTCATACTCCTTTGAATGCTCCAACTGCTGGCTTTTCGCTTTGATTTCGGCTGTCAGCGAGTCTTTTAGCTTAATGGCCTCTTCTACGGGTCCCAATACGTTTTTCTTGAACACTTTGTAGTACGCCAAATAGTTGAACAAGTAGCTCAGGGTGGCTAGCGTTTTTTTGACAGCTTTAAGGCGAAGTTACAATATGGTTTGAATTATATGGAATATGTTTGACGACAATGATAAGATGAAGTAATTTAAGGAGTTAAAATCTTGAAGATCATTTTCTTAGTATCAGAATACCTGGCTTAATTATGTCCATATAACTGTACGTTTTGTTGGGAAAACTGATCTGGATGATGCGCTCTATTTGGCGGCACAGTCGTATTAGGAATACGCGTGACTCCCGCGACGAATGGGCGGGTTCGGAAACCATCTTATGGGGCGGATCCAGGCGAAACCCAAAACACCGCAAATAATGCACCATGATCTTGGTCACGATGGCCTCAGTGGGATTGGCCAAATCGGCGTGACAAATATTGATGTCCGGCATCAGACAGTTGCCCTGTTCCGTCACCCTATCAATTTCGGCAGAAACCGCCATTTCAATAAGTTTTTTGTTTTCAAGTATTTTTAAATCGACGCTCTTTGGTTTGACTTGGTGTGACCAAAGATTGCTAACCCTTAAAAGCGTTCCAATAGTGGTATTCTTCTCTAAATATTATAAAATTTTCACTGTTTTTCAACACTTTTAAAAATGCAACTTGGTCGTTTAAGTTTGAATGTATTAAAGAAATCTGAGGGTTATTTGTTTTGATAACGCTAAATGGATTTTAGTTTGGAAGTTTCCGAATGCTTGTACGCAAAAAATGATTGTGTTTAGTATGAAATTCCATAATAAAAAAGGATACCACAATATAATGGTTTTACCGGCTTCTAGTTGCCATGGATCTATTTTGTTTATCAAGTCTTTGCCTGAGAAAAACTCTGAGAAATGGCATCCTCCAGCGCTGTAGAAGATGAGCATCTCACAGATTCGGATTTAACTGATGATGAGGGTGAGTTGTTACCGGTATTCTTATTTATAACCTTAGAGATTCCACATTCCAGAGCGCAGTGTGGAACCGCGCCAGGAAGAACTGCGACCGGAGACTCCGAAACCATCTTATAGCGACGAGGAACTGCACCAACTGGTCGGCTATATACAAAGAATGAGTGTTTTAAGTTGCTTGGATCATAGGGACTGGCACGAAGGAACTCTGGACATTATTCGCCGTTGGCTTTTGGAGGTCCATGAACCCATTCTAACCATTTATTACGACAAGGATGCACTATCAGCCTGTCTGGGAATCCCCACAATTTGTGTATCGGATCTGAGTTACTTTCGCCGGGAACCAAATGAGATTTTTAGTGTGGAGTGTTTTCACGATGAGGTCAATTTTGGCACCTTGACAAGCGATGTGGATGGTTGTCTTATGGAGTTACTGGATCGTTTGTATGTCCCCTTCTTTCGGAATTTTACCGAATGGAATGGCACGGTGCGGCATCGTTTTTGCTCCAGTATGGACAGATTCCTGGCCTTTCTCACCGGGGTGCACCATCAGATCTCAGGGGTCGCTGTTTTGTATGTACCCTATGTCATTAAGCAACTGGCGGAAGGGCCGGTTGATCGGCAGCTGGTCAGAAGCCTCGAGGGTATCGCTCTGTACTGGACCACACAGATTCGAACTTTGCTGGGAGATGATGCCTTGACGGTTCCCCATGATCTGGTCACCGTTCGCGATGAGTTTGAATTTTGGGAATATCGCTGTGAGTAAAATAAGATAAGCTCTTTCTAAGAATTAGATCTTACGTTTTTCCAATTGATTTTAATGGGAAACAGATTATTAAATTAATTATTAAAGTTTTTTTTTAATAACGAAGAATTGAATTCTTGATAAGTTTTTTTCTTGTTTCAGACGAAGTTCTTCAAGGAATCAATGACCAATTGGCTCAGTCGGATGTGCAAAAAGTATTGCTAGTTCTGCATAACGCTCATTCCGTGCATATTCCCCAAGTGGATCAACTTATAGAAAGGGCAAAGAAGGAGCTTATTAAATCCCTGTCTAACATTAAGTATCTTCATCTGCTCATTAAGCCCTGTTCTAAAATAGATGAGGTAACAAGCCCATCGGAGTTGACTAAGCTTTTACCACGAATTATCCACCTTATACGTTTCATTTGGTTAAACTCCGAGTACTACAATACCAAAAAACTTATTGCAAAATTATTTACAAATGTGAGCAATCAGATTATAAGGTAAGGAGTATTATAAATAAGAAATAATATGTGCATTGTTATATATAATTTTTGCTTAAACAGATACTGCACAAATCAAACTAAAGTTGAGGAGATTCTCTCTGGAAAACCGCGTTTCGGAATTAAAATGTGCAACACGGCCATCGATTGTTGCCTGGCTTACAAGGGAATCTATGATAAAATATCAAAAGAATCAGCCCAGGAAAATAACCAATTACCTTGGGGTCTAGAAGATGGTCTAATCTTCAACCATGTCGATGCCTTTGTGGAGCGTCTGAACGATGTGATTGACATATGCGAATCCATGATTGTGTTTGGTCGTTTGGATGAAAATGGAAGTATACCTAAACCCGCTTTTGGCGGCGCTTGTGGTGAGGAACTGGAGAAGATATCCGAAAACGTGGAGCAGCAATTTTCGGATACCTTGAAGCAACTGCAGGGCAACTCACAGGCATATATTTTGAATGTACACCGATCGGATTGGTATAAGGATGTAGCCGATTTCCGCCGCAGTATGCAAAAACTGGAGGAGACCGTTCAGCGGCTGATCTCCAATGTGTTCCAACAGGTGTCCAATGTGGAGGAGACATTGGAGGCTCTGCAGGCTATGTTATTCTACTCCTACCGCCAGAGGGGAACTCTAAGAAAAACATATCTCAAGGAAGTCAGCAAATTGTGGAGAATATTCTCCAGAGAAATGGATGCCACGTCAAGAAAACTGCTCGAGGAGCACAAGCAAGAGTCCTGGTTATCCAAGCATGTATCCTTAGCTCTTAACTACCGCATTAATTTGGAGCGCTTGACTTGGATTAGAGATCGCTTGAAGAATGCCCAGTGGTTGCCAACTGTTAAAGAATCTGCTCCAGCTTTGGCTAAATTTGAATCGCTGCGTCACGAGTTCCAAAAGGAAATCCGATTGGCGTACGAGGATTGGGTGGCCAAGTGCTGCGGATTTTCTGCAGATCTTAGCCAGCGTTTGGATCGCTACCTAATGGTTCGCAGTAGGAAATTCAAAGGCCTTCTGGAATGCAATATCGATGCATCTGTACTGGAGCTTTGCGAGCAGGCTCAGCACTTTGAAAGGATGGGTTTTGCCATTCCAAACACTCTGAAAAAACTTTACGAAAGATATGACATCATTAGATCTCTGTATAATGGTGTAATTCAAATTGCCTTGAGTCATAATCGCATTCTGAGCGTTTTAAGTGAACGAGAACGAAAGCTTTTTCGACCCTTGATCCAAGTGTGTGATCGCCAGCTGGCTCCTGGAATATTCAAGATTACCTATGGCTCCGAACTGAATGAGGAATTTTTCGAGGATGGCAAGGAGTTCCTTGGAGAGTTTCAGGAGCTAGTTCTAATATTCAAGCGATCAAATCGTGGGATATCCCGGTGTTGTGAGAAGATCTGCGACATTTGTTTGCTGCATTTCGCGTTCTCTGGCTCCGTGGATATATCAGTTTTCCAGCAGCAGTTATCCAGCAAACTTAAATCATCCGGAGAAATTTTGAGAAGCTACTACAGCAACATCGTGGAACTTTTGTCTGCTTTTAGTCGGCAGTTTCAGTCGGTGGAAGATGAGGTGGGTGGTTAAAAAAAAAGATATTTGAACAAGAAAAAATTAAAATTAAGGCAACTGCTAGAGAATTTTCAATTCTTATTTAAGCTGTTAGTTTTGCGGCCAAAGCTAATTTAGGATTACTAACAAATTTGCTTGCCCATCTCATTTGATTTTTGACCTATTTTAAAAACTGTAATTGATTCCATCAAAATATCTTTATTTGGAAAATCTTATTACATTTTTGTGAAAGCTTTTGAACAAAAACTAGATCACTGTAATAACAGTTTGCTTTTTTTGCCACTAAGTGCTGTTTTAATGATATTTTCGGATTAAATTTAATAATCGTGCCTAATTGCATGTTTCAATTTGTCTCGATACTTTTCTATTTCAACCAGATGTCTACGGAGTGGATAGCTTATGTGAACGATCTGGATGACATGCTGGCCAACTCTTTAATGACCAGTGCCCGCGGCTCCCTGAACAAGCTTTATGAAGCCCTACACTGCGATGAGGACATGGCCTCCGCTCCCATTATAGTTGTCGAATCGGACGTGAAGGATGGTCAAATAGTCTTCTCCCCCGAAATGGATGCCATTGAAAGTATGATAAACGGAATCGTGGATAGTATTCGCAGCATGTTGGATCAGTTTCCGCGGCTGGGATACAAACTTAAGCTGCCGAAGAAGCAGCAGCGTCAGGGATTCGCCGGCGTTTTTAAAGAGGATCAGGAGTGCTCGGATCTAATGAGAAGCATTCAAGCGGAGATTGCTAGGCAGCGGGATGAGATGGCCAAGTATGAATCTGTTTGGAACCAACATCGTGTCCTTTGGGAGACCACCGAGGAGGGATTCCGGCAGCGATTGCTTTCCAGTTCGAGGACAGCTGGCGTTTTCGAGGGAGGCATCGAACACTATAGTTCACTGGCGGATGATGTGATCTTTGAGGATGCCATCACAAATGTGTACTTCATACTGGTTAATCAGAACGCCCTGAAGAGCACCATCCTAGATTGGATTGAAAAGTGGCAGGCTCTCAACATCAAAATGCTGCTGGATCATGCCAGTAATTTAATCAGAGGTAAGTCTTGTAAAGGAAATGATATTCCTATAAATTATGGCTGATAAATCCCTAAAAAAATTCCTAACTGAATTCTTAACTATTTAAACGTATTTCTTATAACCTTTTTAGCCACCTACAAATATATGCGACGTAATGAGCGGAATGTGATGAAGGTTCCCCGAACAATTCGCGAAACCGTGGCTGCTAAACAACTTTTTGAAAAACTTCTCAAGGAAGTTCCAGTGAAACAATCCGCCTTTACACCAATGTTGGAACTCTTTGTGCTTCTGCACAAATATCAGGTGCAATTGACCGATAAAACATATCAGCAGGTGATGGGATTGGAGACGGCTTGGCTTAATTACCTTCAAGTTTTGGAAGAGGCGGATGAAATGTTGGACAACGAAGGCAACGAAACCAAATTGGAGTTGGCAAAACATGGTGAAAAGTTCAAGTTAATACTAAAAGAATTTCTTGAAGATTTCTACTCCAAATTACCCAAGAAATAAAATCTTAAAATATATATTCGGTACCCTAAAACAAGTTTTGTTTGCTTTCTTATCGCACTTATTTAATACAGTCTAATTGATCTTTATTTAAATAAAATATTTAATCGGCTTAGGTAGCTCTTAATCAAGTGAAAAATGTAAATTAGATTTGAAAGCATTTGATTCACACGACTGCGCCTGTTTTTATCGTTTTCAATTAGAATGCAAAAGTCGTATAAGTAAAAAAGCCACAGAAAAGCTTAAACTCCCGCGTAATTAAGTTTGTTGTTCATTGGGCATTGCTATGTGGTTTATTGTAATTAATCGCTGTGTTTAACGACTTTGCGGGTGCTGATTGAGGTATTAATTCGATATCAGATATATAAAACACACGTTCCGCTTATTTTGACTTAAAAATTTTTATTGAAATAAGCAGAGTATAAAATCAAAAGTGGAAAAAAATAAAGTAAGATAAATTATTCTAGCAATAAGAATGAATATATGTATATTCATTAAAGATTTTACTTAACAAACCATTTTCTCAAACGTAGTATGAGATTGATTCACCTTTTTAAATTATAAAACAATTGATTAGGTTTTAATTTTTTCCTGTGTATATTAAGTTTTACTGGATATCAACATGAGTGTTTTCTCAATCAACTATCTTATGTGACATTTTTGGTGGCTCTCATATCGTCACTTTCATGACGTCACGACACATGAATTGGTTTCGTTGGGTAACCTAATGGCTTGTTATCATTTTGAATGATTTATGCGGCTTTCGAGAAACTCAGGTAATTACCTGTTAACGAGAATTTGTTTCGCGGACCTCAGTCATGCACCGATCGCCGGTCAGTTTGTCACTTTTGTGGCTCATTTCCACATTTTTTCTGCTCTCAAGTAACTCAACTTTAGTGAACACCCATCACATTTTGGGTCTATTTGTTAATGTGCATCGGTCCCAGTTGCTGGTCCATTTGGCTGTGTGTCAAGCTCTCTTACAAAAGGGTCACCAATTGACTTTGGTCACCACATTGCCATTGGGGGATTACGAGCTTCAGGGAAATGTGACCCATATTTACATTCCATGGAAGCAGCCAGCGGAGGAAAATCGCCATGAATCTTCCTCGGATTTATTGGAGCGACTGGAACGCAGGTTTAAGCGGTTGGAACACGCTGGAGATTTGCTGGGTCAGCCAGAATGGAGGAACTTTATGAAAAGCCCTCCCCATACTTCATACGATCTCTTACTTATGGGCTACCACTTCAACGATCATCTTTTGGGAGTTGCCGCCCATTTTAATTGTCCAGTGGCCATAATTTCCACCCAACAGCCAACTGGATTCGTAAATTCATTGATGGGCAATCCCGAGGAGCGTTGGTATGTCCCACAACCATATGATGGTCACCAGAGGAGTGGAATCTCTGCCTGGATCTTTGGGGTTTGGGAGAAACTAATGGAAGTCATAGCGAGGAGAGTTCTGGCCAGGATATATAGGTATGCTTTGAGAATATTTATTACAAAAGTGGTTTCTCATTTAACATTTTCTTATAAGATTACACTTTCCTGAACCAACTTATCCAGAATTTGAAACCATGCGCAAATCGGTTGTTTTGGCTCTGAATAATCATCACATGATCAGCGAGGGACCTATAGCTCCTGTTGTTCCGAATATGGTGGATATAGGAGGCATAGTCTTGGAGCAGAAACGATATAGTAATTTACTGGATTTATTATTTACCAATCGATCGATTATCATCTTCAGTTTGGGATCCCGTTTCACTTGGCGCAAATCTCCGCAGAAATTAGTGCAAACTTTTACCAAGGCCTTTTCTCATTTTCATGATTATGATATATACTGGACCTACGATGGATCCAATGGAAGTGACATCAGCTCGGATTATCCCCATTTAAAAGTGAGCAAATGGTGGCCTCAACGTGAATTACTGGCCAGCGGAAGAGTTAGACTATTTATCACTCACGGAGGAAAGGGAAGCATTTCGGAAGCTCTTTATTATGGAGTTCCTATGCTTGGATTACCTTTGATTGGAGATCAACGAGCGAATCTTCAAAGAATGCAGTCAAAGAATTTTGGATTGACATTATCCACTCACAATCTTACGCACTCAGAACTTTCCAAAACAATGCATCGAATACTCAGTCACCCAAGTTACGTTGAAAATATATCAAAAGCCTCTGAAATATATAGAGATCGCCCCTTAAAATCCAGTGATTTAGCCACATTTTGGGTTGAGTACATCATTCGGCACAAAGGAGCTGCAAACTTATATAATCCCGCAAGGCATTTAAATTTCATTGAATATTACTCCATCGATATTTATGTAATGACTTATGGCTGCTTAATTCTAACGATAACCATACTCAGGAAAATAAATAAGTTGATGTGACTAGAAGTATCGTTTATTTGTATACAATATAAGTATATTACATAAGAAACTAGGAGATGAACTTAATTGACATTAACTTAAGTACTCTCGAATGTTGTTCAGCAATACTTCTTCTCATCGGAACTTGGCACTCTCTTTTAAATATATTTTTTTGTTTCTAGCTGGTTTAACTGGCATCTTACTTTCAGCATTAATTACTAAAACAGCAGATTTTTAGGAGTACCTGCAGCAAAATCTATTTAAATTGTTTCTTAGCTGTATCAGAACAAAAAATATCATTACACCCAGAAAAGAAAAACGGATAAAATCAAGTACAGTCGGCAGGACTTTGCTTTTTCAGAAAAGGATTAAGTTAGTTAAGGAACTGATTGTTTTCAAACTAAGTACAGTTGCTCAGGTGTTAAAAAAAGTATTTTTTGGAGCTTCATGAAAAATATTTAAATGGGCCGGCATTGTTTTAAAAATTAAACGGGCTTAAGGCGTTACCTTTTAAAGGGTTCTCTTTTCCGTGTAATAAAAGACTTGTTTAAATATTATGGCTCATAATACTAACGACTAATCATATGGAAGTTCCCACAAAATGCATTTGGTGTAACAATTATCATCGGGGAAGTCTCTTCGTCAATCGAAGGAGTCAGTTCTGAATACATTTCGTTCTATGGCTATTGGGCATTTAAATAGTATTATGGTTAAAGTGTATTTTGAGGATTTGGTTTAGCTCTGGCCATGTTGGCGCCTAGGCTGGAATTGTTTTTTCAGATTCATATTTCCGTTTGGGAGTCCCGGGCGCGGACAGCGCCCATTTTTCATATCATAAGGTCCGTAATTGCAGAACGGCGGACTGCTGTCTCCATTTTGAATGCGACTGAAACGGAAAAGAAAATGTGCTAAATTTTAATGGGAAAATTGATTGTAATTTTAATATTATTTAGCAGTAAAAAAGTTAACTTATAATTTTCATTTGGGGTTGAACTATATTTGAAAATTTTTTTTAGAAAACATAGGAATTTACAAACATAGATAAAGATCTTCTTGAATATCGGATTATTTTAAATAAAATTTTAAATGATTTTTAATTAAGTTCAACCTAAGGAATTGAAGCTCTTTATTTCGTTTTTTGTTATATTGCAGTGATTATTTAATTGGGCGAAAATTCCTTTTCAGTGTTATTTTGAGATTTATTTAATTGTAATGTAATATTTATAGTTAAATATTTCACTCACAGTCGCTCCATCACCGAGAATCCCTCCTCGCCGTTCTTTAACCGCTTGCAGGTGAAGTCGCTGAGGTGGCAGTCGCATCGGCATCGACTCGCCACCCGATCCCGCTCCATTTGCCCCACTGTCTCCGGATGGGATCCCTTCCAGCTGAAGTCGATGAAGTGCTTGGGGCACTGGCAGTTGGGGCTGCGTTTCCGTCGCATCCCCACCTTCACACAACCGCACAGCGTGTGGTTCTCCATTTCGAGGACCTTGGTCTGGCTGTAGTTGCCAATCCGCACGGTGAAGACCCGCTGCACCCACTCCTTCTCCTTCGCCTGGCAGGTGAAGCCCACGTCGCAGCAGCCGTTCAAGTCGCTGCACCTATTTAGGATGGTGGCACGTGGCGAGTACATCGTGTTGGTCTCCCTCGTGATGTAGGTGACCTCCTGCCTGGGCTCCCGGCAGATTCCCTCAGTGGCCATCATCCTCAGGTGCTCGGCGGCCAAGCGGTTCAGTTGGGCATTGCGAGTACCTGGAACATTAATGGAATTGGTGTGTTTTAATTGTGCATATGCATTTGAAAAAAGGTTATATAAATAGGAAATGGTTTATATTGCACCCTATAAAAGTTTTAATTTGTAATAAATATCATGTGCATTATTTCCTTAATTCCAAACTTAATTTTTTATAACTACAGCAGCTTAGCCGTGATTGCTTAAATTGATAGACATCCATTTTTGGTTTCTAACAAATTGGGGAAGCAAAAATAGACTCTTTGTAATTTTTTACATTTCTGTTTGAAATTCAATGCTTATAAAAAAAATCTTTGTAGTTATATTGCCACATAACAGTTAAATGAACTTCAATATATGTTTAATTAAAAGCATTTAAATGCACCTCGCTGCTTTAAGTGCTCTCCTTAAATGTTTCGTTTTAAATACAACCTATTTGCATAAATGCAGTTTTTTCTCTCGTATGTGTGTCATTGGAATAACCAGTCACCGGGTTCGATACTTAATAGCCCACTAAAGTGCGGTTCATTCGCCTTTTCGATCGGTTAGTTCACTAAACTGCCAGAAAATTTCCGTCTTGCGTTTTCAATGACTTTCGCGCGCGTTTCGCATGCGATTCGGTAGCGCTTTTAATCGCCCACTGCGCTTTTTTTCCATGCCATCGACTCAAGATCATTTGTGCGAACCGACTTTTTTTATTGATCGGCGGCTGGAGATTGCCCCCTAAAGGCCTTAAGGCCAGCTTAAGTTTACCGTTGCAGGCGAGTTTTATTTATCGTCTTTTGTCGCGACCATAAAAAAAAGCGATCAGAAGCTATCTTTTGCATGCGGAATTCATTTTTCTCGTGCGTCTGGTGGTCGTAAAGTTTGGGTAGCCAAGCGGATCGCCGGGGAAGGAGGAAAAGTGTGCTCAAAGACCACCCAATGTTCAGCTAACCGAGCTAATCCCAAGTCCTAGTCCCAGTCCCCATTCATTCACCTACTGGGAGAACAACTTTCCAGGCGAATCTCCAAGGGAGATTCAACTGTTGGGTCCGTATGTAATTTTCATAAATGCTCCATGATTGAATCATCAACTTAACGAGCGCGCTGGCAGGGGATTGGTGCGCTTTGTGCACTTTAATAAAAATCTATAGAATCAAATTGGAAGTCTACTGAATTTTTATGACTTCTATAACCAAAAGATCAACCAATTGTTATCTGATAAATAAAGATTTATAAGGATAAGTCATATCATCGTAAAAACTGAAAATGTAAAAACTGAAAATGGAATGGTCATCAGAATTAAAAACCACGCATTCTTTGGTTTCCCTCGGATTCCCTCTTAATTATGTTTTAATAACTGGCCTAAGATGGTAGTTTTTGTTTCAGTGTAGTTGACGTAGTTCAAAGCTGTAGTAACAAAGGGTGAGGAAGGTGTTCGACTGCCGCAGAGTTGGCGAAGCTGCTCCAGCCACAACAGCCACATGAATAATTCAAGGGGCTCTAGCCCAACAAGCCAAGAGTACTGAAAACACAGGGACCTCAAAGGGGGAAGGGGGATTGGAAAATGGGGGGAGGGACGGGAAAATTGCAATGCTGATGCCTGAGTTAAGGAGAGTCTGCTGAGCTGCCTTTGAACTTGACGGCATTGCCCATGAAAATGTGGGCCAATCTTACGGTCTTCATGGATGATGACGAGGTGCGGGGTGGCTTCCCCCCAAATTGCCATAGTTTAACACGGCTAACAGTTGGTCTTGGCCAATAAAGCAATTTTGACAGCTGCCAAATGTTACACACCATTTAATTGAAGGAAAGTTTGTCCTAGGCACAAGATCAAGTTTTGTTCATACAACATTACAAAAACTTAAATCGCAATGTTAAAACTGCGTGAAAATAACGAATTAATAAAAGATTTATTCTAAAAAGTTTGTTTACAGCCTCCAGCAAACTTTATTTTGTTATTTGTATATTAAAAACTGAATTGCAGTTAGAACAACGTTAAAAAAAGTTACTACATGAAATAAAATTGCTGCCAAAAGACTGTCAAAAATAATTGACTTCCTTCTTTTTTGTTTATTAAATTTAGCAGCATTTATTCATCACTAAATGAGTCACACGAATATGCTACCTCGAGCTAATCAGCAAAACAAGCAGCTATGACAACTAGCAAATATTTATTAAACGTTGCTACTTAACTAAAGCAAACAGACAACAAACAACAACTGCAACGCGAAATATCGAGTGTGATAAGAAAATTGTTGCATCATTATGCATTTACTGCAACATCCACAGGCAATTCCATTGACAATTTCCCAGGCTCGGTGACACACTTTCGTTGGCTTTTGAGCCGACTCTGTCCACACGCTCTTAACGGTTTTCCCAAAAACAATTTTCGCGCCCATTAAGCGACAGCAATTTTCCACTCAAATGCAAAAGAAGGAAAACATGGGCCAAGGGGGCAGAGATAAAAGAAAGATATTGAGACAGACCGAGCTCACATTTCATTGTCAGGGGTCTGGGTTAAACTTGTGGTTGTCTCGTAATTGTTGATACACTCAGAAAATAATAGGCACATTATGCCAGCAACAATAAATAAATAATCTCTTTTAAGCAGAAAGCAACTAAAAAATGTATTACAATTTCTTAAAGTGATTATTTTTTAGCCTTAATAAAATGTATGTATTTTTCATATTAAATTAAATTATAAACTTTGAGATTGTTTTAAAAACTTAAAAGAAATATTTTTTTTAATTCTGTATATATTATACCTAATTATATTGCACGATAATGTTGGTGGGATTTTTTTTCCCTGCACCTCTAATGTTTATTCTGTAAAGCCTAGTAGCTCCAAGCTTGTAATGAAGCAATTGGCAAAATGTAAACAAGTCTTGAACTTCATCATCGAAAACCAAAAAAAATCCAACTAACAACTTCAAATAAAAGAAGGCGGTTTGTGTGTTTACCTAACAAGAAAACTCTCCTTATAATTGCAATGAAAGTGCAGAGATGCATCTCTTCCTAGAAATAAAAAACGTTCAAACAACGTTGAAAAGCTGAGGAAAAGTATTTTTTGGGTAATTTTTCAACTGCTTAAGGCGGAGTTTTCACTCACTTTTCTACGGTTAGAAAGTAAAGTGCTGGAGTTAAGCTCGTGCCTGACTTTTCACCCATCCTGTTGTTGACATTTGTGCTCTGGTTTCCCATCATTCACAAGGAGAGCAGAGTCACGTGCCAAAGGATAAAACAGTCATTTTCATTTCCATTGCCATAAATAACAGGAAAAACAACTGGGATTGCTCTAGGCTCCAGTTACAGTTACCGAATTCGAAATATAAAATTCCATACAAATTTTAACTTTAAATAAAAATTTTAAAAATGAATGTATATAGGTATACAAATGTGAGTATATAAGTTTTTTCGAATGAAATTGTAATTTCAATTTATAATAAAAAAATACAACAATTTTAAGATTTCATAAGGATAAAAAGTTTAAAATTGGAACAATATTTTATCAGTTTTTTTTTTGTTTTAGCTATCCTCAATAATTATTAGAAAGCCTAGTTTTTTTTAGCAGTGATAGCAGTCCTGTATTTTAGTTCTGCTCTATTATTTTGACCTGAACTGTACGCCTAGCCCTTCTTTTTCGACATCAAAGGCCATTTCATGGCATTTTGTTTTGGCTTGTTTCGCCCTTTCGCATAGAGAATTGCATAGAACTCGCTTGGCGCATTTGCTTAGCACCGTTTTTATGGCCAGAACGTGATGATCATAGCCGGGCGCCTCGGACATCTATTTGCAGCACAATTACGGGGGAAGGGAGTCATCTTTAATGGCCCCAATGAACCCCATCCAAAGGGAGAACTTTCCAAGGGGTAAAGGCTGAAGTACTCACTATTATATGTCCTTTCCCTGAATTCCTCGACGTCTCTTTGGGTTCCCAGCATCTGCGTTTTAAATCTTGTCAAAACGCCCGGCTGCTGATCGGATTGATAGTCGTCGCTCTGTAAATCAAAGAATAAAATACAAAATATTAGGTCATTGAAAAGAAATAATTTCATGCATAAATGTTACAACATATGTGGACAAACACTGAATGTCGCTTTACCATTTATTTATTTTTTCGGTTGCGAAACGACCACGTAACTCTATTTTTCATTCACAGGGAAAACAATTTTTTGCGGCTTTCATTATTATTGCACAACATGCTGGAGCATCGCACTCCTATTTCATATATTTTTTTGCAATTTTTGCCATTTGGTATAAGCGTACAAAATAGGCTGCATAAAACATATTAAAAACAGCTAATAAATTGGATTGTAAAATGTGGTAGGCAAATGCAAAAATTCTTTTACAATATTCAATCAATCAAGAATTACGTGTGGCAAAACAGCTTGTAAACAAAATATTTCTAACTTTATTTATACAACAAGTTTCCTTAAAGGTTGTTTTCAATTATAAAAACTTGATAGTGGTATTAAAGTTTTCCGTATTGCAATAAATCGAGTTTGTTTTGTTTTAATTAAATTTATCTTCAATAAGGGCTTCCTTTTTGTGATTTATTATTTATGCTATTTTTTTTTATTAAGCTTCCTTCGCTAAGAGCGAATAAAAATAAAAATTGAATTCATGCCCTGTGATTTATGCTGCCGTGTTGTGCCAACGCAGCAATTTTGATTTATTTAACAGATTTTTAACACGCTGCACAGAAAAGCCGCAGCCAAAGAGAAATAACAAGTGCAGGTGCAAAGGGAAAACTGCGTGCCACACCTGAGAGCACCTGAAAAGCTATCACTTACAGCTCAAAGAGCAACTGCAGCGGATGCGGGGAAAACTTTTACAATTTGCATTGCCACACACTGATATCGATTTTCAACAAAGGGATGCATGCACTTGCTTTTCCCACGATTTTCTCCCAGCCCAAAAAGGCGCCCCCGAAAGTCATGAAAACTAACGACATGCATATAAGTGATACATAATGCGACGGGGAAAACGAGAGGGGAGGGGAGGGGGTGGAAAATCGGAAAAGCGGGAGTGGCTTCCTTCTGGGTGTAATAAATGAAGTGTGCATGTAAGAAAAATGACACCGGCAGGAGCAGAAAGGATAAAGCAGCCAGGATACAACTCCATTCGCATTCCCAACAGAGTCACCAAAGCGTTAAGTGAAATGGCCAGCGAAAAGGGGGAAAATGGGGAAAAGTGGGGGTTGGGGCTGCAAAAGTGGGTGGCTTGTGGATTGAAATTGAAGGCTATGCCGAGTCATGTCCCGCATGCAAAGCAGCTAATGGCTCGGATGCATGAACTACACTTTTTCGGGTTAAAGTTAATGATCTGCATGACTGCAGGGATCTTTTGTTCTAACGGAATGAAGGTTAAATTCATTTTAGTTTCTTTGAACAGCAGTTTAAATGTTTTTGTAGTTTTTTAAATTTATATTTTAGTTGATAGTTTAACTCATTTAATTTTGATAAGTGCTTGTGTAGTAACAAAGCCAATAAAAATATTCCTTAAAAATCATTTATTTTTACCGCCCTTAAATTTTGTTTGTGTTATAAATATAAAGTAAAGCAAAGTTATTTTGTTAATTGCATCTATTACATATTAAAAACTGTTAGAAATCGAGAACCTATGTATACTTTGATAGTTTTTATTGTATTCATTTCATTATTTTTCATATCATCACTACCATTTAATAGATATTTATTGCTGCCCATTTGCTTACAACGATCGTTTTGCCTAGATGCAACAAAGTCATCCAAATCCGATCTGGAATCTCCCCGTTCAATTTGCTTTCCATCGCCCCTTTCCCCATTTTCCCCTAGCACTTTGGAGGAAGCACCTTAGCTCTGTTTTTATAACCAGTTCTACTTAAGCTTCATTACGCATGCTCAGCCATGACACGGCCATTTCATCCAGGTTGGCAGTTGGCTACTTCCCCGACCCTTCGCCTTCCGAAAGTCCGTGCCATGCCTCTGGTCCCCTCGAATCACCATCAATCTGCTGTGCCAATCCTAGGAGCAGGAACCGGAGCTACAGCTACACTGAAAATTCATCCTTAAATAATTAGAAATGTTCCAAAATTCATACAATTTTCAACTGTAATATAAACTATTATTATTTTCTGATTTCCCATTTTTTTTTAATTTCCCATTTCTAATAAGGCTAATATCTGTTTTACTATAAATAAAATATGACTACTTTTTCAATATATCAAGTACAAATATGTTCTTTTTGAGGCGTTAAAATAATTAACCCTAACAATAATCATTAAAAACCGAAATTTAAATGCATTTCTGGAGTTTTAGTCCTAAATGTTTTCACTGCATAACCGAAGTTAAAGCAGGGACACATGAATGAACAGAAAAAAAAGACATTAAGTGTCTGCCGGGTTGACAGTATTCAAATACAGTTGACTTTTTTTTGTGTTAGGCCCGTACCACCTCTACTCCATATAAAATAATACAAAAAAACACCAAAACTCATTTGCATTTGCCTCTTGTTCTGTTTCGAGCGTTTGAAGGATGCTTTGGTCGGAGGAGCAGTTTCTTTATTATTTTTCACTCTTGTTTTTTTTCCCACACCTTTTTTGTTTAGCCTCAATTGGGATTCCTGGCGTGGGTGTGACTTGTGTTTGGTATTTTACGAGCCAGAAGGTAACAACAACAGCAACAGCAGCGACAACAATAATAAAGAGCCTGTCGTGGGTTTATTTGCAATCAAAAGAGTTATGAGCCGAATGCAAATAGCGCACCCAGTACCCTGTTTTATGATCCGCCATCCCTTACACTTTAAAATAAAATCAATATTCGCAAATAGTTTTCTTGAACCAAGAGCTGTGAAATCATAAAACCTTTCCATTGGTAGACAGTGAAAAAATGTTTGATATTGAAAACCACGTTAGCAACTAAACAAGAATTAAGGAGTTTTTAAGCTAAATGTTTGATTCAGTTGCATTTGATAAATAGGAAACTGATTAAGATTTTGAAGTAGTTTAGAAATAAGTAGATTGTTCTATATAAGGGCTATGACTAATAATTCTTTAATTATTTTGCACAACTATTAATACTAGTGTACTTTTTCAAAGACCCAGAACTAAAAGCGTGACAGGCGAGGTTCTGTGCATAAAGGTGTTACCTTTGGTTTGTCCCTGGTCAAGATTAAATACCCCCCTTTCCCCTCCCCGCCCCTTTCCGCATTGTAAAATGCGTGAATGAGCAAAAATGAAAAAATGAAAAAGAAACAGGAGAAACATTATCAACAGTGGCAGAGGCGGTAAAAAAGAAGTCTGGCCAACAAATTCGCCGACAACTGTGCAAATAAACAGAGGCGGTGGGTGTGAGGGGGGTTTAATAATTGCCAGAAAGGGCAGTGCAGTTGGAGAAGGGGGAGTTCGGAGTTCCATATACTACAATCCAATATTTGTTTTCGCCAAAGAGAGTGCAGCAAACAAAGCCAACTAAATGTGCACAACGTCCCGCGACCTCGCCACATTTTCATCTTTTATTTTTCCCGAATTCCCCTGGGGGTTCTCGACTAAAAACGGGCAAGTAGACTCACAATGAATCGCTTAGGCAAAATTAGAATTTTCAGTCCGAGGGGCATGTTGAAATTCGCGATTAGCAACCAAGTCGATGAAATGAAAGCACTTGACTGCAGTGCAAAATTGTATTTTTTTATTTGATAGACTCGGAAGTTTGGTTGACCTGTGGGTTAAGTGATTTAAATGGAATTTGATTTTGATTTATTCAAAAAGTAAGTGTTAAACAACACTAAGTTTTTGCACGAGCACACACATTTGGCAACATTAAAATCCCTATCAAATCTTTAAATCCGAAATATTTTTGAATATGTATTCCATTTTAAAGGGCATCCCCAGTTCATACAAAGTTTGGCTGTCTTTTAGGCCTTTTAGTTTGTGTTTCCTTAATTTGCGTTGAATGCGACGAGGAAAATGTAGCAATTGCAATTTGGCTAAAAGCTAAGCAAGGAAAATGTGGAAATGTATACAAAAGCGCAGCGAGCTGCGTTTGGTAAACTGTCCGCCTCGATAGGCTCATTTTTTTGTAGGGCAACAAACAAGGGCCAGACATGAAAGGGGGGATTTATGGACGGACCACATGGCGTATGCTTAATGTGTCATGAGTTTTTCTCTTTCTCGTTGTGTTTTCCAGCTTGCTCTTTACACTTTTGACATTAAAGTACCAATTACGCGGCCACTCACACCGCCCTCCCCCGTCGCAATTCGACCATTAACTTAAGTAATTAAAATCGGCAACACTTTGCATATTCACTAGGCTTTTTTTACATCTTAATTAAAACTACAGGATTTTTATGCCTATTCAATTTTATACTTTTTAGCGGTGCAAGCATTTAAAAGAAACAAAATTGAAATGCGAAAAGGACTGGCTGTTTAAAATGCTTTTCAATTTTTAACGAGCGAATGTAACCGCGAAATCTGCCGCGACTGCTTGGTCCGTTTATTATGACAGTTTTATATTTGTTTGCTTTCGGCCGACTGTGAAAACGAAAGCAGCCAAAAGGAAAGCATCAAGGCTAAAAGCAGAAATCAGAAAGCAAAGACGCCGCCTTTGGGACCATAAATGGCCATAATATCCATCCAATGTCAATGACAGAGAGGTGCTGTTTTGGCCAGAGATCTGGGCGCCTGAGTTCAGGGATGCAAACTTAAATACTTTTTCCACTATTACTTGATACTGTGAAGGTTATAATACAAAAATATGTATTAAATCTTTTCTTAAGAATGAAAGGGCTTGCAATAGGAACAGACAGACAGACTTATTAGGACAAATAATAATAACTTATGTTGATAAACAAAAAGGGAAGTCATTTCGAATTAATAATTTCATTATCACTTATTATCAAAAAAAGTTTATTATTGTTTTTTAGTATAAAGGAAATTCAGCTATAAAAAACAGCTATATTGTTTTAATTAACAATCAGTTGATTGCTTTAATTATAGAATTCTATAGCTATAACATCATAACAATATTGTTGAGAGCTTATCACACAAAAAACCAGACATTAAACATTTTCGTCTAAGTGGGATCGTGCCTTTGACTCTAATTTAATGGAGGTGAATTCCATGAGAATTCCCACTGTTTATTGGCTGCATCCCTACCAGAAGTTGAATCATCGACTCACAGAGGCGCCTCCCAATTAAATCGCCCATTCACAACAAAACTGGCTGCAACATGTTGCAAGTTGCTGTTGGCGCAGCTCGGCAAATGCCGGAAATGTGAACCGAGGCGTCATCATCATCGTCGTCGGAGGGAATCGATCGAGAAACTGATTGCCAGCCGAAGAACATGTCTGGGCAAATGGATGGGGGGACTCGATTGGATCTCAAGAGGGGCAGGGAGTGTCGGGTTTTGTCTGACTCCACTAATTGCAACGCCCACACGCACCGATAGATTGCAGCTAGATTGCCTACGAGATTGAAACGTTGCTGCCACACCGATCAACCGACTTGTCTGGCCTGCTCCAGATTTTCATTCTGCGATTTGTTTGAATTTATCAAAGGCGATACACTGACTGACAAAGAGGAAATATTGACTTTTTAGCCAGCAGACCAACACGCAAATAAACAGTGCGGCATACGGAAGTAGGAATTCAGGAATGCTGAGAGTACACCTAGCACACCTCTCTAGGTTGCGTTCATGAAAATGATGAATGAAATATATTTACGAGTACATATGAACTCAACAGATAGAGCAACGTCTGAGTAGTATAGAATATTTTATTATTGTTGCTTTTACACTTGAATATCATCATCACAACAAGAAATGATTTATGCTGAATGAAGTATATTTCGAAACACGATTTCTTTCATCCCTACTAAATAAAATTCACTTAATTCCGCAAAACTTTCTCAGAACAAACAAATCACCAAGGGGGATCGTTATTAAATTTAGAACAAAGGAATTCCATATGATTTATGTTCGCGTAGAGTGTATTAAAGCCTCGTCTTGGCGATGATTTATAATTTTTGGTCGGTCTTAATTGCGTGACTCTTGGCGCATGGCCCGTTTAATGGCCAGCAAGTCGCCGGCGATCAATCAGCCAGCTCGCACAGTCGCGTCCACTTAATTATGGCCAGCAGCCAAAAAGCGTGAACTCTTTGCGTCGAAATTTATTGGTTTAGCGACAAGTTTCCCTACACTTTCCCCGATCGTTTTTCCGCCGAGTTTGCGGCGTTCATTAAATAATATGTGGCAGGCTAGACAAAAAAAATCTATATAAATTTATAGATTTGTCACATATATTGGGAGCTTCCGCATTATTTATACTTGATGTGAGTTGGGCTATAAATCACGACCACATCGTACTATGTAGACCGCACGAAAGCTGTTTGCAATTATGTCATAAGCCGATTTGCTCGTCATTAGCTTTTATTTTTTGGGGAAAACTTTAGGACTGCCAATAAATCAGAAATCCCGTCGAAATTTACATTATCCCCGAATCTGTGCGTGGCAAAAGATTTCATCGTTCAACTCTATGTGGCAATCGATGGGATCAACACGAAAATAATGGGAAACTAGATTTTTATTGAGGGCGGATCACGTAGTGTTTACTGAGAATCGAAAGTGAAATGATTTCAATTATAAAGTGCAGATCCGAATTCCCGGAAACACTTTGAATTAATTTAAATATTAGTTTGAACAAAAATGAATTGGGCTTTGCTTAAACATCATTATTTATTTGAATCATTTCTATATATGTTTTAATTAGTTATTCTCAGTAGCTATAAACCATTTCCTAATTTTGAATTTGTCAGAATTTCTAATTTATAATACTTGTCACACTCTAGCTAATTAAAGCATTATTGTAATTTATTGTTCGAGCTTTGCGCCTTATCTCTCATCGAGTTTAAGCACAAATAGCGAATGTAACATCTTGTGGGTTATTAATGTCAGGGCCGGCGAAACGTTTTGATTCCAGGTGGGTGATTTTTCGGACAAACGATAAGCGGAGGTCGTCTCATTAATTTTTAATACATTTTAACATATTGTTCTGAACTGATTTTATGTTTCTTTATTTGCTAAGTCAATTTTTAAGACCACTTTAAGGTTTTCATCTCTGTTTTTCAGGTGGGTAATTACCCACCTTCCGAAGTTTCAGTCGGGTAGTACTACCCATAATACCCACGCCCTCCGCCGGCCCTGATTAATGTCACTCCCTAGTGTTGGATTCCCGTTCCCCAGAAAGTCTTTGCCAACTTGGTGTATATTTGCCGTAGATAACCTCTTTTCATTCCAATCTCGTTGAAGATAAAGGCATTTTCTAGTCATTCAACTATTGCGATTATACAATTGTAAGACCGCGATGCTGGCGACGAGATCAAGTTGTATTAATCGCAAATGTGCCTATAAATACATATGCAGATTTACTGACCTTGTGCCGGAGCAACTAAGTTCTTGATGATTAATCGGTTAAATCGATTTGTTTTATGCTCGTGTTTTTACTGACCCATTTGCGTCTGGTTTGCTTTGATTTGTAATCTAAGCAAGGTTCATTTATATCCATCGGTATTCTTAAGCGTCCCTTCTTACAATTCAACATTGATTTAAATAAAACATTTATTGTCAGGGCCACGACTTCTTTGTACTGCAATAACCACATTATTGGAATTTGTAAGCTGGTGGCCGAGATATGAGACCCATTCCTAGTTGTTAATCTCAGTGAAGTTATGCACATGGAATGTGATGGCAAATAAACTGACAAAGGTAAACACACAGAGAGAAAATGGTATGATGTATCTGGGGGAGTGCGAAAGCAAGTGCAGCGATTTCCCGGGGCGAGTGGGTGGTTGCCTGGTAAATGGGCGGGGGAGGGAAGGGAAAACGGAGTGCCGAGAATTCAGTTCCAGCGAGCAGATATTAAATTCCTCTTTTGAGCGCTCAAAGGATGGGTTTCCGGGGAGTTGGGGATATTCAGGTAAAACCATGACCATAAAACCATGCGCTTTTTATGCCGCCTGAGTGGATCAGCCACACACCAATTCAACGGAGCTTAATACAACACCACCCAACACACTGGAGAATATATATTTGTGCACCTATAAAGCGGCGATAAGAACCCAAATCAGACTCACAGACGAGCGAACAAATCGGATCTGATCGGGAGTCTAAAGCAAACTTGAGCAGCGATGATGTCAACTGCTTCGGGGAATTCCAAAATTATTTCAATTATTTAGCACTTGCAAACGAATGAAAATGAATGTGCTGCTTAACTGCTACCGCATAAATGTAATGAAATAAATCTAATAATTATTTTGTAATTAGCTTTCGTGGAAACTGTTAAGTTTTGATTGATTTGATTTCTATTATTCCTGTTACCCATATTCAAATAGCCTTATTCAAATAGCCTTTACACGTTACTAGTAAGAAGTTATTTTAATACACAACAATTCCATCTCATTTCTTATCATTGACAGATTCTTACATTTGATGTTCCATCTCAATTATGAGTAATCAGTGTAAATCAGTGAAATTGTTCCTCGTAAAATCCCACTTATTCGGTCACGATTGATTTCCCTTTAAGGGCGGCTCCAGTTACAAGTTGTCGTGTCAATTAGGCCAATTAACAAGGGACCACCATAACGGAGAGTCGTCTCTTAAAGATCCCTTGAAGAACCCGTTTACTTTGCTCCCCTTATTTTTTTGTGATCGTCGGCCAGCTGTCCAATACTGACAGAAAAAAGATAAGAAAAAAAATTGCAGCGACAGATTCTTCTGAAGATTCCCCTTCTCTCGATTCAATTTTAAGCAGAGTGGTCCAATTAAAGTCCGGAAAGTGAAACCGAATGAAACCGATCGTTGGGCAGGGATCTCTCTTCTGGGGCTTCGGTATTGAAATGACTACCGTTCCGCACACCAGTACCAAATTGGCTCGTTAACCAAATTAGTGGCTCCTACCTGCCGCAACACGTTTCATAATTGCCGCCGTTGTGTAATTCCTTCTCTCCTTCGATCGCCAGCCATTTGGGTGGGCCTTCTGATCTGCGATTCGCAATCGGCGAGTGGAGACCGCAGATCGGATCGAAGTGATTGCGAGCGAGTCCCAGGGTTAGTCACCCGTCACTGAATCACTCGAGCCCGAGGTTCAAGGTGAGCCATCTCGCTCCGATCGAGAACTGATTACCAATAACCATTACAATTCTAATGCGCAACAAGTAGCTGGAGCCACTGAAGACACTTAGGGGATTCTAACTTGACCAAAAGATCTTTGTTTCCACAAGATACTTTTTACTACTTTGTGTACAAGAATATTTTTTTACTTTCTGACTTTTGTAATATTTTAAATTTAAATATTTTTTAAATAGATGTTTTTCCAAGGTTGCCCTTATAAAAAGTTTTGTTCAAGTACAAGAAAAAATTCGTTTTTATCTGATTTTTTTTTACTTCTCAGCAAATAAATGTACTTTTCTCAGATTGAAGAATGTAATGAAAAATATAACATAAATATAATCTAATTGAATTTTAATTCTTTTTTGTAAAACATCTTCATAAAATGGCTTGTATTTCTTACAAGCTTATTTTCTCTTTGAGCATTTTTTATAACAAATACGCAACCTTTTTAAATGTCATAAAAATGTTATCTTTAAAACAAAGTCTTGTCAATTTTCTAGAACGATAACGCATACTCTATTACTTTTCTTAGGTTTTTCTTAGAGGGTATCGTTCAAGTAAGCCCCTCCAAATATTTGATAATGAAAATATTGTATTATGGGTTCTGCGAAGTGTTTGCCTTCGCCGGGTCTCCCCAGATTAAAAATGAGAGACTCACCTGCTCATCGTCGGCGGGGAAACGCAGGTGATTATCGCCGACCTGCGACCTGAACTTTTCATTGAGACTGCGGGCGTGATAGCGGCTGGTCTGCTCACGCGGCACGCGCTTGTGGAGGAACTGGGACAGGTTGTCTTGGCCCTGCGGCTCCGGATCTTCGGTGGCATCCGCATAGTCGTAGTCGTCCTCCTTGTTCTCGTAGTCGTCTAAGTCGTCTTGGGGGAGGCTGAAGCGGAGCAGAAAGCGGTTGGTGGGTGGGCGAGAGGTGGTCCTGCTCAAGGTCGAATTCCTCGCGTCAAGATTATTATTATTTATGCCATTCGATAAACTGGTATACGCGTTTGTTGTCGTCTTTAAAAAGACGACGATCACCACCACAAATATGAGGTTCATTTTTGCAGTTGCGTATTTTACTTTATTTTCAATTACAATAAGCACGCCGATCGCGAAAATTTATTTTTGGCGCACTATTAGTCACTTTTCTGAAAAAATTAAAGGGGGATACAAATTAGATTTTCTTTTTCAAAATTCGTTTTTTTTTATGTAAAACGTGATTTTTAAATATTGTATTTGTTAAATTTCGGCTCTCGAATAACATTTTTATGCACACAAATATGCATTTTATTTCGATTCCCAAAAACAGCTTGAAGAATTTTTCAAGTTAAATGTATGTTAAACTGCTAAATATTTTACTTTGGCACACGCCTTCGTTTTAATTTTATAGATTTATATAAAAACGCATAGGGCACGGTTTAAAATAATAAAACTCAAGCATTTTAAGTCACAATAACTTTGTTACATTTTAAATAAAATTAAATCAAATTTTTAATTGGATTTATACACTCATATTTTTATGGCCCAGCGTAATTTTTATTTTGATTACGGCCACCGGTTGCCGGGGTTCGTTTTTGTTTTATATTGCTCTTTTAATTTTCTTTATGCAAAATAATTATTCATAGGGCTTTTGAAATTGTTGCTTTTGTACAATTGGTTTTATTTTTAAGGACAATTTAAGGATTTAGTATAACCTTTTAACAAAAATTTTCACTTATGGCAATCATTTGACAAAGCTCGCGATTTATTTTATTTGAATTGGGTCCAACTCGAAACCAACCCGAACGACGTATACTTTATAACTGAACGAACTCAACGAACTGAACCGGCGAAGTGATCAAAATCGTGTGCCGCGCAGCAGCTGTGCACCAACATCTTGAAAAGCTCGCTCTGCCGGCGCTCTTTTGCTCTCTTCCGATCTTGTCCACGGAAAAAAATAAAATGTTTATTAAAAAAAACTTAAAATAGTGTATAATTGTGCGGTACATGCTTAAATAATCTTTTAAGTGCAAATAATTTTACATATGTTACAAAAACATGTTGTTTTTAAACAATTTATGGTTCAATTTAAATTTTCCAATTTAAGAAGCTTATACAGTAACCTTATTTTATTTAATTTAGAGTTTTTTCATTTCAGATTTCAGGAACAGTATGTGTTAACATTATGTACTAACATAATTTACAATTTCAATTTCTCTCTGTGTAACGTTTTATGGTAGTGTGTGTGAGATCCGTGTGCTTTCTTTTTAAGAGCAAGCAGAGCCGTGCTCTCTTTTAAATTGGTGAGTCACTATGTTATAAGGGGTCTGAAAACAATTAACAGAATTTTTTCAAAAGAAAGAGCTGTAAGTATTTATGAGAATTAGTAAAAAGAAGAATGTGGCTTTTGCGAATTGAACTTATTTATAAAATTTGGATTACTTTATTTATTTATTTATTGTAGATAATGAAAATAAAAGGGAACAACTGTAGCTGGTAATTGAGGTGCAGTAAGAAAATTATGATGACGTAAAAATGGAAATGTCCATGAGTTGCCTTTAGGCTTTGTTAGTTTGATAATAATACCATAAGTGCAAATATGTTAATAGCTTCAAATCTTAGAGTCACGGAACATGGCTTATAAAACACAGTCTGCTTTTTTAAATAATTGTAATTTATTTGAATTTTTTTTTGATTATTCCTCTAATTGAGCATTGGGTATCACCTTTTATAAATAGATATTATCATCATACTAGGGTGTTGGCGATTGCAAGCCTCATTTTAATTTTCTTTCCTAGTAATTGATCTGGGTTTTGCTTTAGTTCATATGCAAATACATTTCTGCCCTACGTTTTTCAGCTCCAGATGTTCGTTTGTCAACAGGTTTTTGGTCGGAGATGAACTGGAAGCCTCCGCGGTTTTGTCTTATTTATGGTCTGTGGCTGGTTCTACTAATAGCGCATAAATCTTATTAATGATCTCTGTCAAGTGAGCGAAGAAAACTCACCAGATCTGCATCCATACACTGCGTTTCACTTCTCGGTTCTAAGTCGGGAATTCTCGTTTCTCAGTTCCCTGGTGTTGATGATGGACATCAGCTTTCAGCGCTACCGTCAATCAGTCGGGCTGACAAAAAGTATTACCCTTTTCTTAGGAAATGTACAAAGCGATTCACACTATAATACCCTTAAGTTCGAAAAAAAGGAACATTACATATATTAAAATATTTCGTGTAAGCTATTTATTTAAAAAGATGTACATTGAAGCTTATAAAATAATACAAAAATCATTAATTTTTTTCTGAAAGAATATAATACATACATGCATAATAGAAATAGGTATATAATTATGTGTAGTAAGAGCTTAAATTTAGTTTTACTTAACTTAAATATATTTAAGAAACATTCAGCTTTAATTTAGTTTTAATAAAACAGTATTCTGATAGTTTTGTCAGCGTATTCTTTCATCGTTATAACTAGTTTGCAATCCATTTCACACTTTGTTGTGCAACACTTGAATGCTCCCGCCCTTCCAGAAAAGGGGCGTGGCCCGTGGGCGTAGCTGACTTCGCACCAGGCCAATAATCTTGAATAGGTCTGAAGAATTTTCGCTGTCTACTCTCTTTTCAGTCAACACCAATCGCAAATATACGACAGAGACGGCGCCCTCCACCCACTGCCCTGCTTTTCCAACAACAGGCCCCCTTCTCAAAAACCATTTCCCTGCCGCTGTCTGAATTTGGGATTTTTACCGTCGACACCCACGAATGAAATTTTGCATATTAGTATGTGTCGCATGAAATCAGATTCAGCTTCCATTTATACATATTTTTTGGTAATTCCTTATAAAAAAAAAAAAACAGAAGCTTTCTGTTTATTGTTTTCTGCTTTCTAATAAAGTTCTTGTTATCGTTGTCTAGTTTTTTTTTTACAAAAGCCATTAATTTTTGAATCTAACCCAAGCTTATGGAACCAATCAACGCTGTTTTAAGTAACAAGTAAAAAAATGGCAAATGCTGAATGCCTAAGCTTATTTTGCCGAGGAAAGATAATGACATAATTCCGTTGAACAGAGCGATCGTTTACTTATCAGCATTTTCCCCTGAGTTTAGTCGGTTTGTTCCAGTTTCCAGTGTGCGGTTTTTGTGTCTTTCGATCAGCCCACAGAATTGACAATTAGTGAAAGTGGAAAATGTCTGCGTGCATTTGTGGCTCTGTTGTTTGTTTACACCAAATATCTCTAAATGCCTTTTATGGCTCCATCGAGACCTTTCGGCCTTAAACGTGTGAATATTTGAGAAATATAATCTTAATAGTAAACAGTTTGCCTGCTGTTTTTAAAGGTATTCTTAAGTAATTTATATGGGACTTGGTTATACTTAACAAAGTAAATACACTGTTTGAATGAAGTTGTGCCCATAGTTTTTGTAGCTATTATATAGAAACTATTTCATTGACTTATGTGTTTTATGTGTATTGTTTATAGATTTCATATATTTACTTAATCGGTTTGCAGTTATTGCTGAACAGAATTTATTAATTCAATGTGTAGACAATAAACAAATTATCAGAGCTCCTAGAGCGCCACCCAATTTTCTTCATGTTCGATAAGGCTTTGCAAGTTGTGGCCACTGTAAATTGCGTGGGTGCCTTATGCAGCTAAAAAGGTAGCGATAAAGAGGGAATTCACAGACTTCTCGGCCAGCTGGCCTACTGAATCGAAACTGTGCCAGCGAATTGCAAGTAAATCAAACGCAGTGTACGAATATTTGGCAGCGAAACCAATCGAAACACGAGACAAGACGGCGGCAAGCGGCAACCTAAAAATAAATGCCATGACGGAGTCGACACTCAGATCAGACATGTGTACATACTATATATGCATACTATACTTTACCATATATGCAGCGGGAAGGGGGCGTGGCGGACAACGTGCCACAAGTTGCCAAGTTATTTTTTATAGCGTCTGGCAATTGGCGATGATGCAAGGCGGCGCATCTTTTCATGGTTTTATTTTACGACTATATTATTTGGCTGCAGTTCTTGTGGCTATTTTTTTATGACATTTTCTGCGGCTTTTTATGCGTGGGCTCTCATTGATATTAATTGCTCGGTTTTCCTTTGGCAAACAGCGCAAGTGTTTATTTGGCTTATGTCTTCCGGCCAAAATGGTAGAGAATATTAAATTGGTTTGTTCTTATGTTCTGGCTTACAGATGTGGTATATATCAACCTCGAATATATTTTATATAATATTAATAATATTTTTTAACATTATATTGAACTGATGTAAAAGACTGGGGTTACATTATGGTTTTATGTTTATTTGAATTGTTCTTTGTTTATAAATAAACGAAATTTTTGTACTTTATTAGTACTTTCACTTACTTTATTTCAAATATAGTAAAGGGCACACAAAGTTCCATCTCCAAATGAAAAGTGCATGCGTTATAAACTAGATATTTTCTGCCACATTTTGCGGGCACTTCATCTTTTGGCTTTGTGGCAGATGCCGGGGACATAAAGAACCAAAACTGTGTTAGTGTTTTTATTTTCGCATATGCATATATATTTCCTTTTATTTGGGGGCGCCAAGCCAAAGCCAATTTGGCGACAGTTGCTTGATGTCAGTTTTCCCATTTTCCACCCCTTGGCAATTTTCCCATCCTTATTTCGTGGGAGGCAACAAGTGTCTACATATTTCTTTTTTTTTTTTGTCTTGGCTGCTTTGCATTCGATGATTAATGCTGTTTATTTTTGGTGACTTGGCCAAGAGAATTTGCGGTTTTCAACTGGGTCAATTTGGCATGATATATATCATTCTCTAGCTCTCGATTTCTCAGCTGCAAGTTCAAAGCTCTCTAGCGACCCGGATGCAAGTGCATTAACAGATGCACAATGTTTGCAGCAAAATCTCGACCCAGACTCAAAAAAGATTCAAATCAAAGGCGCGCCCTACTATTTTTTATGTATTTCTGAGTCTTGAACTTTCTCTCGGTCTTCTCAATAGATTCTTTCTTTGCCCTACGATTCCACAATTGATTTGTTTTTATTCTATGACCCATATTCAAATGTGTAAGTGAAATAATTCATTAGGTCTTATAAAAATCAAGAAACTGAGTACTAATTTTGAATTTAATGCATATCAAGTACCAAATAAAAAAAAAACTAGATCATAATTTTTATGATTAAATATATATTCCATTTTGTCTTTCTGCTTCTTGTCTTTTTTTGACTCCTCTTAATCGCTCTTTAATTCTAGCACAATTAAGTTGTGTTTTTTGTTCTCTTTGTTCGTCCTGATAAGTTTATTATTGTTTGTCTGCCCAAATTGCCTTGGGTTTAGTTCTCCTGAGAAGTGGGCCCAGTAATTGCCTTTTTTTCTTTGAAGGACGCCTCAAGATATGCTTTGATTATTCCCGACTTATTTTGCTTATCAGCGGAAAAAATCCATGTTTTCTTCAGCCCTGAAAATATTATGTACATATAGGTACATATATATTATATTATCCCTTATTTTTCCCTTACAAATACTCATTGCGATAGCATTAATCTCTCAAATAATAAAAGAAAAATCTCGGCTTTCATTAAAGCAAAATAAATATTAATAATAGCTATTCCTTAAATAACTTTATAACAAATAAATATTTTCCGTTCAGTGTCGAAATATGAGGTCATCTACTCAATGACAAAAAAAATGTAGTTCCATGTTGTGTATATTATACAAGTTAACACCGGCCAAGCGCGGCAGTAACGTGAGAATAAAGGAGCAGTGACCGCACGCTAGCTGCCTCAACAATTGCTGCCGCTACCCCTTCCCATCGCCGCGGGCAATCGAATATCATCCGAAGTTTAGCTACACGTTAGCCCAAATATTCGGATGCGCTGCTATCAGCAGCGCGACAACGGAAGAGCACTGACCGATCGTTAGCTGCCTCGGCAACCGCTCTGCCAGCGTTATGAAGTCAACAAGTCACGCGAATTATATTTTAAGATTACTTCTATTTCAATTTTACCCCCGAGGCGGCAAGTCATCGATTTGTGAACTAATAAAAGAATTGTAACGTTAAAGCGCTTATTGTTTGATTTTAAAAGTAAACTCGTACGAATAAAGATTGAAGTTGTAGAAGGAAGGACGAAGGCATCAAGGACCAGAGTTACAAAGATGCAGAGTACTCCCCCACTGGCCATGACTGGCCATAACTTACATATTGGTAGTTCCTTTTGATTTCGGCCCATGCTGATAAGCGCATGGACATTGATACAAATACATATTTTTAAAAAAGGAAATTGGACTTTCTTTTGAATTTTCAAAAAATAACTCCCGATGCCTATTGGGTGGGAAAATGAGTATCAAATTATATCGACATTTTTATGATTAAATATAGGTATATATTACAAAGGTTGTCTAATGTAAATATCGCTCTGTTTTTTGTCATTTTTAGAATCCTCTTAAATGCTTCTCTATCCTTACACAATGAAGTTGTGTTTGTTTCCTTTCTTTGTCCTGATAAGTTTGTAATTTTTTGTTTGCCCAAATCGCCTTGGCTTTAATTATCTTGAGAACTGGGCCAGTAATAGCCTTCTTTCTTCCGTGAACGCCTCAAGATTTGAATTTCCCCGACTTTTTTCGCTTATAAGCGGAAAAAATTCATGTTTTTTTCAGTCGTGAAAATATTATGTATAATAAAATTATTTTTTTTATTTTGAAGCGATTTTTGTTCTTGTACGTCAATTTTTTTTGCCTGTTTTTTGAATTGCCAAAAAATACTATCGGATGCTCTTTGAGTTGGAAAACAAGTACATATCTGAAAATTAAGAGATACTGATACTGGTTGATTGAATAAATCTATGATGGATCAGGCCTTCTCAAACTGTTTAATTAGTTCGACTAGTTGGTCTTACCTGCGAATTAAAGACAATTTTCCGATTGCACAATCATATTATTACCGGTTGACCTCAGCGGTTAACATTCGGTTACCTCATCTGCATATGTGGCCCGCTCTCTCGATTACGAAATCTCAGACAACGGATTTTCGCATACATTTTTTCTAAGTTTTTTTCCTTTAATTTTGTGCATACAAATTGTTTAGTTGTTTTGCTAGCCCAAAGCGCCTTTAAAAAATATGTAAGAAAACTAGAAAAGGTACAAAAAAAAGAGAGGGAAGTAGCAGCATCAAAATATGAGTTTTATGCAAATTGCCTGGCAAATTTGTGATATTTGTGTCTGCGAGCGGTTTTCCTTTTGTCCTATCCTACACACTCGCCCATTTTTCTTTTTCCGCCGCCTCCCCCTCCTTCCCCTTGACCCCCTTGTAAAAACCCGGGCTACCACTTGTATTTTTCCGTTTTGCGGTTATTGTAAACCAATTTGCTTATGTGATTTGTCTTTTCTTCAGAAGGTTTTTCTCCTCCGACTCCTGTCTCTCTCTCTCAAACTTTATTACCCCTTCGGGTTGTGGGTTTGTGGGAAAGGTGAAAAGGGGAAAGCAAAAAGGGGAGGGGAAGGGGGAGAAAGGTGCTTAATAGCCCCAGTGTGATGTGTTGGCCATGGAAAGGTATGAGGTGTAGATCCTGACATTTGACGGAAATGTGGGTAACGTTACCTCATCTCTTCTTCTGGTTTTTCTTTTGGTTTTTTGCGGTTTGGTTTACAGTGAAACAGCAAAGATAAAAAAATGAGCCAAAAGCTCACTGTTCTAAAATTGCGTAATTTTTACAAAATTAAGACTCGAAACTATAAAAAAAAAGTTGGACATCGCAAAACGTTAAAAAACGGACCCTCATGTCTTCTTCTAGTTTTAATTTTGTTTTTTTTTTGCGGCTTACATTAAAAGAAAAGTGATAATAATATTGAGTAAAAAGCTCATTTTCTTAAGTGTGGCGTAATTTTAATAAAATAAAGTAAGACAGCTAAGTGTTTGAAAGCGGAAATGAGCGTTGATAGCATTTTAATTAAAACATGACTAGTGGTTTTAAATTCCTTTGCTAGTTTTATGACTTTAGCTGTGAGTATGATATTGGTGCATGACAGGATTTCATCTTTAAAAGGGCAACACTGATTCCGCAGAATGAGTAATCATTCGGTTCTTTCAAGTGTTGGTCTGTCAAGTGACTCACCGAGTCCCAATACTCCAATTTGCACGCTTTGTAATTGAATTGGTCTTGCGAAATTCCCCTTATGTTTGTCACTGCGTTTGCAGGTTTATAATTGCCGAATATTAATTTCGCATATTTATATGAATCCATAAGATCAGCATTTGGCTTTGAATTAATCTCGTTTTTTTGTGTTACAATTTCTGAGAATTTGAAGAGTGTACTTAAACACCTTTTGATTAAGATTTTTAGTCGGAATTTAATAATATTTTTAAAACCTTTTCTGAGAACTGAAAGTGATTTGTATTACTCATATCGTCTTACATCTTATATCAAAAATATTTAACACACACCGAAAATTTTAAGCTCTTAACGTCTTGCCTTTCCACACATATATTTTTCTTGAACAATTACCCATAAATGTGAGCCAAAAAAGAGGTTTTGACCTATGATATCGAAAGGCACATACAAACATACATTTAGGTGCACATATGCGTCGAAATTCAATTAAATCTGCAACGATGCCGAATTTCAATTTCGATTTTTGGTTTTTCGTCGTGTTATTTACAAGCTTTCAATTCAAATTCGATATTCGATAAATGACAAGGGGGCAAAAGCACAGAGCCACAGTGAACACAGACTGCAGATCGCAGATCGCAGAGCCAGAAACAAGCGCCAATGGCCAAGAGATTGCATCAGACATCCACATATCTCCTGGTAAGAAAAACAGGGGAGGAGCAGAGGGGGGTTGAGTCAGGGGGCCCGAGATTATGGGTACTCACATTCAAGACCAAATCAATGTCGAAGTCGCTTGGGAGCGAGTCTTGGCCTTTGGGGCGTTGTGCGGCTGGCAATTAAATTGCAAATAATAATTTTTATTACCAACTTGACGGCGACGACTGCGGTGGAAGACTCTCCATCTGCGACTGGGTTTGTGGCTTCAAATGAAATGGAAATCAATTGGCAAGAAACAAACGCGAAAGATGGGACAAATGCAGATCGAATCCTAGGTTACCTTTCAATGGTAAATGAATGGCAAAATAGTTAGTTTGTGAAAATATTCTTTTCAAACTATGGACATGAAATTAAATGGAAGATTTGACAATCTGAAGTAGGAAACAAGATCAATAACTTATTTGAGTAAATCGTAGAATTAATGGTTTTTATCATACCCATGTTTAGAATAATTTTATACTACAGGTACTTCTCCCGAATTCACATTAAGTGTACCTACAATTTCAATAAGAATTTCTTTGCTTAACTAAATTTTATAACTAGTCTAAAAAATTAAAAGCAGATTTAAGAAGAGTACAGAAAGGAGGGGCCAATATGCCATGTTAATTGAGCCGACTTTTGACGCTTTTGCGGGGGCGATTGGGTCGTTCGAGTTCGATGTCGATGTCGATGTCGATGCTGTGGGTAGATCTTAATAATTGGCCATTGGCTTTCCCATCTAGCAGTAAACCTACAAAATCTGCCCATTAAATCGAACCAAGAGCGTTCAATGACCCACGGATCCTCAGCTCCTTCCATACCAACAATCCTGTCAGTGTGTGGGTGTCATGAAAATGAAAATGGGGCGAAAGGTTGTTAAATGATTAAGAGGCGTTGCATTAGCAACAATCCTTTGGACTCCCCGATCTGCCGCCTCCTTTTTCTTGGGTGTCAGACGGAGACGACGGTGCATTAGAAAGTTCGTGGGAAGTCTTTTCAAGTGGTTTGCCGACACGGGAAAAGGGAGAGTGAAGAGGGAAGAGGGGGGAAGACTGCAGGAAAAAGGAGTGAAAATTAGGGTAGACGGAGGAAAAGGGAGGCTGAAGAAGTGGACCGGGTCTGGCAGAAAGTTTTCGCAGTCAGTGTGAAATGGTTTTCATAAAGGAAGTAAACCGAACCCTAGCGCACATATGCAAAACTTAAAAGGTGGTAATGAAAAGTGCTAATATACATACTAACATACTAGCATATACACTGGAGAAAGAATCTAGAAGTTAGATGACTTGAGAGGATTTTTTGTATCTTAAGATAATTGTTATCGTTAATAATTAATGACATTCTTATAAATATATCCTTTTTTTTTGTATAGAAGTACTTTGAATTATTCTTCATACATTTTATTATTTAATACTAAAGTTACCCAATATTTTAAATTTCAAATGGTATTCTCTTAAATTTGTTTATTCGATTTTTTCTGTGCATGTTTGTGTGTTTGTATATGCACATTTTATGTTAATTGAAGCAATGCGTCGATGGCAATTTCCTTGCATTTCTCCGCCTGCTTTCCTGCGTCCCCTTCAACTCCCCATTTTGCCATTTCCCATCTGCATTTCCCACTTTTAGTTATGTCAACTGTGAAAAGCGCGTGTGAATCCGGGAGAGTTTTCCCGGAAAAAATTACGTTTAAATAATTAAACAAATGAGACTGGCGACTAGCTGCTGGGGAATTTTTAAGAAGGCGAAAAACAAGACGAGAACGAATTTGGTTCCAATACGTTTATTGCTGCTGCCAGCTGCTTCGAGGTTCGATCGGTTTATAATCTCCCGAGAGCAGCATATCATTTCGCATAGCCACGAACAGAAAAGCTTATCAGCTAGATCGGCTATGCTCAAGCTTGAGTGCAACTGATAAGCTTTTGTACATTGGTTTAAGGTGATTTGTTTACATTCTGGCTGCATATATTCAATTCATTCTTTCTTTCAACTATCCTTAAAACTAACAATAAAACTAAATCTACTGCTCCAACATTCCGGCCCCGTTGAAGGCCTCCGGCGCTTTAACCTCCTCGTTAGGAGCGTTGCTTACTGGCAGCAATGCCAGCTTGTGGATGGCGCGCTTGATGACGCCTCCTGACGTCCGTACCTCCGCCACACGCACTCTTCCGTCCTCACCGCCTGTTGTTGCCACCACGCGGCCTGTGAGCCATCTTTGCGGGGGCATGTTGTCCTCGTGCACGAGCACCAGGCACCCGACCTCCAGATCGCGGCCCTCGACGCACCACTTGTTGCGATGCTGCAGGCTGGCGATGTAGTCCCTGGACCAGCTGGCCCAAAACTGCTGCTTGAGATCGGACAGCATTCGCCACCGCCTCAAATATCCGCAACTGGCCTTGCTGGAGATTCCGTCTGTGCCGGACTCTTGCGGCAGCGTGATCAGAGGCTGTCCGATAAGCAGATGTCCTGGAGTCAGGGCCTCTCCATCGTTGGGATCGTTGCCTGGCGACGCGATTGGTCGAGAATTGAGCAGCGCCTCTACCTCGACCAGATGGGTGCTGAGCTCGTCCGCTGTCAGCTTGGCGTTGCCGACTCCTCGCAGCAGCCGGTGTTTGGCGGCCTTGACTGCTGCCTCCCACAGTCCTCCGAAGTGTGGTGACCTCGGCGGTATGAAACACCACTCGACGCCTCTCTGAGCCGCGTATCCTCTCAACTGTTCCTGACTGCGGTGGAACGCTGCGCTCAGATCCTTGAGCACGTTGCTCGCTCCCACGAAGTTCGTGGCGTTGTCGCTGTACATCTTCTGAGGCAGCCCTCTCCTCCCGACGAACCTTTTAAAAACGGATAAGAAGCTGTCAGTTGATAAATCTACAACGAGCTCAAGGTGAACAGCCTTTGACGAAAAACACACGAAAACGGCAACATAAGTCTTGATAGGAGGTTTACCGCGGATCTTTAGTGACACATAAAATGGTCCGCAAAAGTCTACCCCGCAAACCAAAAAGGGGCGTGCTATCTTGACCCTATCGGCTGGCAAATTGCCCATTATCTGACCCATTAGCACTGGTTTGTATTTGAAACAGTGGACACAGCTACGGACAACTTTTGTGCACGCTTCTCGCGCATTGATAAGCCATATCTGCTGCCTCGAAAGTGATACCATCACTTTGACACCAGCATGGTAATGAGTACGATGCAGGTCTCGAAGAAACAGCGAAACAAATTCTGATTTTGAGGACAGTAACAGTGGAAATTTGGCATCATACGGTATTGGTGCATTTAACAACCTTCCCCCAACTCGGATTAATTGAAGTGTTACGCCTTCTAGTTCGCTTGTGTGTAAGAACGGATTTAGACGTTGGAGATGTGGGCTTAAAGTTTCAGATTTCTCTAACTTGACATATTCTAAACCAAAATCAGCTCTTTGATATATTTGGACCATTCTTAGAAACGATAACTTCAGTTCGTTGGCCGAAATAACAATATCGCGATTATTTTTCTTCCCTTGAATAAATCGATTCACATATGCCATAATCCGCAGGAGTTTATTGAATGACGAACATCTTCCAACAAGCTCAATGAAGACATTCGGTTGATTTGTTGTGACGGAACATACTGTCACGCTTTTCTTGTTCTCGGACAACTGTAACTCCGGTGAAACTTCAGTTTGATGAGAACGAGGCCACTCGTTAGGATGTCGGAGTAAAAATTCTGGTCCATTTTCCCATAGCGTACATTTTAAACCCTCTATATCTGTCCCTCGTGATACTAAATCGGCTGGATTATCTTCCGTGGGCACATGACGCCAGACAACATTCTCTGAGAGCTCTTGAATTTCAGAAACTCTATTCGCGACAAATGTACCTAGAGTGGACGGATCCCTCTTTAGCCAGTATAAAGTCACTTGGGAATCCGACCAGAAGTTGATGCTTTCAAACTCTAATTTGTTAAGCAAGGGAAATACTTGAGCCCATAATTTGGCAAGCAGATGCGCTGCACACAGCTCGAGCCTTGGAATCGATTTGGTTTTGAGGGGAGACACTCTCGACTTGGCGGTCAGCAGTCTCGACAAACTTTTTGTCCCAGCCACGGTACGAATATAAATGCAACAGCCATAGGCGTGGCTTGATGCATCAGCAAATCCGTGGATTTGAACACTGTCATAGGAAGACAAACAAATGTATCGAGGAATGGATATCCGGTCAATTTCTAATAAATTTTGTTTGAATTCATTCCAACTGGTATGTAAATTCATAGGAACCGATTCGTCCCAATCCAGTTTTTGTCGCCACAGTTCCTGAAGCAAGATTTTAGCTCTCGTGATCAGCGGGCACAACAATCCCAAGGGATCAAACAAACGGGCTGTGACGGATAAAATGTTGCGTTTAGTTGGTGGTAGGGACTGAAACGAATCCTCCAAACTATAATGAAAGGCATCACTCTGAGGGTTCCATCTCATCCCAAGCGTTTTCACAGACTCGGAAGTGTTGAACATAAGCGATTTTTCCGATCCCTGGTTAGTCATCAAACTTGGGTGATTTGTTGCCCATTTGGCCAGCTGGAAGCCACCTAACTCTAACACCTTGATCACTTCTTTGCGAATGACTTCCAACTCTTCTAAACTGTTTGCTCCTGTGAGCATATCGTCTACATAGAAGTCGCTTGAAATTACCTCTGCTGCGACAGGATGTGACTCAGAGTAAATTTTTGCCAATTCAAAGAGGCAACGAATGGCCAAAAACGGAGCAGAGGCTGTTCCATAAGTGACAGTGTTGAGGCGATAAGTTTGTAGAGCTTGCGTCGACTTTTCCCTCCACACGATAAGTTGGAAACTTCTGTCTTCATTGGCAATGTTAACTTGCCTATACATCTTCGAGATGTCAGCAGTCAAGGCATACTTGTGTAATCGAAATCTTGCCAAAATAGCGTAAAGCTCCCTCTGAATCGTTGCACCCACCATTAAAGTCTCATTTAATGAGATCGAGGTTGACGTTTTACTTGAAGCGTCAAAAACAACTCGCAACTTTGTGGTGCTACTATCAGGTCTCAGGACACATTGATGTGGAATGTAATAGTGTTGTCCTGGAGGAGGTGTTGGAAGCAGCGACATATGCCCAAGGTTAAGATACTCTTTCATAAACTCTTGATACATGTCATGTAACTCGCAATTATTTGCAAGCTTGCGCTCCAACGCAAGAAATCTGCGCCTTGCCGTTTCGAAGGATAAGCCTAAAACACTTGGATTTGTCTTAAATGGCAACTTTACCTCGAAACGACCTGACGAAAGCCTGTGTACTGTTTTCTCAAAGTGCTGCTCGCAAGCTACTTGTTCAGCTGTATACACAGCCTTCGATCTCTCCGGGACGTGTTCCAATTCCCAAAAACGTTCTACAAGAGAGTCGAGAGAACTTATATTTTCACTACCAGTGACGCTGCATACTTGAGCATTATTCGATACGCGTTGAGTGTACTTTCCCGAAACAATCCATCCTAAGAGAGTTTTCTGGATTGAGGGATATTCTGAACCCAATTTTATTTGGCCTACGCTGAGAAGTTCGAAAAAGGATTCTGCCCCAATTAGTAAGTCTACTTTTGCGGGCTTGTGAAAACGAGGGTCCGCTAATTCAATATTTGCTGGAATTTTCCACTGTGCACAATTGACTTCGTTATCTGGTTGATATGATGAAATGGAGCTTAATACCCAAAAATCAGTAGCGAAACTATGAGCATTGACGCGAGAATGAATCGACGTGTGGACTTTGTGCCGTACTACCGAGTCGTTCTTCCCTACAGTGGTGACATTCAAATAGGATTCTTTCCTGCGTAACCGCAAACGCTGTGCTAAGTCCTCGGCCATAAAGTTTATTTGAGACCCTGAGTCTAACAGAGCTCGTGCTAATTGAAACTGTCCAAATCTATCCCGCACCTTAACGACAGCCGTAGCAAGAATAACTTGGTCACTACTTGCAACATGACAAGAATGGGCTTGATTGGGATGATCAAATGCTACTGAAGATGCTTGGGCTTGCACTTGAGGAAGTGATCCCGAAGAAGTTGGTTGCTGCTCTACTCCGTATCTGTGAAGAAGTGTGTTATGAGGTTTGGAGCAAACGCGACACTTTACTGCTTTGCACTTCTTGACTGGATGACCTGGATTCAGACAATTAATACACAACCGATTGTGTTTTGTAAAATCGAACCGTTGGATCACTGACAAAGCCATGAAAGGTTGACAACTGCCTAAACTATGGTTTGTCGCTGAGCAATATCGACATTTTGATTCAGGTCTGCGATCTGTTTGTGTGCATGAGAAGGACGATTTGGAATATCCTCTATTGGAACCTTGGTTAGGCTTCCCTTTACTTTTGGTTGACTCTTCAGCAGCCAAATGTTGGTATCGCCGATTCAACAGAGTCGCACAATCAGACCACGTCGGCAACGTATTATAATCTAGCTGTTCCTCAAATCTGGATTTTGTTGTGTGATCTACTTTGGACATTGCTATGTGAATAAAAATTGCGTTGTTTATTTCTTTTTCACTACCCAGAGACTGTAACGATGCATAGAGGGCCGATATTTCATCTATAAGAGACCTCAAGCCTGATGCAGAGGGTTTTGATACTTGCGGGAGGTCAAACAGCTGAGAAATCGTGTCAAAAAAGATCAAACATTTATTGTCGTACACGTTTTTTAGACTAGCCAATGCCTTCTCATAATTTAGATCCGAAATTTGAAAAGCTTTCACAGTACCTAATGCATCATCTGTTAAACATGTTAGCAGATGGTTAAATTTCTCTATGTTTGTTAGAGATGGGTCGTTGTGAACTAAACTCTCAAAAAGACTTATAAAATTTTTGTAGTCGGAATGTTTTCCACTAAATTTCGGTAGATTCATTTTTGGTAACTGAGACGAATGACGATAACCACCTATATCACTTTGACTAAGTCTCTGAGGCTCGAATTCTCTCATTGCGGACCGATATAACGCTTTCGTAATTATGCACATCTCCTCAACAGACGCTCTTAAATCATTCACTGGATTTAGCACATCGATATCTCCTTGGATATCCATCAATTTCTCGCAATATGTTTCGAGAAGTTGCATTCGGTATTCCATTTGAAACCTATCGAATGAAATGGTTTTTTCCTCGAATGACGTTCTCATACGTTGAATATCACTCATCACCCTGCCGTGTTTTTGTAGGAACTGTTGGCTGTATACAGTTTGAAAGCCACTGCCGCTGAAACTGGCGCTAAAAATTAACTGATGCGTTGTTTTACATACATATGTACAGCATAGAAGCCACTGACACTTATATATAGCAGACAAATAACTGCTCTGCAACTGCACAAAAGGGAATCGAAAATTGGCGGCGAAACGCTGGTATGTTTGTACATATGTATGTAGATATAGCTGCACTTTTGCGGTTGCACCGTATGTATATAACGCACATAGAATTTTCAAATTTTCGTAGAATTTAAAACACCATAAGTTTTGTCAAAGGCAGTTCACTTTTTTATTAATCATTTGGAAGTTTGGGTATATTTGGGGGTTTAATAATATTTCCAATATAAGTACATAGGTGCCAAGAATTAATACCATGCTCACAAATTTTAATTTTTGGCACTGAATACCTGGTTGTTGTTAGGCATAATTTTCCAAGCACTTTCCTTTCAAGTCCAAACTGCGATCGCCAACAATTAAACCGAATTCCACCAGCTAGAATTTCCGCCAACAATTTACAAAAAACTAAACAAGTGCCGAGACGACGAGAGTGCACTGTTTTTTGTTTAATTTTTCCGACGCGAAAATTAATGCAAAACTAGCCGTTGTCCCTGCTCGGGCGCCAATGTGAATCCGGGAGAGTTTTCCCGGAAAAAATTACGTTTAAATAATTAAACAAATGAGACTGGCGACTAGCTGCTGGGGAATTTTTAAGAAGGCGAAAAACAAGACGAGAACGAATTTGGTTCCAATACGTTTATTGCTGCTGCCAGCTGCTTCGAGGTTCGATCGGTTTATAATCTCCCGAGAGCAGCATATCATTTCGCATAGCCACGAACAGAAAAGCTTATCAGCTAGATCGGCTATGCTCAAGCTTGAGTGCAACTGATAAGCTTTTTGTACATTGGTTTAAGGTGATTTGTTTACATTCTGGCTGCATATATTCAATTCATTCTTTCTTTCAACTATCCTTAAAACTAACAATAAAACTAAATCTACTGCTCCAACAGCGCGCTTGGAAAAGTGGAAAATCTTGAACCATTTCGCAAGAAGAACCGAAAACTTTTATTTCTGTATGGTTCACGTTTGTGTGTGGGCGTAGACCGAAATGAACTCGGGGAAAATGTGGGCTTGGTTCACATGCAGAATGAAGTGTGAAAAACTAAGAGGCCGGAGAAGTGTTCTTCACTGACGTATGGATAAAATGGGATTTTAATTAATAAATTCGAAAACCTGGGGGTTCAGTTTATGATAAAATTAAATTAGAGGTATTCTTTTATCTGATTTTATATATTTTATGGTCGGAAAAAATAGATATCTGATATCATTTCGTTTTTTAAGGAAGCAGTAAAATAAATTCTTTTATTTCTTATATGCATTTGAAATGCTGAACCCTCGCAAACAACTTTTTCTACCCATTTGGCAATCAATATGAGTCCGAAATTTATTGCCTTGCATATTTGGCCAACATACTTAATCGCCGCTTAAGTGTAATTGAGCCGAACAAACATGGAACACAACGAGACTCCCAAAACAACTAATCAATTATGATCAGGCCAAAGGCCCAAGTTGGAACATAACCGCTGCCACGCCCCTTTGACGCCCCGTGCGCCGCTTAAGTGAAGAAGAAGAGAGCGTTGCATCGATTCCCAAGTGGAACATTATCGAAACGATATATGAGCCAAACGAGCCGCACAATTTCCGGGGCTAATAATAAATATCAATAAGCCAAAAATTTATTACCAACTAACCGCAGAATTTGCAAAGGCTTCTGTGCATCTTCTGCCAACGAACTTCATCATTTCTTCCGCCTCTTTCTCTTGGCACTTGCCCTCTCTTTCGGCTGCTATCTTGCCTCTCTGTTTCTCCTGCCAAAGTTCCCTCTTTATCGCCTGCGGTGCCAACAAATCCCTTTGATTAATTCTAATAGCCTCAGATGTTCAGGCTCGACATCATTTCTTTCGTTTAATACTCAATTTGGTGTTGTCCTCTCCATCGTCACCCCTCTCGTTTGCTCCCTTGCCGTCTCTTTCCCGCCTATGTACCCCTATCTCCCTCACTCCTTTACAAGGCGTCAAGTTGTTTGCGTTTCTGTTCTGTGACTAATATGCAAACAAGCGAGCAAAACAGCAACAGCGGCACAAACTTGGCCAATAACTTAACTTGGCTCAAATGCTGCCTCCTGCCACATGCCACTCCCCCGCCCCCATTCGCACACACACACAGACACACTCTAACATGTCATAAGCAGTCTGGGCCAACATTTACGCACCCTCCGAAAAACAGAAAAAATAACTTAGAGCACTGAAACTTTGGATACACTTTGTTATTGGAAAACTATACATAGTTTGTTCAAAAGCGTTATTTTAAAACAAATTAAAAAAAGTGCAAAGATGTCAAAATTAATTTAACAAAAGCCTGATAATGTTTGTATATTTTAGTATCAAATAAAAAATTTGAAATATATGTTTAAAAAGATGTCAGTGAAATCGATATCTAATACTAATAAAAATAAAAAATAGCATCATATATGAACAAAAAATTAAGTTTCAGAATGCATTTAAAAATACCTTTTTAATATGATGTTACTAAGAATAAAATTTTTTTTTTTTTTTTAAGAAGCAATCAATCAATATAAATAAAAAATAGCATCATATATAAACAAAAAATTAAGTTTCAAAATACATTTAAAAATACCTTTTTAATATGATGTTACTAAGAATAATAATTTTTTTTTTTATGTTTTTTTTAAGATGATATCAACTAATATTGTATATATGTACGTTTATTTTTTATCGAAATACCCCCTGCGAGGGCATTAAAAGTGAGAGAAGTTCGGAGAACAAGTCCAAGAGCGTCGGGACCATAAAGATAAGATTAGCACACGATTCGCAACGTTCGCAGCTGTTGTTAGCATCTCGAGAAGTTCGAGTTCGATTGCTTTGTTTTGGGATTGCATTCAGCAGGAGAAATGTTAGCACACCGCAAATCAATGAAAGTTGTTTACGGAGCAGCACGAAAAATTCTGTACAGCTGTGTAACAATTTCTGTTTCTATAAACGTTATTGGTGAACTTCCATTTTTCCTTGACTGTACTTTATTGCTCATTTTAATGAAATTCGTTCTGTTGGATTTTATCTGCGACTCGTTTCGGTTTTCTCCTTTTTTCGCTGCGTTGAGTCAGGTTCATACTCTGAAATTTACCTCATTCTTTATTTTCGTTCGTGCCCCACATGCGTAACCCATCATAATGCCGCATATCAAGATACATTTGTATCTCGTGGAGCTCTGGTGCCTGTGTAAATATTTTTTACGAGCCCTTTTCCTTTTTCGCCTGTGTATCAATGGCTTTCGAGGAGTTGCCAGGATAATCGCGGGCTTTTATGAAGCCTTCTTCCTTTTTGCGTGCGGGTGCTTCGAATGTGCCTTTTGATGTGTGAAGCGTGCTTGGGCACTGGGGTCGATGGTATTTATGGGCCTAAGGTCAATGCTGAATAACCCGGCACGATCTGAAGACCCACACACACACTCTCCGAATATTTGGGACTATAAGCCAAGGTCGAGTATGAATGCGTAAGAAAACAAAGGATAGAGATTTAAGATTTTTCGAATAAATGGTAAAATGGTAATTGGGGAACATATCTGGAATCTTGATTTTCTTTTGGTAAAGTATATTTCTTAGTTGAACTGCTTTAAATCCGGATTATGTCCAAGTATTTAAATTATATTTTAAGAAACGTATTACCTAACAAATCAAAATATATACAATTTAGAACAGGAAAATAGTAAATAAAAAAACTATTCTTATTGCAAATTAATTTAGTGTTGATGCTTACGTGACTTGCTGCTTCAACGGCTTTATCATAATCAACAAATTTATTGGAGTTTGCTTAAATTACCGAAAAAATGAGTTTCGCCTATCAATAATGACCACAACAGCAATTAACCGCCATTAAAAATGCGGTCTGAAAAAATACTTAGTTGCAATTTACGCATAGACGCTTTTTCCACGCAATTAAAATCGGGCTCATAAATGCAAATTTGAAAATTGCATTAATGCTTAATTCTTTGCAAATGTTTGCAAATTCGCGATAGCAAAGGCGAAACAAAAAGTAATAAAAACAGAGCAGTTAAAAAAATGTGCACATAAATAAGCCGAAAACCTGCAGTGGCACATGTGTTTACATTTTGAATGGGATCGGAAATCTGTCCGAAAAAATAATTTGGTAATGCGGGAGATATTGATTTATGTACATCCACACTTGAAACAGGGGAAAAACTGCATTGTAGTTACAATTAAATTCAATAAAACGCAAAAGTACATGTAAAAACGAAACAGGATGGACTAAATTTTTCATTTTTTCAGTATTTAGTAATTTTTATGACTTTCTAGATTTTTGTTCACAGAGCTGTTTAACCGGAATTGATTATGATCATTATTATTAAGTGCAGTATTTCCTATTACTGCAACAACAATTTTTAAAACACTTTAGATTAGATTAAACATTGTATCTGTACAGATTATATATACTTAAATAGTATAATTTAATTAAATTCAATAAATGTCTGGTTTTTATTGACCATCTGCAATTTAAACCTTTAAATTATGTTCTGCTGTAATTTATCTATGCAATCCATTTATTTTGCACATATTGCCTCAGCAATTTCCCTTTCCTATTCGTCATATAGTCATTATGTCGGATCATATCGCGTTGGCAGTTTTAACCAGGAAATTAAATGCAATTTGGCGAGGACTTAAACGTTGGACGGCTCTTTATGTTAACTTCACCGGCCTGTGTATCTGTGTGTGCGTGCGGGAGTATCTGTGTGTGGATGAGTGAGAGAGTTTCAGTTAAAGCGGTGCGGAATTTTCCGTTTGTTGGAATATCCTGGTGGGAAAATGGAGGGATGTCACCCACTTGAAATTTTCTGTGTGTGTGTGAGGTGGGAATTAATTATGCAGGCATATCATGGCTACTCCTTTCTCTGTCCCTCTTTCCCTCCCTGCCTTCCTCATTTCCTCCTTTTCCGCACACATACAAGCTGCCTGACGTACACACACATACATACCCGTACCCACACTTAAACAGTTGTGTCCTTTCCGTGTGCGGTTTTAATTTGTGAGCCCGTGCCCGTGCATTTTGCCTGATCCTTTTCCTTTCCGCTGTTTGCCATTGCAATTTCCCCATGCCACGCCCACTCGCGCCCATCGCTTGTTGCTGGCTGGGAATTTTAGTTGCTTTTTTGCTTCAGCAGTATTTGCATTTCCATGTGATTTCACTTGGCTAGCAGAAATCGATGAATGGAGCGTTTGGAAAGGAGACTTCTGGAAAAAAGAGCTTTAAGGCTCCAAAATATTTGACAGACCAGTGGCGGATACAGGGGGCATAGGGCGATCGCCCCCTCAGCTTCTGAAAAAGGTGCTTCACTGGCGTGAACTTCGGAAACCTGCGTGTTACAGCGTGTCGCCAGTCCTTCCTTGCCCTACTTCTTCCCTTGTCTATCGCTCCTCCTAAGACTAACTAGCTTAGCATTGCTACATACGCATTCCGAAATCAGTATTCACATCGAGAGAGTTATAGAAAAGTTTTTAAAAAGAGGGAAAAGAATAATGGAATTCGCCATTTAGATTAAAATTAATTAATTTATTTGTACAGAGTGTTTTGAATAAAACTGCGTATAATTTTTGATTATTTGCCACCTGCTACTTGCATTGTTTAAAAAAATTTTGATCGCCCCCCAGGCAGATACCTGTATCCGCCCCTGTGACAGACAGCATTCATTGCAGTTTTAAGTCACTTAATTCATAGTGATATCACATTTTGAAAGCAAAAAAAATTATGGATTATTGAATTGTATTAAATTTCCTCATTTAATTTATTATAATAAAACAATTGAGCTATTTGTTAATTTTAAGTGTGTCAGTTATTTTTATTTTTGATCTGTTTCCATTTTATATCCATTTCTTACAACAAAAACTGGCTAGAAATCGCTAAGTCGACAGATCTTTGACGTTTCAACTAAGTGAGCTTATCTCCACTGCGGTTCCCTCGGCCACCGCTAGGTGGCGCTATCATGCTCATTGGACCTTCTGGGTGCACTCCACTTATAAATTCTATAAATTTTAGATCATAATGTGACCAGCACCCATCCCGCTGTGTGTCTGTGTGTGCGAAAATTACATCTGGGTGGCGGTGCAGGTGGGTGGCAAATGGGTGGCAAGTGGGTCAAAAGCCGAGCAACTATTTGTTATGCAGTTTCATTAGTACAAACTTTTCAGCTTAGACGCTGTCATTAGCACAAAATTGGCTCCCAAAATGAGTCCACAGGTTGTAATCGACAGGTTTTTAATGAGCAATTAGAAGGCTAGGTCAACAGAGATTTCCACGAGGAAACCATTTTAAACTAAGAGATAAGAAAGTATCATAAAAGTATTTGTTTGCAGATAATTTACATATTTGAATTAAAATTATAGTAATTGTATTTGTTTACTTTTCAGTACTTTATATATTTGTCTATGCTCATAAATAAATATTTTTAGACAACTCTTGCTTTTTATTGCCTTTAAAAGATATTACCATCAACTCATTAGCTGCAGTTTTTGCTTTCCCCGTTTGACTTTCCCTGTCTGGAAATCATTACACCAACTCCTTTAGCGCCAGTCTGCTAATTAACACTCATTCCATAACCCTCCTCCGATAGTAAAAATCATTAATTTTCCATTGTTGGACTTTGTTTTTGTTCACTTTCATATTTATTTGGATTTTTGCATAGTAATAATATGTTTCATTTATTAGTAATGGTTTGTTTTTCAGCTTAACGCTTACATTCGTTTTTTATACATTAAAATTTATGCTAAAAGTTGTAAATAAAATCATTGTGAAATGTAATCTTTCGTATATTCTGCTTGGTATCTTGTCGTAGCTTCTATAAACAATTACACAGATTTATTGAAATATTCATGCCAAATTTAACGTTGCATTGAGATTGCGTTTCTATATGCGTATGCTTATTTGAGATTGGGGTGCGAACTTGAATAAATATTTTACCTTGAGCAAATAGATTGCCCATAAACTATGGCAAACATGTGATAAAGTAGGGTAAATAAAAATGAGGCACTGGTCATTCAACGGCATTTGGTGTCTGGCTAATGGTAAATAAATTCACAATAATTAAAGCCCCAAAATTCCCACAGAAATAATTAATTGAGCTCATCGATCGCCAGCAGGCAAATATCATTAAAATGCAAATGCGACATGCAATATGGGAATAATTTCTCTGTCGCCAAATAATTTTGCGCCATAATCCGTGCCAAGTACATTTAAATTGGGTGCCTCCTAAATGTAGGTTTAATCTAAAATATATATATACAGTGCTCAATATCGGAACTGTTTAGTTCAACTTAAACTTAAGGGTGTGCACGAAGCAAATGATAATGAAATTTCGTTTAAAATCGGTTTTCCTCAAGATGTACTTATGCAATATTTAAGATTTTGTTAGTGTGTCTTAACTTTTCTATCAAATGCAGGAAAAAAGCAATATACTTTGTGGGCTAGTTGACGTTTTAACGGTTTATACATTTATCGCGCTATTTTTATGGGTTAATTTCTATATTTTGGGTTGTCCGCTTAAATGCCTTTGCTTTCGTGAATTGAATGGCGGAATTTACATACGATTAAACACTCGTGGCAATGGAAAAACAAAATTAAAATTTGACTAGAAATTAAATATGAAAATTTAATTTTGTTTTTTTTTTTGGGTGGTTTCTTTGTTAAAACTTAGCTTAAATAACATGAATAATATATTTGCTCGTAAATATATAGGTAAGTTATATATTTAAAATGTAATTTTAATGATTTGTTTTTGTTTTCTCGTTCGTGTGTTTATTATAATTAAATAACATAACATTATTTAGTTAAAACTAAAAACGCAGTCAATTTATATATTTGGAATTTCATTTAGCATACGCATAAAATACACATAATTTATTCGGGTTTGCTTACGGATTTGTATATTAAAACATTAATGAACAGTGCTACAGTTTCATATTGTTTTATGTGTTTTCCATTTGAGTAAAACATGCGCAAAAAAGTCTTGTTTCCTTTTTTTAGATATAGATTTTCATAAGTGACAATTTTTTTGCAGCTTATCGGATTGAGGATAAGCAGTATTGTGGTCTTAATACAATCTAATACACAATCAGCTGATATAAGTGTATCTTAGGCTAGGTCGATTTTTGGCAAGCTTAAAATAAATTATATGTTTTAAGAAAGTTCTTAATTGGTATTTGCTATGTTTGGTATTCTAGTTTTAATTTAAAACTGGAAAAATAGGTTTGTAATGAAAGGAAAATTTATTTTAATTATTTTCTGAACCAAAAAGAGTTGAGAGAATATTTTAAAGTTTTTAAAATGCCTTCTACTAATCGACCCATCCTCGTGTATAAATAGATTCTGCTTCGTTCTACTTTCGTATTGTTTTGTATAGGATATGCAACTAAATTCACGTCTCTCTTTTCGCTTTTACTCTAGACAGGAAGTGCGAGTTTTCCTCGTTTTCCTTTCTGTCTGGATTTGAGTTTGCCACAGACTGAATAATACTTTTCCCGGTTTCGCTAGCTCTTCCCCTGTGAGATGGATAGCTTATGACATGGCATTATAGGCGGGTTGTTCGTGTTGTTTGGGACAGCGACCGTGTTTATCCATGTAGGGACCAAATTCACAGGTGGGCGGTTTGCAGCGACCCTGTTGTATGCACCTAATTGTTTTGGAGAATTTAAATAAATCAGGATAGGGATTGTCATATTTTTGGGATTTTCGAACCACTCACTTTCTATCATTCATGGCGAAGTGCTCATTTCCCCTCTTTAACCAATCGCAATCGTAGTTTCCGGAACTGCAATCGCATCTGCATTGGCCGTCGTCCTGCAGGATCTTCTCGAAGCTCCGCGGACAGGTGCAACTCAGTATGGTGGCCCGCACCACCGACTGGCCGTAATTGGCCATGGCCGTCTCCTCGTTGAAATTCGATCGCTCGATGCAATGGCACTCCGTGTGATTCACAAAGGTTCGCTTCTCGATGACGCTGCGATGCTTGGGACTTTTCACCTGCGGGAAATCGGAAAATGGTTAAATCCTTAATTAAATGCCAAAAGCATATCATATCACACACATTCCCCTCCCTCAACCCACTCCACTTAATTATGGCGTTCAGAATTTGCATACGGCACTTGCATAATTGACCCCCGAACTCCATGACGTGTTTGCATGGGGCACATGCCAGATATATAGTAACATATATAAATTTGAATCTGGCAGCAGGGAGTTGACAGTTTGCTAAGCTGACTGCTCATCAAACTTGTTGTCATTGTTGCCTTGGCTCGTTGTCGTTCGGTTATTGCTACAGCTCTTGTAATTCTTAAATGAGTTGTCAGTTGTCAGCGCAGTGGCTTAGGTAATTATGAATGGGATTTAAATGCCAGTTATAGATTCGAAAATTTGTAAAAAAGAAAAAATAGCGGGGCTTACAGTAGAAACGTAAATAAAATGAAGAAATTTTTTTCTATGATTTGATCAGGAACTTTATATGTTTTTTCTTCAATTTTACTGCAGTGACTTAATTGTAATCAGCTTTAATATTTTTTCTTGAACTAATGCCATAAGCTATTTAATATTAATTTTTTTTTTTTTTTTTTCTTATTATTTATTTAGTGCAGAATCTGTACAGCAAATTAAAGTACTTAACAACACAGGTGTCACCAATGACTTTACAGTTCTAAATGATTTTAATGATTTTCTTCTTAAAAAAGAAATGTTCAGAACTTTTTATTGTAACAAACATTATTATAAAATTAAGTGCTTAACTTCATGCTTAACCATTGCGATTGTAATAAATTTGTATAAAAGTGATAAATTTTTTCCTTGCACAACATTGTGCCGTAGGTGCTTTAATCTGTGTAATAGCTTATTAGTATTCATTAAAGCTCCCTTTCCCCTTGGGAAAGCCCCTTTTTTGCTTTGGTTGGACGCCACTGACCGAGCGCCATTAACAGACCACAAAACTTCTACAGCTGCTGAGGCTTGGGATTGGATTGGGTTCGGGCTCCAACCCGCTCATCTCCCCCACCACCCCTCGTGTCCTCAATTTGCTGGCTGGTCTGTGGTCCACATTTCGCTTTCCTCCCCCCGTTTTCCCCACCCGAAATTGTGGGTCTTGTTGCATGACAAGTGCAAAATGATGAAATGCGTATGAATTGCATAAATTAAGTTGAATTCGTTTAATTAAAATAACAAGTTGGCCATTAATCAATCCCTGGCCACTCATCCAGTGAATTTCTTCGTATGTAAGGAGCGGACAATCAAAAAAGGAAACAAGGACAAAATGCCCAGAATGTGGCAAAAAATTGTGGAGAAAATGCTGTGAAGCATTCGAATTTTGATTGGACGCATCAAAGCAGAATGAACTAACAAACACAATAGGTTGACAAAACCCTGAAATGGGAAAATTTACTCGCTCGTTTCAGGTATTTATGAAAATGCTTCAAATTGGGTTTTTAGTTCGGTTCGCTGCGGTTCGTGTTGTGTAGTTTTTTGGCTTGTGGTGCGGTTTTGGCCGGTGGAAATGCCTATGCAAATGCATCTCAACCTGCACCAAATTAAAAAACTTTTTTCCCCAACCCGCTGCTCGCCTAAAAGTTTCTTGCTGTTCTTGTGTTTGGAGAGGCATGAAATTCCTTGAGAAGCGGGCGTTTTTCCTTACTAAGAGCAACAATAATTGCCGGAAACGGAAGTGCCAAGTGCTGGTGTTGTTATTTTACTTTGGCCAAACCACAATTGTGCAAAAAATTGCACTAAAGTGCTTCTCCTTTTTCTCCTTCGTTCAGTAAATATGCAAATCTCAGCCTACACACTGAAAAATAAAAAGAACTAAAAACTTGGTTATAATAAATATTTTCAGTCTTCAAACTAACTAACTACTAAAGTGTAAAGTAAATCATAAAAAATATAACTTTAGTTTAGTTATGCTTTATTTATAATTTATTTTTTGTTTTAATTTTCCCCTATAGAGAATGTGAAATTATAAATTGTAATATTTTAAATGTAAGTGCATCGTGCTGTATAACAATATTGTTTATCAGTGCTTTGGGAGGGGTTTTGGCGGAGGCTTACTTTCCAAGATGGCCTCTCTAATTGAGGTTGGGTCTTTATGCATGAAAATGCATTCATAAACCCCTTTTTGCCATTCTCTCCATTTCTCCCGAGACTGTGCGTGTGTGTCCGCTAGTTTCCCTGTGTGTGTGTGACCCAAGCAATTAGTCAGTTATTGCTCGGTTTGCCAGGGATTTTCCGAGTGGACAAAGGGGGAGGGGAAGGTGCGATTAAGCCAACTCAGTGGCGTGTTAGCATAAAATGTTTTTCCTAAATTTGCATCACATTTCTAGAGGCCTTCTTTGTTGTCAATTTGTTTAAAACAGTGCAACATTTTGAGAAATTGAGTCGAAAAGAATGGCACGCAGATTATTTTCTAAGTCTTTGAAGAGGAATTAAAATAAGTGTTGAATTAAAATTTGTGCCAAAATTTTCATGAATTCTTTTAAGATTGAATAATAAGATAATTTGCAAGTGAGTGAGACTAAAAAAAATTATAATATTATTTAGGTTTGAATACAACTTACTAAACCACTTCAAATGACCCTATTTAGTTGCTCAGTTTAAGCTTTAGCACACACAGATTCACAACATTACTAGAGTATATGTAGTTTTAACACATAAATGCTCACGTTTTTGATAAAAAACCAACCCCACATTTAAGACACCTTTTCCAACATTTTATTTTTGCATAAATCCAAAGAAGCGAGAAGTGGCAACTGTCATTTAGGTTGCTGATAAAGTTTCAGCAATTAGAGACGTTAAATAGGGGTAGATGGAGTATAAAAAGGTCGCATTGGGATTATGGAATGTGAAATCAGTTGACTAGAAAGAAAATATCTATTTTTGAACAATCAGTTATGGTAATGGTACAACAACAAAACTTAACAAGAATAGATGAATGCTTTGGCGAGCCGAAGCTTATATACCCTTGTAGTCATCACAAAAGTCGAACAAAATGCGTAAAGGCTCAAGAACATTGAAGTAATGGCGATTTTTCTATTTATTTTTTCATATTTTCACAGATTGTTCCTATGGCAGCTATATGATATAGTCGACCGGCTATCATGAAATTTATTAAAAATTTTATTTATACAAAATTAACGATAGAAAATTACTATAAGAGGCATGCCACTTTATGTCTGCCTGGTACTTCATAATTCGCTTGATAATATTAATTCGATAATATTTGTTCCGTTATTTTTTTTATGTCTTCTATGGAAGCTATCCGATATAGTCGGATAGCCCCTGCAAGGGTATACAAACTGGAACCTAATGGACGAAGAATAAATTACAAGGACTTAACTAAAAAAAAAAGTTTTCCTTTTGCTGATAAAATCTGTTCTTTCTGTATGCATTTGGTATCTGAGGGAGCTTTACTTTGGACCTTTTACCATCCATTTCAGGGCACTCACATCATAGCAGCATTAGGAAGCTTTTCCTACAGTATGGGAAACTGCTGCTTACCTCTTGCACCTGATTCCACCTGTTTACGTGCCCGTAATTGCATTTTCCACCGCATTTTACTCGACCTTCTCCTTTTTCAGAACGTGCATTTCTGCTTGGGAAAATTGCATTACGCAGTTCGGAAACCGGCATGGGAAGTGTCGCGAAAAGGGGACTTTTCCCGCCTTCTCACCCAAACTTTCATAACGAAAATCACTAGTTTCTCCTGTTACCAGGCTTTTCCCGTTCGCTTAACTCATGCCAGGCTTATTATGCACACGCCTTAAGCTGGCCACATTTTGTGGCAAATTAATTAAATCACCGAAGTTCACGATGGCTTTTAATATGGATGTCTATGCACAGTGAAGAAAATATGGCAGTATAACATAATATAGTAATATGGGGCACAAATATGGCTAGTTATTATAAATATTAATAAAAAAATTCTTGTCATCTGTTGACAGAAACTTAATCTGTACCTTTATTCTAAGGAAAACCATATTGCTATTTTTTTTAATATTACAAAAAGGAATATATCAAATAATACCAGTTATATCAATAAAAATATTTATAAAAAATTCTTTGCAATCTGTTGAGTATATCCATATCCTGCACCCTTTATCTTAGAAAAGGCAATAAAGTTATATTTAAAATATATTAAGAAAAAGTACATTTGTTTTTTTCTGCGTATGGAGGACATAGATGAAGAGTTGGCCATGGAGTTGGCCATTTGCCTGTCAGCCAATTGACTTTTACTTTGGCTTTGGTTTGCTAAACAAGCAAAAGTTTTGCCGGGTGTGTGTGTTTTTATTATTGCTGCTCGTGGGCGTTGGCTTTCACGTTTAGGAGGCCTTTGATTTCTGCCTTGGCTTTTCTAGTCCCCCCGACTCTTCTGCCAGTCCCACCCAACTGCCCCCGCCCCCTTTTTCTTCCTTTCAACTTGGGTGAAAGTGGAGGGCATTGAACCCGAAAAAGAGAATCCAGGAGGCGAAGAAAGGAGAGGAGACCGCCTCATAAATCTCACAACGCTTGCAACATGTGCCATAGTGTTAGTGTTTGTGTGTGTGTGTTGCGGTGTGTTTGGGGGGACAGAAGGGCGGGAGTGGGAGGCCATTGCCCTCTGCAGACTGCCACAATGCAGAACAACCCACGCCCGCTTCCTTCGCAGAAGCCTTCTCCCAAATGCAAAATTTGCGCAACATAAATTATGTTTTGTTAAAATGTTTACGCTTTTTTATCGTGCTGCTGTTGTTGGTTGCATCCTCAGCCCGGTTATCGCTCCTTGGCCCTCCTACGCCCCCATCTACCTTAACATTTTTTTCTGCACAGGAAAAAAAAGGTAACCAGTAAAAAAAAGTATATAGACACAAATATAAATAAAGATTAATAAAAAAAATAAAAATAATAATTGTTTCCTTTATCTGAAAGTTCCAAAAACTTTTTCATAAACGTTTTGTTAGGAATACAATCTATAAATGAATTGTTTGTATACATACATTGCTGACTATTTAAATACCTTAAATTTCTAAGAAACCATTGTTCTGTACGGAAATTCTTAACATATTTTTTGTTCTTTAAGTAAACCCAATAAAAAGCAATTTTAAATGCGTACAAATTATTAGGGAACATTGTTCTGTCCAAGCTATTGTTATAAATATTCAATTTATAGTCATTTTAACCTGTATATATTTTTGTGGCACAACTTTTCTCGCAGTGCATCGCCTCCTGTTCAGCTCTCCAGCTGTGTGTGTCTGCGTGTGTTTGCCCTGCCACTTGACACCTCTCAATGACAAACCGCTGAGTTGCTCCCTCCTGGCAGATTCTCCTCCATTCTTCGTCTCTTCTGCAGACTGTCCTGCTTCTTCTTCCTGTTCGGCTTCTTCTTCTTTAGAAGCAGATATTTTTTTTGCATATGTGTGTGTTTTTAAGCTTTAGGACTACCAACAGCTTTGGACACATAGCTTCAGCTTCAGTTTCCTGCTTTTGCTCCTGGGCAGACATATTTTTTTGCTCTATTTTTGAGGGGTAGTTAAAGGGCAAAGGGGATGGAAAGTGTGTGAAAATGGGAGGAAGCAGGGAATAGGAGTGGAAAGGCCAACAATGACGGACACGAGAGTTCCTTGGGGCCATACACTTTGCCGCCAACCGATTCCACTGAGCTTATCATGAAGTTTGCTCATGCCAAAAAAGAACAAGTTTATTTTAGGGATTTCCCAAAAACTATTTGCATATTTAAACTGGCCTAAAAGCCGACTTACTAGGTTCATAATTTCAGGAAACAAAAGCTGCTTTTAAATACTTTGTGCTTCCTTAAATGCTTTTAAAAATAAACTTATGAATTAATATAATATCGTTTTGTCTTGTTTTTCAGTAACCTCTTATTAAGTTTACCTACAAGTTGATTAAAACCTCTCATACCTATTGCTATTATGTATAAGACCTATACTTAATGATGCTCACAATTCACTTTCTTGGCTAATTTTGCCCCTCAAAACTTTGCTTTTAATCTAAATTCCAACTCCTTTATCCGCTTATCTATCTAGAATTTCCCATGTGTTTTTGCTCGAGTGCTGAAAATGTTAAATTGCCCTACAATAATTTGTGTGGTTTTGCCCAAGTTTTATTGGATAATTAAGTGGGGTGAGTTAACTCAACTCCTGCGACGCCCTTCTGCCAAATTTTGGTTCATGTGTGGGCGTGTTTGACTTGTTCTTAAGCATTTTGCGGTTATGTGTGCCCCAGACTATGGGCCATCTTCCGCCTCGGAGTGTGTGAACATAAATCTTGCAAGTGGAAACTTTTTGCGGCGAGCGCAGCATAAATATTTGAAAATTAAAAGCCATCCTCGCAGCCCAGAGTTACGAGTTCCCTTGCCAGCCTCTAATAAAAAAGTTGCAGCTGCAAAAACGCCGCCGCAAGAGTAAAATTTATGAAAGTTCTGCGAAGAAAGTACGGGGAAAATAAACACCCCACAAAGTCACTCATAATGGAAAACTAAACCAATACAGGCGAAACTATTTACGAAAATTGGCTTTATACCACCCTCAAAAAACCTTGGGATTTTTCTTAACAATTTATAAATTCTTTGAAATGTATGTATGATAACTATTTCATACTATAATAAATTATACTTTTTAGGTTCGTTAGGCAAGCATTTTACATTTATTTTGTTTGCATCTTTGTTTGAATTGAAACTAGGTTATTATTCAGCCAATAAATCTTGCAAACTTAATTACATCATACACCAATTATTTACTTTAAGCTACCAACCAACCATCAGATCGTCAAATATCCAATCTGAAGCGTATTAAAATTAAGCAAAATTAATTTCCTCCCTCAGAGCGGAGAACAAATGCTTAATTACATTCTCGATTTCAACATGTATTGAAAGCTCGTTACGTAACAAAAAGGCAGCCAGAACAATGAACGGCGAACGCAGCGGCAACAACGAGCAAACAATAATCATATCATGAGGCATAAATCACCAAACAAATTGAATTATCATTGCGTCATTAAAAAGCCATTTCAACCGAAAGCCGAAGCTCGAAAAAAGAAGTACTACGAGGAGTAAAAAAAATAAATAAAATGAAAATAAAGGTGAAACGATATAATTATGTTGCAATATGGCGCCCTCAAGCATGACCTACGCCCACAACAACAACAAAATAATAACAACAACGTCAATTACCATCGAAGGTAGGATCACACGAGCGAGATAGAATCATTCAGAAAGAGGGAGACAGGGACAGAGCATCGGTACTTAAAAGTCATGAAACGCAAGCAAAGCGCACACGTTCGCTTTCAAAAACCTTAAGCCCAATTACAATGAATGCGCTCATGTCAGAATGAAAATCGCTTTTCATTTGTTTTTTTTGTTGTTGTTGTTGTTGTTGCTGTTGCTGCACCCAAGCGCAACATTTGAATGAAAATCATTTTCATGGGGGGACAAGGGCGTGGTTTTTTGAAGGGAGTCAATGAAAAACTCATATGATAGGCTTAAAGAACTCATGTTGAAGAACATGTAAAAGATTTTGGTTTCAAAATCAGAACAAAAATATTTTAAAATTATTTAATCCAACAATTGAAAGATTTTCTGAAACACATTTTTACACTGCATTTATAAGTATATTAAAAATAAAGACATCTCCCACAAAATTTTAATTGCAACAGTGATAACACCTTACCAACTTACACATGATAAGAACTGTAAACTAAAATCCGATGTAAGTGTTCTTTCAAAAACTAAAAAGTTGCAATATTTTTCTACCATATTGTATGTTCATTTAAAAACTGAAAGAATTTAAAATATTTCTATTGTACGTATATATGCTTACAAAATAAAAATGTATTTCAACGTCAAACAAACTCTTCCAACCCTTTTTAAAATCTGTCAATTTGTAGAATTGTTTTATTTTTGTTAATTCTACTCACGAAGAAGTGCAGCTCGACGTTGTGGGTGCTCTTGGCGGCGCAGATCTGGCTTCTGCTCGGACAACAACCACTGTCCTCGCTGCAGCGGTGCAGGATGGTACAGTGGGGCGAGTAGATCTTCGAGGGGTCCTGCTGGACCAGCTGACAGCGCCGCTGGGGCACCCGGCAGGTGGCCTCCTTCAACACCTGGTTCATGTGGGCGTGGGCGAGGGCTGAGAGGGGGTTGGAGGGGATGGAAATTCAGAGGAGTTAGCATTAGATGACCTGTATCCCCAGGGGAATTGGGGGGATTAGCTCACCTCTTTCCGCTTTCAGCTTTTGAGCGTGCAGACGACGCGCTTTGAGTGCCGCCTCGGGGGATCCCAGCTGCTCCTCCTTCCGCTGACTTAGTTTTCCAGCCACGTAGTTGCGTGAGTAAATGTTCTCCGCATCCTGGAACGAGAAACAAGGTTTGCCTGCTTTAGTTATGCTAATTGATGGTTTTGTTTTGGGCTTCATTTTCATGACATTCCCCCATTTCTGTCTAGCCACCATATCGCCATATCGTCACTCACATTACGCATACGCCACCGGTGCCGTTGCCATAAAAGTCGCTCACATTAATAAAGCCCCCATTTGGGCCGTGTGATGACAATTTGTCACCGTTTTTATTGTCCATACAGGCAGGAAATAATGGGAAGGGGGAGGGAAAACACAGATTGAGGTAGCATGCCAGTGTAACATAAACGAGAAGTTGGTACCTCACAAACTGAAAGGCCAGCCGAAGTTCATAAACTAAGAATTCATGTGCACGCAGACGGCACAGAAAGCAACAGTCATATTAACAACAGCCACAGGAATGGCACAAAAATAAAAGGTATGGATATGACTGAAAATTACTCTACCTTCGAAGGGAATATATGGGTGATTCCATATCAGATTTACAGTCGATATTGAGAAATTCGATGAGATATTTTTTTCTTGCTCTTTATCGAAAATAAATCGACACGTATTTTTTATATGGCTCAGAAAATTTTTTTGACAAAGTTATGATTTTTTGAACTTTTGATGAACTGCCCTTTTTTTGATGACAGTCGCGTTTTCCAGCCCCAATAACTTGAAAACCGTACGTCGCAGGAAAAAATATATAGGAAGTAAAAATTTCATCCTTCCTTCTTCTTTGCAAAACTTTCGTGAAAAAATTTTTTAAACAATTTTTCACCACAAAAAGTTCAAATGTTTATAACAAATTAATTTTTTCCAACTTGGACCATTTTGATTTTTTTTTTCACAGTAAGGCCTTCAAATTCTTCTGATGAACATACTAAAGTTTCAGAATGGTATCAAAATTAGTTTTTGAGTTATAGAATTAAATAGCATTAAAAATTCATTTTATTGACCCTTACTATGCGCGCGCGAAGCGAATTGACGCTCGTTAGAGTCGTTGGTCGGCGCACGCCCTGAGACCGAGCGCGCGGACCGTGCATGATAATCTTTAAAATTCTGTAACTCAAAAACTAATTTTGATACCATTCTGAAACTTTAGTATGTTCATCAGAAGAATTTGAAGGCCTTACTGTGAAAAAAAAAAAAATTAATGGTCCAAGTTGGAGAAAAATTAATTTGTTATAAACATTTGAACTTTTGTGGTGAAAAATTGTTTAAAAAAATTTTTTCACGAAAGTTTTGCAAAGAAGAAGGAAGGATGAAATTTTTACTTCCTATATATTTTTTTCCTGCGACGTACGGTTTTCAAGTTATTGGGGCTGGAAAACGCGACTGTCATCAAAAAAAGGGCAGTTCATCAAAAGTTCAAAAATCATAACTTTGTCAAAAAAATTTTCTGAGCCATATAAAAAATACGTGTCGATTTATTTTCTATAAAGAGCAAGAAAAAAAATATCTCATCGAATTTCTCAATATCGACTGTAAATCTGATATGGAATCACCCATATATAAATAGTATTACAAGTTAAATGGAAAAATTTATACTTTTCAACGAAAAGAAAAGATTTTATTAAATATTTCTTGAAATCTATTTTAAGAGTGCAATTTTTTTATTAAAATTTAAGCATTTGTGAAGTGGGTTTAAGTGGTTAAAATATACTTTTTGGCTTTATTTTGGCTTCAAGTTAAAATTCCATTGTTTTAAAGCTTAAACTCCTTCCATAAGCCTCGCCATCAAATCGCTCTACCTTGACCTAAAGTGCAGAACAATGGGAACATGAAACAAATTGGCATTCAGGGCAATAAATACGACTGCGAGAACAATAGAGAAGAAATTGTCGGACATGGACATGGACATATAGCAACATAGCGATGCCCGGGGAAGAAGGAAGTCAACCTGGTCGAGAGTCAGAAACAGAACCAAAAAACCAGGCCCAGTCAACCACGAATTGGAAGCGAGACGGAGTGAAGTAAAAATGTTGACCAATGCGCACAATTGGCAATTTGTGAAGTTAAGCGAAATTAATGAGTTGGCTGCGGCCATAGCTCTTGCACAACAACAAAACCAAAATAAAAAAGCACATATATAAATGTGCAAAGATATATGGCAGTGTTGGTGAGAGCGAAAAATCGTAAATTGTGCAAGTGTGGGTGGGCCAAATGGCTAAATAAAAGGCCAACGTCCCGGAGTTTGAGGGCCTGTTCATTAGTCACACATTGAGGATATATATACTATTCATGTATATATGTGGTTCTAGGTGCTCAAGAGCAATTGGCATAAATCTTCGTCGCGCGGGCATTTGTGCGTTGTATTGCGTGTACAATCCCATTCTCATTTTCATTTGGAGGCTTAGCATTTCTGGTCCATTTGCTCTTGGCCGAAAACAATGGCTCTTTGATGTTGGTCAATGATTTTTAGCGGTTTAACCTTGAGGCTTATGAATGGGCCCCCCATTGTTGTTGCGTTTCGATGGATAAAGATGGTTGGGGAAACCCTGACAAGAATGTGGCGTTAATGCCCACTTCAATGGACCTTTGGCCTTTGCTTTACGGCCAGGTAGATTCCAATCTGCCCATTGGGTAGCATTAAAAGTTAATGCAACTTGATTGAAAAGCTTTGGGGAAATTCCTGCAAGTAAGTATCCACTTATTTGTAATGGTTAGTCGTCAAATACAATGTTATTTTTTTTGAATATCAAAGCTATCTTCAGTGTTATTATGTTGAGTATGAATATAAATGAGGAACTATTTCAGGTTTAACTGTTTGATTGTCAAGAATCAAAAAAAAAACTTGAATGATAGTTACAAAGTAAAAATACTTTTCCGCATTTCAATATCTTTTTAAATTTATCGCGTGAAAATAAGAAGTAAAAAAAATCCTCTACAGCTTTCTAGAATCCCAAGTGCTCCCTTAAAATCGTCAAACACCCAAGCGTCTGAATTTTTATCTCATTTCGCAAATTGCACTTGCAAAAATGATTTCGCTTGACCCGTATACTTCCGTTTTTCCTTCACTCCCCCTCAAAATCCTGGCGCATTGCAATTTAATTTATGTTTTTCCAGCTTCCTTTTCCCGCTGTTTTCCCCGCTTTCCCGCCCAACTGTTTACGACACTTCAGTCTGTGACGTCGGCTGAGACTTTATCACCTTTCGGTTCTCTCCTCGTTTGTCAACTTTATTCAATTTTGAAAACTGCACTGGCAGTCCAAAGGAGATTCGGAGCAAGGGGATATCCTACAAGCTGCCTTCACTTTCATCAAACTTCTGGCATTTGACGCCGCGCTGGCTGCTTATTAAAAACTCAAACGCCCCTCGAGGAGAGCTTCTATGCTTCTTTCATCCGCACTCCTCGTCTTTCCCCGCCGGCAGACACTTGGCTGTCGAGTTGAGTGCTGAAATATTGCAGGCTCCGTGGGGAATCCCCCCGATTCCCAGGCCATTCCTGTCTGGTTTGCTCCGTCTGCTGCTGTTTGTCATATTCCATTCCGGCGGCGAGTGGAATTTGGATGGGACGAGTGCCGATGAGATGGGTGCACCGAAAGAATTTATAAATCAAGCATTTATCAATTATTTTTCCAAAAGGAAAGTTGAACACAATAAAAAAAACCAAAGATGTATTTATGCTTACATCTGTCAGTTTATAATTATGGCGATACTTGTGTTCTATAATTTCCTCCAGAAACCTTTACCAAATTAAACTATTTCTAATATTTTTCTATTTAAAAAACTTTATTATTTTTGAACTAAAATCAAAAAATATTTAAAATTAAATTCCACCGTATAAATATAATTTATAAATAATCAACACTTCGTGATTAAAAAATTAGAACTGCACTTAATATTTTAAGATCAGATTAAAATAAATAGTTATTTATTGCACCTAACTCAAGTTATTTAGTTAACAAAGAGGTCCACGAATTTCTGCCTGTGTAGTTTCGCAAAGTGGAGCAGGAGAAGTATCCTTGATATCATATCAAAGTTGAATGCTTTTATTTATTAGCGGCATGCAAAATTGAGTCGGCGAACACAGCGGGAAATATGTGCTAGCAGAATGAAAATTCCGGCGTGAAGTGATTTGAAAAATGTTAGAAATTGAAATGTTCTCCACCATTTCGTGCTGCATACTTTCGGGGTACTCTTGTCAAATTGCGCATACGCCGCGTGTGACCCGGCGAATAATTTAAAAATATATTTGCATACGAAACTCGAATGAAAGTTGGCCAGATAAAAGGCGACTCAAAACCGGAAAGAAAAGTTTTGCATTGAAAAGTTTTTTGTGATGGAAAAGTGCACATACGGTATGCACCCGCAAAAAGGTTTTGGTTCGCTTGGGTAATTGTTGTTTACTCAACTAGTCTTCTCTTTCACCTGCCAACTAGCTGTCTCTTTCTACGGATTGTTAGCCGTTTTTGCTCTGATGCGTTTTGTTGCATATAAATTGTATTTGTTGAACTTTATAATGGCAATGAAGTTGATGTTTTTACGAAGCAATTTGCTTCAACTTTTCTCTGTCTCTGACTCCCTCTTTCTATTTCTGGTTTTCTTTCTCTTTCCCTCGTGTTTTTCTTATTGCTCTGCTATTCGCACTCAACTTCTGCCAAGTTTTCTTTTGAGGCTGGTCTCATAAATTTTTATTATGAATGCACATATTTTTCCAGGCTTCTGTTGCAATCTCTACCTCTCCCTCTCCCTCTCCCTCTTTATCTCTGTTCTTGTCTCTTTCGCACTGGATATAGCTGTCTCTTTTGTGGTGTGGCGTCTGCGGTGCAAATATGTGGCTCAGTTGGTGGCCGAGTTTGGTGCGGTTAATGTGCATTTGGCAGCTATTTTGACTTTCCACCATAAATTTTACCACCTAAAATCGAACTCTGGTGTGGCATAAATTAAATTGCTGAAAGCGATGCTTTTAAATACATATGTCAATTGAATTTCTTAGATGCAATATTGCCTGCTTAATTCAATAATAATTTGCAGTCTTTGCGAGCATTTATAATTTAATTAAAACA